TTGCGATAAAGTTGAAAACAAAAACGGAAGTCAGTGGGCTAGGCTGAGTTTGCGTGAATGGGCGGGGTGCAGCTCCGCCTTTGTGGTTTTGCAGCCAGCACCCTCTCCAAAATAACCACAGTTTTTTCCCTCAGTGTCATTTGATCTATTTCTTGGGAAGATGGATGGATGGATGGATGGAGATATATATATATATATATATATATATATATATATATATATATCAATAATTATTTTTAATATAGCCTTTTTCAATACCAAACTTTCAATACCAAACAAAAATGAACTACAATAAAATTACTGGCACACTAAATTCCAATTCTCCTCAATGGGACTTGAACTCGCCAACTGATCTCCCTTACACGACACCAAACGAGGTGCTTTACTTGATTTGGGAGGGGGGAATAAAAGCAGTAAAACAATAAAACTTTGAACATTACAACACAAAGAGAAAATAAATAATGTTACAGCAATTGCGGAATGCCATCTGCGGGATTCGAACCCGCCGCAACGACCAACCAGTAGGTGTCAAACCATGATTAATGAGTGCAAGCCTTGGCGCTCAGGGACACCCATCAGTATGTGATTGTGAGGCCACAGCACATACGTTTTAGACTGGGTGGGATTCTTATACCCAACAGGAGTCTTCTGCCCGCCTTCTCATTAGAATATGCATAATTTGTGTTTCAGGCACTAGTTAACTAGTGAGCTGCTGCACTGCCACACATGTAAACTGGTGAAATTTCAATTGTTCCACTAGTTAACTAGTGGACAAAAATGGTCAGCTTGTATGTGTTTTTAGATGCAACTAGTTAACTAGTGAGCATATCTGCACCTCACTAGTTAACTAGTGAGGTGCAGATATGCTCACTAGTTAACTAGTGAGGTACTAGTGAGGTGCAGATATGCTCACTAGTTAACTAGTGAGCATATCTGCACCTCACTAGTTAACTAGTGAGCAAATCCGCACCTCACTAGTTAACTAGTGAGCAAATCCGCACCTCACTAGTTAACTAGTGAGCAAATCTGCACCTCACTAGTTAACTAGTGAGCAAATCCGCACCTCACTAGTTAACTAGTGAGCAAATCCGCACCTCACTAGTTAACTAGTGAGCATATCTGCGCCTCACTAGTTAACTAGTAAGCAAATCCGCACGTCACTAGTTAACTAGTGAGCATATCTGCGCCTCACTAGTTAACTAGTGAGCAAATCCGCACCCTACTAGTTAACTAGTTGGCGTTTTGGGGCCCACTAGTTAACTAGTGAGCATATCTGCACCTTACTAGTTAACTAGTGATGCTTTTTTGCACCTTACTAGTTAACTAGTGGGCGCTTAAGGGTGCACTAGTTAACTAGTGAGCAAATCTGCACCTCACTAGTTAACTAGTGAGCATATCCACACCCTACTAGTTAACTTGTGGGCGTTTTGGGGCCCACTAGTGAACTAGTGACACTTATTTTGCACCTCACTAGTTAACTAGTGGACATTTGTACCCTCTCTAGTTAACTAGTGAGCAGTTCCGCCTTCACAAGTTTACATGTAAGTGTCACACTGAAGCCACTACTAGTTTACTAGCTGAGGTTCCTCTGGCCAGCATGTTAACTTGTGTGCCGCATGCAAATGTTTGGGGTGGGATTTTGCAAAATTCCGCACTGTGATTGGTTGTCATATTTTATTTTAACATAGTGAGCCAATAGAAAGCCTCAATTTGAGAAATTCTCTGCCTCCTAATTAGAATTCTGTGCAACTAGCTAGCTAGTGTGAATGTAGGCTTGAACTAGTTTACTAGTATACATTTATGTCCTCACTAGTTAACTAGTTTGGACAATGGATGCATCAACTAGGTAACTAGTGAGCCTGCTACAATCAACTAGCTAGCTAGTGAGTCATTAATGGTTCACTAGTTAACTAGTGGCACTGCCCTACTCCAACTACTTAACTAGTTAGGAGTTTTGCCTTCACTAGTGAACATGTGGACACTTTGAACTGTCACTAGTGAGACACAAAAACCTTCAACTAGCTGACTGGTATGCATTTTAGCCCTTACTAGTTAACTAGTGAGCCATTTTTGTGTCACCTAGTTAACTAGGATGCCAAAATGTGTTCACTAGTCAACTAGTGGGCATTTCTTCTGTCACTAGTTAACTGGTGTGCACATTTTGGCCATCACTAGTTAACTAGTGAGACACAAAAACCTTCAACTAGCTGACTGGTATGCATTTTGGCCTTTACTAGTTAACTAGTGAGCCATTTTGTGTCACCTAGTTAACTAGTGAAGCCAAAATGTGTTCACTAGTTAACTAGTGAACATTTCCGTCTCCCACTAGTTAACTGGTGGGCTCATTTTGACCCTGACTAGTTAACTAGTGAGACACAAATACCTTCAACTAGCTGACTGGTATGCATTTTGGCCTTTACTAGTTAACTAATGAGCCATTTTTGTGTCAACTAGTTAACTAGTGAAGGTCAAAATGTGTTCACTAGTTAACTAGCGTGTACAGTTTGACCCTCACTAGTTAACTAGTTGACCTGTTGACAAGATATCAGAATTAATGCTCAAGCGGCTGGCCAAAATTGGGCAAAGTTAACAAGTGGGATTTTTACATTCAGTAGTCAGCTAGTACGAGTTTTTGTACCTTACTAGTTGACTAGTAAAAACTAAATGTGTTTTAACTAGTTAACTAGTGGACATTGATCTGTCCACTAGTTAACTAGTGAACACACTGAGCAATACTAGTTAACTAGTAAGATATGAAACATTTTAACTAGTTAACTAGAGAGAATTTAGGCCTTACTAGTTAACTAGTTGACATTTAGGCTGTCACTTTTTAACTAGTTGACACAAACATGGCTAACTAGTTAACTAGTGGACAGAAATGGCTTACATGTTCATGACAATTCTGGCTGATATCCTGATATCAGAATAAATGCTCATTTGGCTTGCCATACAGCCCGCTATCTTTACACACCATGCAAATAAGGGGAAAAAATAGAAAGCATGGGTTCATTAACTGTCTCAGATCAGGGCATGTCCCTCTGGTAACCCTTAGAAAATAATTCTTTTTTACATGCTTGCAGACCCTTGTTGCTCTGTCTCCTGCTTTCCGTTGGTAAGGTTTATAATTAATGAAGCCTAGCAGAGGTGAAGAGGACAGGTGCAGCTTTATGGATTTATACGGCTGGCTGGAATTCTCTAGTGTCATAATTCAAAACTCGGCGTGATTACAAGATAAACTGATATGGTTACTATGTGGTGAATTGTATTTTGTTCCGCTGCGAGGATCAGCAAGGTTTCCACGTTGACAGCTGTCTTGCTTAATGATCAGATCAAACACGGTGCTCTGATCAGAAGTTTAAATAAGCCTCAATATAAATGACCCCAAAGCGTTAGACTGCAAGATAAGCCTCATCAGACAGACAGACACAGACTAACAGCTCTCTTTCATTTGCCGTCAAATATAAAAGCCAGTTTTTATTGCCTTTTTTAAAATAATTGCCAATTAAGTGAGGACAGGATTTAAAAAAATGATTGAAGTCTCAAAAAAAAAAACATTAAATTCTGATTTTCGAGGACACGCTTTCCTGCTAAATGAACCATCATAAACACCTGAGATTCTTTAAGATTTTACATGCTTTGTAGTTTTTAAACTAAACAAACATTGCACTAGTCGAAACTATGGACATTATTCTAACTTGAGACCATTTACTTCTGCAGCAGCTTTAGAAAACATCATTTCAGTTGTAAAGTTGAGATCTGATCAAACGTGTGCTCTTCCCATATCTTAGAAAATCTGGTATCTTTTATATAACCTTATATTATCTCTGTTGTTAAGATCATAATCCTTGCTTTTGCACTGAAAGTCTCACAATGCTTCAGATTTTTAGATGTTTCAGGTTTTGAATCTAGTGAAGCCTGCACTTGAGCTTTCTAATAAAGACCTGTGTCTTGGTTTAAAGGTATTCATACTTGTTGTGGGTCACCCTTTTTATTGGCGCATGCGATCAAAGCTTCAGAAATGTCACAATAAATGGTGATTCCTGACAACGATCTTTTCTTATCATTGTTTCAACCCTTGTTCTCAAAGTGCTAGAGGCTATCCGATAGGCATATACCAAATATCCTCGTGCAAATCTATCTAAGCTGCTCCTTTTCTTACAAACATTGTCCAATCACAATGTACACGTGCTTTCGCGTACCTACTTACAAATAAGGAGCGCACATGTTACACCTAGACTTACGTTTATGCTTATCTTAAAAGCAATGGTGCACTTAGTGCTTACTGGAAAGGAAAACATGACGTAAATCATGCAGTAGTTTTAGCTTTGACAGGTCATACAATAAAACTCTGATTTATTTGTTTGTTTTCTGAAGGAAAAAGAGAAGCTTTTTTTCTTGTTTTCCATCATGCAAACTTTATTTTTAAAACTTGTCAGCTTACAGAAATAAAGCCTACTGTATTTTAAGCTTTTTTTTTATTTTATTCTATTCTATATATCGTTTTAATTTTAGTTGTGGAGATTGAGCACCCTGAATATTTTTGCTGCTTCCCTGATTTAAAACAGCTGATTTGAATGAATGCTCAGCAGAAGCCTGATGACAAGAAGCTTATATATATCAGGTGAGCTGCAGGTGTGAAATCAAAATCCTACAGAGCAGCCATCTGTCTCAGTAGGGGTAAGTACTTCTCCCACCAAAAAGTCACTATGACCCCAGAGATTATGCTCATGTTTGACCTGTACCAAATTTACATGAAGCTGCTTGTTGGAGACAAAAAAATGTCCTATCAGACTTTTGACAGCTACCTCTTTTCAGACTAAATTTATTAACAATGTTAAATCGGTTCTTGTTTAGATGCTAATTAAATTGTATTCTGTTTAAGAAAAGAGGTAGTTTCGAAGCCTTTTTTTGTTTAGGTTTTATGAGTTTACTTCGGTTCAATGCTTTATGACCCAGCAATCCTTAACTCTGACCTCATCCGTCACCGTTCTCTGAAACAGTTGGCTGTGCGTTTGGACTCTAAGAGCTTTGTCATGCCGGGTCCAGCCCTTTGCGTTTGTTAGTCACTGTCTTTTCTCCAGCTCCTGAGGTGTTTACCTGCTTGTGTGGACATATATGTGCTAAAGCTCATGTTCACAGGACAGGGTTGCTTGGCTGAAATGTTGCAATAATTTTCTTCTGCAGTGTGGTTTTGTGACTGATGCTTCTCCTCATCGTGCACTTTAACGAGTGTAGGAGCAGCTGAAAAGCTGCCATTGAAGGATCAGCCATGCTTGGGTGCATCCAGGCAGAGTTGTTGGTGACTTTGGCTCTGGTCATTCTGGCCCACACTGGAATTAAATGCAGGTAAATTTTAATTAAGCTGATTTTCATGTCACGGTTAATTTTGATCAAAAAAATGTTTATATGGTTTATTTATAATTATGTGGCTCTTTAAATTCACTGGTATTGTTTCATTTCAGAGCTGAAGGTGACTTACTATCAATTACTTTACCAGCATGGAGTGGCACATCAGGTAGAGTATTCAGTTACTAAACAAAACTGAGTGAAAATGACACACGAGACAACATTTGATTAATCACTTTCCTCCTCTAGCCCATGTTGTGCAGTGTTTCTCTAACAAACATGAGACTTGTGACTGGACAAGCAGCCAAAGAACAGGTATTAAACATGTTTTAATGAATTTCTGTTAAGCTCTAAATCATTGAAATGTCTCATTGGGCTGTGATTCTGTCAGGCGTACCCTGATTGTGAACGGCTTTTGTTAATTTTAGGTGGTGCAAAACAATATTTGACATCATTTACATCCACCTTAAGGATGAGATCAGACTTTCTAGGAGTGGGTAATTATGTTTGAGCATGCAATTGTGTTTTTCCTTCCTCTTCTCAGCTCTAGGGGATGTAAAACTTGACACTCTGGAGAGCCATCCATTGGAATTTGTGGGTGAGGCCTGTTTGGAGTTCTGGTATCTGGCCCCGGTTGCATCGCGTGGCTCTGAGCTTCGTGCTCTACTCAAAAGCAGCACTGGTCTTGTGGAAATCTGGACATCCCCTGCACTCCCCCGAAATTCATGGAAACAATCATTTATATCCTTGACTATCTCTGACCCAGGCTCACAGGTAAAACAAGCATAGTATAAAAATATTGAATGCACTTGATGTATAAAAATGTTTAACTTTTATTGCCAGATTGTTTTTGAAGCTGTCCAAACAGTGTCCCTAGACTGGACTACACTGAGATGGGTTGGTGTAAAAGGAGGCCCATGTGGTGAGTTTGTCTTGTCACGCTACCCAGGGATTTTTGATAAATACATGAATGTTTAATTTGTCTGTGATCCAGTAAAATGTAATAAATTCACTCATGCATATGAAGTGAAACTTGTTTCTCTCTCTCAGGAAACCCGTGTGACTCTGCCACTGACTTGTGGACAGACTCCTCCACACGCTGCCTCTGTTCTGCTGGCCAGCTCTCTTGCTTTCCCTCTCCGTGCCCTACAAAGCAAACATGTGGTCCTCAAAGGGGAGACTCGAATGGAGTTGCAACCTCTGGGGTTTGCACTGTACACAATCACATTCACTACACCACCTTTGATGGAGTAATGTTTGGCTTCATGTCGCCCTGCTCTTACGTGTTGGCCAAGACTTGCTCACCCACTGAAGTCCTGCCCAGGTTTACTGTAGAGGTGATCAACAAGCAGAAAGAAAATGCAGATCTACCAACTATTCAACAAGTGGTTGTGGAGCTGGGGAATGTGAGACTGTCCATTCTTAAAAGCCAGTCAGACTTTATTGTGGTGAGTTGAGGTTGTGTGGGTGTGTGTGTGGTTATCAGATAATAGAGATCCCTAACTTTAATATCTCTGAGCCTGTAAAGTCAGATTTGGGTTCTTGAATAAACAATTTTCTAAATGTTATTTTATATTCCAAAGATTGATGCTTACTGGTTCTCTAAAGGGTGTCTCCTGAAACAGTTAGATTCTGACTTGAATAAGAATCACAAGTATCTATTTTTCTTACATTTCAGGTTAATGGTGTCTCGAGGAAGCTTCCACTTAACCTTGACCATGGCTCTATCAACGTTCGAAGCAACACTGAAGCTGTAGTACTGGAAACTAGCTTTGGTCTGTCTGTTTCATACAACCATGCCGGAAATGTTCATGTCACTGTGCCACGTCAGTATTCCGACAGAGTCTGTGGATTGTGTGGAAACTTTAACTTCCTGAGAGATGAGTTCACAAAGTCCGATGGTACAACTGCTGAAGATACTTCAGCTTTTGCTGAAAGTTGGAAGACTGTGGATACTGCTTCCTGTGAAATCCTTCTGGTGCCTCAGCTGTGTGACCCATTGCTGGAGGCTAACTATGGCAGTGAGCTGTATTGTGGACGCTTACGTTCTGGTTCTGGGCCCTTTCCTAGTTGTCTATCAGTTATTGAGGCAGAGAGCTACTTTAGAGCTTGTGTCTCAGGAATGTGTTCTGGTGATCAAGCAGTTCTTTGTGAGACCTTTAAAGCTTATGAAGATGTCTGCAGACGGGCAGGAGTTGTTGTAGACATGTGGAGGAACTCGACAGTCTGTCGTAAGTCACTATGTTGTTTGAACTATTGGAAGTTGTGACCATCTTTGTGTGTAACACTTTGTTTTGCACTCTAGCCCTTCAGTGCAACGAGAACAGCCACTATAAATCATGTGCTGAAGGCTGTCCTGAAGTGTGCTCCATTCTAGACCTACCCAGTCCCTGTGGAAGCTGTGAAGAAAGATGCGAGTGTGATTCTGGCTTTAAGCTCAGTGGGGACAACTGTGTCTCAAAAGAACACTGCGGATGCTGGCATAAAGAAAAGCACTATGCGGTAAGTGAATACAATGGAGGATGGAGGAAAACATATTTCTGAATGCCAACATCAAACTTCTTTCTTTCTCTGCAGCACGATGAAACATTTGTGGAGGGAAACTGTGTGCAGCAGTGCCACTGCATGGGTAATGCTGTGCAGTGCACTGCAATGCAGTGTGGAGATGATGAAATTTGTAAAGATAAGGATGGTGTCAAAGGCTGTTTCCCTTTAAAACCTGCCACCTGCAGTGTTTATGGAGATCCCCATTATATCACCTTTGACAACTCTGTCTATGACTTTCAAGGAGGTTGCAGTTACACACTAACCACTACCTGTGGTGAACAGAGCTCTATCCAGTTCACTGTAACTGGATTCAACATGCATCCTACCACTCGATCTTTCACCAGGTCCAAGCTTCAGGCTGTCTCTCTACAGGTGGCTGACCTGCACCTCACTCTGAATCAGACCAGGGATGTCTATGTAAGTTATACACAAGGTACTTGAAAGTGTATTTTCTCATGTCAATAATAGTTTGAGATTTCATGAATTGGCAATCCATTATTGGTTATGACTAAAATATTATGAAGCCTGATTTATACTTATGTCTGCATCGGTATGGAGACACTCAATGCCATTGTGCATTGGCACAAGGGCTCTGACAGGCTCGCAGAGGGTGACTGAGACATGCCCAACTTTTTAACTGTGGAAAGTGATGGACTGCAAGCTTGTGATTAGTCGGAATGCGGCTTTCTTTAAATTTGTCACCAGCATCACCATTGCCCCCTCAAAACATAAAGCTATTTAGCAGCAGACATGGAACATGGTCTTGTAGAAAAGGTCCAAAAGTATTAACGTTCATTTACCTGTGACAGAAAGAAATATAAGACACACAACAAGCACGTGGGTAGAGGTGGCGATTGTATGACGAGGTGGAGGTGGATTGGGAACAAATTTGTCTGCATTAAATGCTCTCAAATGCATAAACGTAATGGTAAATACACTATCTTGGACTGGATACGTAACTTTAATGGTGGCAGGACACCCCGGAAAAGCGCTATGCCCTCTGTTGTCCTGGCGGAGTCACTTTGCAACACTGCCAAGCTAACGAATATGTCTGGAGGGACAACGTCTTCATCGGTGCGTGTACGCGACATAGAACCTGAGCTGATGGTATAAATCAGACTTAAGTTGATTGCAGTTATTTTGAAACTTGCAACAAATTCTGACCTTACACTTTTTTAGTTGTCAAAGGCCATCTGGCTTACCATGAAAATCTGAAATGTTTGAATTTTTTTTTTTTTAGGTAGAAGATGGCCTGGTCAGACTCCCTTATTCAACAAATGGTACATTTGGCACAATGTGGATCTACAAGAGAAGAAATTCTGTTGTTTTGAAGACTACTTTTGGATTGAAAATGGAAATAGATGGACACAACAGATTGTTCCTGCAGGTAGATGAGAGCTATAAATATGAGCTCTGTGGACTGTGCGGCACCTACTCTGAATATCAGGGAGATGACTTTTTAATGCCAAATGGTCTAATTGCTGCTGAGGCATTTGAGTTTGCTGACAGCTGGAGAGTGAACAACAATTATGTGTGAGTTACTTGTTTTACTCTTAATTCCAATTCTGTGCAGATTTTGGTACAATGTTATCAAAGCTGTTAAAGTTTTTAGAATTTAAATATTAGTTGGAAAAGCTAAAAAGCATGTTATACATTCAGTTGCACCAGTTCAGTCAGAATGTTACTATTGACATGAGAATGGTCCGTAGGGATGGGTACCGAATTCGGTACTTTTTAAGGTACCGACCGAATTCCATAGTACCGACCGAGCACCGATTCACGTCATTTGAAACGGTGCCTCGTTTCAGTACCCGTCCTTCATAACGAAAACTTGCCAAGACGGTTGCGCATGCGCAAGAGCGTTATGCAGTCGTTCGCTGCGAGTTGTAAACAGGGCAGCATGGTAGAAAGAACACACGCTCAAGATTGGGTCCACTTCACTAATGTGATGGGTAACTGGGTGATGAAACCAGCGACAATGATCTAAGTGAGACATCCTCATCTTAATCTGCGCCCGTAGGTAAATAAAATGTTCAAAATAACGTTAGCTTGATATGTTAGCTTCCATTGCCACCGTTATCGGCTAATGGTGCACTTGCTTTCTCCTCCGAAATTCTAACTTCCCAGTAGGAAAAATCAAATGAAAAGACTGCAAACGGAATGAAGATACACAGTAAATTTAGTTCACAGTAAAGATGCTTGCTTCAGTTAAATTATCAGCTTATAAAACTACAAGGACGATGTTAAAATACAAACAGTTGTATGTTATTTGTGATATTTATCAAATATTGTTATATATTGAGAAAAATATATATTTATAAAAGATAATTAAAATAATATACACTCAAAAGTATCAAATTGGTACTATAAGTACCGATTCCAAGGTACCGGGAATTGGTACAGAATCGATTCAAATGTCAAAGGTACCCATCCCTAATGGTCAGTTTCATGATTTCTGCAACTTATTCTCATATAAAGTAGGACTGCAGTAGAAAGAATAAGCTAATGTCTCCAAAGGAAACTAAAACAAAATCAAAGTCTAGCCTGTCTTTGTAAAGTGAGTACATAGAAGACCAATTTTAATTTGAGGTCTAGAGCAAGGGGGATTCAAGTCCTGGCCTGGAGGGATGGTATCCAGCATGTTTTAGATTTAACTCTGTTAACACACCCGATTTCCATCAGCAGGTAATTAACAGGCTTCCGTAGAGCCTGATGAGCTGCTAGACGGGTGATTCAATGACTGACTCAAGTGTTTGATACCGGCCATCCGGGCCTGTAATTGAATGCCCCTGGTCTAGAGAAATGAAAGCCAATTTGGAAGCTTGAATCAAAATAATTTTTTATAACAGTCATGTTCGGGTAAATCTTACTGAAAGGCAATGTGACATCTTTTAGCCCTCTTTTCCACAGGTGCATTGCCCATCCCAGTAAACCCAGAGAATGTGTTGGTGAGGAGAATTATGAGGCTGACAGGGAATGTTCAGTAGTTCTGGGAGATGCTTTCCAGGCCTGCCATGAACACATTCACCCAACAATCTACCTGTCAAGCTGTGTATATGACTACTGTGACACAAGTGGTGACAGAAGCACACTTTGTGAATCAATTAAGTCATATGTGGCTGCATGCCAGGTTGTAGGAGTGGAGCTTTCCAACTGGTGGATTGGTACAGCTTGTGGTGAGTATTTAACCAGTGTAAGCACATTTGAAATGTAGAAGGGAAAACCCCGTGCAACTGCGCATCTGATGCACACTGCCAAGTGAATTGGAAAAGTAAAGTAATTTTTAGGGTCTGAAAAGTTTTTTTTTTTGTTTTTTTTGCAAGCTAGTCAGTAATTACTTGAACCTTTCAAAAATGGTAAATTATTTTTATTTCCCTCCATCTTTGAAATGCAGCTGACTCTTTAACCACGGGAGCTCCAACAACCCCCCATCCAGATCAGACTTGTAAGGATATGTTTGATGGTATTTTGTTGCTAATATGTACTTAATGGTTCATGCCATTTTTGTCTTTGTACTCTTAGTGTGTCCACTCGACTGCAATTTTGACATGAATATTTGTGGATGGGAGCAACTAATTCAGGATAGTTTTGATTGGACAAGACATTCAGGGCCCACCTCATCAAATCTGACTGGACCAAACAATGACCACACCACTGGAGGTAATCTTTATTTTAATATTCACATTTCCGTTCTATTTCTAAATGACTTAATACTTTCTTCTCTAGAGGGATTTTACATGTACATTGAGGGAGATGGCGTTACCCATGGAGACTCTGCTCGCTTGATGAGCTCGGTGTGCCATTTTGGTGGTGCACTGTGCTTGAACTTCTGGTACTACATGCATGGTTCAGCCACAAGCATGGCTCTCAATATTTACCTGCTTAAGAATAATAGAGCAACAAAACTATGGTCTGTAAGAAATAACCAAGGACCAGAATGGCGTTTGGCCAGTGTTGATGTCATGGTCTTCAGTCCATTTCAAGTGAGATGAAAATATGATCAACCATCACTGCATTGTTATTTAAATGTTAATGATTGAAATTATCATTTCCCAGATCATAGTAGAGGGCATAAGAGGCTCTGATGCTCTATCAGATATTGCCATCGATGACATTTCCATCAGTTTAGGCTCTTGTTCAGGTGAGGCTCTTATTTAGTGGGCAGTGTAGTCATTTGTATACTGTACATCTATGTTTAAAGTTAACTGAATCCTTAATTCAAATTTGTGCCAATTCAGAATTTCTTAAAGAAAAAACCAGCCAGGCTGCAGCTATACGTCCATTGGCCATTGCAGAAGTGCAATCTTCACAGCAAAGTAAGTAAATTAGTCTTTCAGAAGTTCAAATGCAAACTAAAGTGATTAAAGAAAAGTGGTTATGGCTAGATGTTCTTTTTTTTTAGAAAAATGCACAAGTGCCCTAATTGCTTTAACACAATGCATTCTTTAGTGTGCAGTCTTGACTGTAGCTTCAACAACAATCTGTGTACCTGGAGTCAGATGACTACTGATGCTTTTGACTGGACCAGAAGCAGTGGTTCTACCACTACACTGGCTTGTCCTGTTGACCACTCTGGTAGCAATACACTATAGAATTTATATAAGATGATGGATTATATTTTAACTGTTGTTTCCTTCTCTTTCAAGGGGATTACATTCATGTTGAGGCCAGTAGTGTCACATGGGGTGGTACAGCTCGCCTAATCAGCTCAGAATGTTCAAATACTGGTCCTCAATGTTTACAGTTCTGGTACCATATGTATAGCTCCAGTAATACAGTAGGCCTATACATTTACCTGCTTCAGAACAATGTGGCTGATGCCATTTGGTGGAAAAGCAACAACCAAGGCATTTTATGGCGCTTGGCCCAAGTCAACTTTAACACGGCACAAAATTTTCAGGTGAGTGATCCTCGATGGTGTCTGGCCATATTTGACAAACTGAACCAACTTATGAGATATTTTCCATTAAGGTAATAATTGAAGGACACAAAGGTTCCAATGACCAGTCAGATGTTGCGATTGATGAAGTAAAGCTCTATTCTGGACCTTGCTCAGGTAAGAACCATGAATAAGAAAAAATTCCAATATGAAGTTTACAGTTTACAATTTTTCTACCAAGTTCTTATCTATTGCAGGTCTAAGTGAAGTTATTGAACCACATAAAACTCAAATAGATGTAAGGAAAACTGTTTCGCCAAGTGTCCAAGCACCTACAGTGGTTCCTGAGCCTCCTGTGCTGACAGTTGTCACTGGAACACCAATTCTACCCATACTCAGTACCACCACTGTGGCTCCGATGGTCCACCCCGTGCTCAGCGAATCCACGGCAGTCTTTGTGATCCACCCCGGTATAGCAATGACTCATAAGTACTCAAGTACCTGTTAAATTTGCGATACCCCTAGTGAATAGCTTTACTTTGGACTCTTCAGGATGCCAACTTGGCTGTGATTTTGATACTGACTTTTGTCAATGGAGTCAGCTGCTCACTGATGTGTTTGACTGGAAGAGGCATAGTGGTCCCAGTCGCACAACTGGTCCTTCAGATTACGCAACAGGAAGTAATTCAGCTGCACAATCGTCTTGTACTTAATTCAATTCACTTAGGCTTAATGGTCATGATTATAACTTTGTTTGGTCTCCAAAACCCTCTAGGAGGTCATTACCTATACATTGAAGCAAACAAAACAACAATGGGGGACACTGCTCGTCTCATCAGCTCGCGATGTTCAAATACTGGCCCACAATGTCTGCAGTTCTGGTACCATATATATGGTTCAGCAAACACTATGGGCTTACACGTTTACCTGCTCCAGAACGGTGTGACCAATGCTATATGGTGGATGAGAAACAACCAAGGGAATCAGTGGCACCTGGCTCAAATAGATTTCAATACAACACAAGACTTTCAGGTGCGTAATTGTTGATGTAAACAGAAGTTTGCCATTTCTGATATTTCAGACTTAAAGGAAATTCTATTCAGGTAATAATAGAAGGACACAAAGGCTCAAATGAAGAGTCGGATGTTTCAATTGATGATGTAAAGCTTGACTCTGGACATTGTTCAGGTGAGAATCGTGTTCCAAAATGTATCCAATATACTGTAGTGTAACAGTTCCTATTCAAAGTACTAACTGGTTGCAGGTTTAATTGGAGGTACTGAACCACATCCAGCCCCAGTTCTCAATGCCACGACGAGGGCCCCAGTTCTCAATGCCACGACGAGGGCCCCAGTTCTCAATGCCACGACGAGGGCCCCAGTTCTCAATGCCACGACGAGGGCCCCAGTTCTCAATGCCACGACGAGGGCCCCAGTTCTCAATGCCACGACGAGGGCCCCAGTTCTCAATGCCACGACGAGGGCCCCAGTTCTCAATGCCACGACGAGGGCCCCAGTTCTCAATGCCACGACGAGGGCCCCAGTTCTCAATGCCACGACGAGGGCCCCAGTTCTCAATGCCACGACGAGGGCCCCAGTTCTCAATGCCACGACGCGGGCCCCAGTTCTCAATGCCACGACGCGGGCCCCAGCTCTCAATGCCACGACGCGGGCCCCAGCTCTCAATGCCACGACGAGGGCCCCAGCTCTCAATGCCACGACGAGGGCCCCAGCTCTCAATGCCACGACGCGGGCCCCAGCTCTCAATGCCACGACGCGGGCCCCAGCGCTCAATGCCACGACGCGGGCCCCAGCGCTCAATGCCACGACGCGGGCCCCAGCGCTCAATGCCACGACGCGGGCCCCAGCGCTCAATGCCACGACGCGGGCCCCAGCGCTCAATGCCACGACGCGGGCCCCAGCGCTCAATGCCACGACGCGGGCCCCAGCGCTCAATGCCACGACGGGGGCCCCAGCGCTCAATGCCACGACGCGGGCCCCAGCGCACTCCCCAGGTATTATTTTGACTCATGGATTGCTCTTACCTTGTTTGATGCTGCCCCAAGTGATTTAATTTTTTCTCAAACTCAAGGATGCCAACTTGACTGTGATTTTGACATTGGCTTTTGTCAATGGAGCCAACTGCTCACTGATGTATTTGACTGGACGAGGCATAGTGGACCCACTTCTACCCCTCAAACTGGTCCCCCTCTGGATCATACATCAGGAGGTAATAGTTAGGAAATTTATAATTTTCTTGTACAGATAATTCATTTAAGCTCACCTGTTTTGATGATGATGATGATAATAATATTAATATTAATAATAATAATGCATTTAATTTAAAGGTGCCTTTCAAAACCCAAGGTCACCTCTCAAAACATGATAAAACTTGCACAAAAATAAGAATAGGATAATTATAGTCTTATAACTTTGTCCCCCTCCCTTCCCCAAGGAGGTCACTACCTTTACATTGAAGCTGAAAAAGCAACACTTGGGGACACAGCTCGTCTCATCAGCTCAAGATGTTCAAATACTGGTCCTCAATGTCTACAGTTCTGGTACCATATGTATGGTTCAGCAAATACTATGGGTCTTCACGTTTACCTGCTTCAGAACAGTGAGTCTAAAGCCATTTGGTGGAAGAGTAACAACCAAGGAAATCAGTGGCACTTGGCTCAAGTAGGCTTTAACACAACACAAGATTTTCAGGTAAGTAATGCACAAAGTGGCTCGCTATTAAGATTCTTCAAACTTAAAGACATTTTATTTAAAGCTAATAGTTGAAGGACGCAGAGGTTCGAATGAGCAGTCGGATGTTGCAATTGACGACATAAAGCTTCATTCTGGACTATGCTCAGGTGAGAAACTATTCACATTTTGTGCATTTACAGTTTTATAAGTGCTTAATTGTTGCAGGTCAAAGTGGCGTTACTGCACAACCAACTCAAACGGATCAAAGGACAACCGTTTCTTCAAGTTACCAGGCACCTACCACAGTTGTCCCTGGACCCCCTTTGCTCCATGTTACAAATAAAACTCCTAATTCCCCTGTGCTGCAAGTTTCAAAAGGAACCTCAGCGGCGCCGGTGGTGAGCGCCTCCACGGCGGCGACGGTCCAGCCAGGTATATTACTGACTCATTACAAGCACTTCGGTTCCCATTAAATTGCACTGCCTGTGGTTTTGATTTCTTGTTTGAACTTTGTCTAGAATGCCAACTTGATTGTGATTTTGACACTGACTTTTGTCAGTGGAGTCAACTCTTCACTGATGCGTTTGACTGGGAAAGACATAGTGGGCCTGCTCAAATTCTAAGTGGCCCCACTTCAGATCACACAACAGGAGGTGATTCAAACAATTTAATTTCATTTATACTACCCAGTATCTGTCCTATTGGTCTTAACTTGACCTGTTTTTTTTTTCTTCCCCCACTGAAAGGAGGTCACTACCTTTACATTGATGCTAAAAAAGCAACACTTGGAGGCACTGCTCGTCTCATAAGTTCCAAATGTTCCAGCTCTGGGCCACAATGTCTTCAGTTCTGGTACCATATGTATGGCTCTGCTGACACAATGGGTCTTCATGTGTACCTTCTTCAGGACAAAGCAATGTCAATATGGAGAAAAAAGAATGACCAAGGAAACATGTGGCATTTTGCTCAAATTCACTTGATAACAACTGCAGCATTCCAGGTGAGCAGTTCGAATTTTTTTTTTGTCCTTTCCAATGTTTTTTTAAAAGGACAGAATAGTCTCGAGTGACCTGAAGAATGGAATGTCATGTGAGATTAATCAAAACACCTATGGCATATTTTAGGTCATTGTTGAAGGACGACTAGGTTCGACTGAATTGTCTAACATTGCGATAGATGACATTATACTTCACGAAGGATTCTGTGAAGGTATGTTTCTTGAATCAGTTTTTAGTTATACTTCCAACATCTTAACAATAATTCCATTTTACAGACTCTGTCGAACCATCAACTACCAGTCCAGTTAAGTTGAGTCCTGTAATTAATTCAATACAGTCTCAAATAAGTGGTTCTCAACCTGGATCGTCTTCAACCACTGCTAAACCAGAGTTGACAACACTAGCTCTAACCAATTCAACACCTAGGCCAAATCTCTCAACGGCTAACCCTACAACTCTGCAACCAGGAGCACTTGATACACGTAAGCTGGATTCTTAATCATAAAGGGGATGTAGAACTATTCTGCAGAGACTGTCGTATTGAATTCTTGAGATAATTGACTAAACATTTGCCTCTTAGCACCCTCTTGTGCAGAGAATAGCCATTACACCACCTGCATTCCTAAATGCAGCCCAACATGTGCCTTCATGCATGGCCCACCAAACTGCAATGTCAACAAAACTTGCACTGCAGGTTGTGCATGTAATGATGGCTCTGTACAAAAAGGGAAGTATTGTGTGCCTATACAAGAGTGTGGCTGTGTGGACCGGAATGGCTTCAAACATAATGTGAGTGGTCAAAATGGACAATGACTTAAAATCATTAAGTACTTGCATTGTTTACATGTAATTTTTGACTTCTTCCAGTTCAATGACGTGTGGTACACCAATCACTGCAGCCAGAAATGTGAGTGTAATGGTGATCGCGGCCGTGGGGCAGTTTACTGTCATGATGAGGGGTGTGGTGATGACGAAGTCTGTCTGCAAAGTGAAATGGGCCAGTATTACTGCGCATCTACAGGTACTGTAACAACCCAAGTACATGATCAAAATCTAAATTTTATGTCTTAATTAAAACCTCCTCCCACAGACTTCAGCGAGTGCACAATCGAGGGGGACCCAGAGTACAAAACGTTTGATAAAATGAAGCATGACTTTAAAGGGATGCACTTGTATGTGCTGGTCAGGACCAAAAACCTGCCAAGTAACCTTCCTGAAATCTACATAGAGGGTACCAATGCATGTGAGGAACAAAGCGGCCAATCCAATGAAGAGGATGACGGCGGTCAGTCTGAAATGGAACGATTTCAGGAGCTTAAAGTCACAGTGTACAATCTTACGGTGGTGCTCAAGCAGAAACACAAGGTGTTTGTAAGTATTGAAACTTTTAGAACCTGTTTATACCTTGGTGTGAATCTATTTAAAGGGATACTATGCAACTTTTTCATATTTTAAATCATTTTCTTGAACCAGCATGTGCTAAAATGACCCTTTATAGGGTTAATGAAATATTACTCAGACCCCACCGCTCCAAGTGGCCAGAATATTGCGCTAGCAACTTAAGTTACCGGGCCGCTCCCCAATGATGGGAGGAGCTATGGAGTGGAGCTGACATTGTGAAGCTGGGGTCTGCTTCATGCATGTTAACTGCATGTTACAAATGGTGAACAAAGTTCATTTGATTTTTGTGATTGAACGCTCTTCGAGAAACTGATGAAAGCTGGAGACTTTTCTGCAGTTAGATTAAGGTGTTAAAAGACAACCTCACAGCAAGGAGAAGTGTAACATTTGGTTTAGTGGATTTATAACTGACACTAAAACATGCTAAAATAAAGAAAAATGCATATAGTATCCCTTTAACTTGAGACGTTCATGAATTTTTCAGCTGATTGCACTGCCTACTACTTCTCTTCCTCCAGGTGGATGGACAACAAATTAAAATTCCAGTCTCTCCAGCTCCTGGCCTTAACATCCATGAGCATTCCTCTCGTATCTACCTGAGAACTGACTTTGGTTTTTCTGTGGAGTTCAGTTCAGACTGCAAAGCCGGTAAGTGCTTTGGACAAAATATCAAAATGAGTACAGTTTCATCTTAATGTAGCGATGTGGATTAGTTACATTTATTAAAAGATCAATAAGATTTAATGGTCCATATAAATATGAATCATCAATCTGGTCTTTTAATATTTGGTTTAAACTATTCAGGGAACACAATTCATATTAAGACAAAGCAAAGTCTAGTTTATAAGGAGGTAGCTATGCTACAAACGTCTAGCTTACATTCCATCATTTCATTATCTGTTATCTTGTGCAACCATTTCACCCATAATTTGTAATTTATAATTTAGAAATATAGAATTAAATTATTTTTTATAAACTATACCCTTGACTCTATCTTAACATGAAGTGTGTTCCCTGAATAATAAAACAACCTAAGGTAATATTAAATCTAATATTAAAAGACTAGATTGATATTTATATGGAATATCACATCTTATTGATCATTTGATAAATGTAGCTAATCCACATCGCTAAGCATCAACTTTTCTGTGTTCTTGCAGAGATCATTCTACCGCATTTCTACAAGAGAAGGGTGGAGGGCTTGTGCGGAAACTTTGATGGCCGAAAAATAAATGACAATGTGAAACCAGATGGCACTACGGCGAAAAGCATTCAAGAGTTGGGGGAAAGCTGGAGAGTTTAATGTGATGCGTTTTACAATCGTTACAAAATAGTTTTCAATTAGTCTATTTGAATTATTGTTCACATGAAGCACTACACGTTTATCTGGACTAACAAATTAACCTGAAGGGCAGGGGTGGTTGGGTGCTGCTTTTATGCCTTGCTTGTGCAACTGCAAGATTGCCAGATTTATGTTTTCATCGTACAAGTCTCTGGAAAGCCTTGTCAGTAATTTGTTTTGATGCATTCAGATGTTGTGAAACCTTTGTACTGTATTTATTTGAAAATCATACTAAAGTCTTTAAATTGAATTGGTATCCCTTGAGTATTTTTGTAAACTGCATGCAATAAATGGTGTAAATTATTTTAATGTTTTGAAACCTGCTGGCTTTTTTCAGGTGAAATTTTGAATAAAATAAAATAAACTCAAAAGGCCTGAAACTTTTTTGAGCCACTTGGCTAACCCTGAGCCCACTTACTCGTGTTGCTCATCATTCTAAACCAGCCTTGTACTTGGTAACTGTTGCAGTACTGCATTCAATAAAGTCAAATCATCTTTCAGACTTCTGCAGAATATGTAACAGATTAATTTAATTTGTCATTGATCAAGTGAATAAAAATTAATTGAAAATGGAACAGGTTTGCCTGTCAGGTGTCAGAAATGCGGATGTTTTATGATGTAATAAGTGACCAAAGGTGGTTTCAAAACCAGTAGAACTGGAAAGTTGAAAGATCTTAGAGGAAAAGCTGTCCTAGGACCTGAGCATTGACACTTAGTTGCTCAACAGCCATAACCATGGAGTTCTTTGAGCGTTACCTTTTGATTATAATAGGGATACTGCATTCCTGTGAGGGTGAGTAAAATATACATCTCTAACATGATTCTTTTGGTCAAATTTAAAATTTTCTCATAAAATAACAGCTATTTCAATGATCAATGCAAATTATGATTTAAGGAATGATTTCAAGGCATCGGGAAGGGGATATGAGCAGTGTACATCATTATGTAGATCAATCTTTATATTTTCTAATGCAACAAATATATAAACACAATGAAATGTACGTGACATCCTGCTGGTAAAACCCGATTCCATTTGTAGCGTCACGAAATGGCCTGGTTTTAAGACTCAGGGCAGATCCACAGCCTGGGTCACCTTGCCCTGGCCACTGCTCCAATCTCCGATAGTCCTTCACAGGAGACTTAAAGTCCGCTACCACTCCTTCAATCTGCAGCTGTCTTCTTATCTGACTGCTATTCCATCCACAGCAAGGCGAGGACATTTCAAGATTTAAAAGAATCATTTAAACTCTTTACTACTAATCATCAAGGTTAATTATAACTGTGTTTAATTACTGAAATGAATTATTATTCTTTGGTTAATTATTTATGATAATCAGTTATGTTAATGACAAGTAATCATGTGCACTTATACACAGAAACACAGGTCACAGTAACTAAGTTAAAGGTAACTTGCGCTCACATGGTCTTTTCCCATAACACCAGAATTTTTTATCTTCAGGAGGGCGTGTTTCTGAGGGTTTGTTAAACTTTCCTTCTACATGTCAAAACCTGATTCGTTAGAAATGATAATAGCCATCTTTTAAAACAGAACTCTCGTCATTTGCGAATGAGTTCTAGAGAAGTTGGGACGGCCGCCCAACGCTCTTTAACCAACAAAGCAATTTCTGTCATGCTGGCAGAAATTGCTCCGACACAACCAAACGACACCTGCAGAACAGCCTGATGCTTCGAGATTCCTTAAGAATCTGCAGACGCAACCCAATTCCACCTGAAATTCACATGCATACATGTATATATATATATATATATATATATATATATATATATATATATATATATATATACACACACACATACACATACACATATATATACACATACATATATGTATACATATATACACACATACACATACACATATATATACACATACATATTTGTATATATATATATATATATATATATATATATATATATACACACATATGTATATATACACATACATATATATATATGCATGTGAATTTCATTCGTCAATTAGTTTGATCTTCTTAGGGATTAAAACATAAGCTGACAGCAACAGCCTTTAATTCCTAGATATGTGGTTTATTAACCCTACACATTTGACATGCGATCCCGGATGAAACTTTATGAATTACTCAGTTGTACTTCATACTTTAAAGTTTGGGGATAGAGAAAGGATTTATTTTAAGAGACATCACATGATAGTGAGATTAAATTAACTACATAGAGGCCAAGATGCAACACAGTTCCTGTTCCTAATTACATGAAACTGACTAATTGTCATGTCCGAACAGCTCTCATTTCAATATTCCGTCATGAATAAGCTTGGTTATGTTTTGTGTTTGAAATGACTAAGTCATAACTTTATGAGCCATTTTTCACTGTTTTACCAGTAAATAAATGTCATTTCCCTGAATACCAGTGAGTTAAGGATTTTGTCATTTAGGTCAAACAATATCAGCAGATGCATCAACAGGTAATTTCCACAATGTAACTATTGTAATGCCTGTTAGTTATTGCAACATATTGATGAGCTGCATTTAACTTTAGCACTGTTTCCTCAAGTTAACGTTTTATTTCAATTGTTTCAAGCAGTGGCGGATCCATAATTTTTTTCTGCAGGTGCTATGAAGGAGCTAGTCTTTTTAAATCTCGTTTAAAGACCCACTTTTACACTTTGGCTTTTAGACAGTGACTCGTTTTAGTGTTTTATTGTGTCATTGTTTTAATGTGCTCTTATTATTCATGTTTTTTCTGCTTTTAATTGAGATTTTTATCCTTTGTTTTAGCTCCTTGTAATGGGTGTGTTTTGTTTTAGCCTGTGCAGCACTTTGGGCAGCTCCCATGCTGCATTTTAAATGTGCTATATAAATGCTATGCTATGTTATGCTATGCTTTATTGAGGGTGCTATGAAGGAAGTGGTCATGCGTACATATACTGTTCTCTAAAACTTGAACTTGAAATTGCTTAGTTAAACAGGTAAAATGAAACCAACCACATAAACACGTCGTTCTGTTTCCATTATCTGCTATATAAACATATCTAATTTATTGAAACAAAATGGGCATTTAATACACAATGATTGTTTAATTTTTTAATGATGATAAATAAAATCTAGATAAGACAAAGTTACATTTCAAGACTTGAGTTGAAACACCAGTTGCATTCACGCTTCAGGGGATTTCTTTAACACGAACACATTACTTCCTGCTTCAAGCGATCTACTGCATCATCTTTATCTGTTATCAGTGTTCTGTTACTGCTTGTTCTAGCATTCTTAACCCTTTAATGTTCTCACTATAGTTTATTTTTACAGGTATTTTTTGCACTTCTAATCATTTGGTGCTCTTGTGGGAGCAGATTTTCAGAGACGTTCAGCACACGATCCACAAAGAGTGTGAATGAACGTCCATTTGGAGCTGTACAAAATCTGTACCGCAAAGAGGCTTGAGTCAGCATGACCATTAGCAGGACCTTTTTTTATTTTTTTTTTATTTTTATTTTTTTTAGTATTTCCATAACAAATCAGAGAGAAAACTTGTTCTTGAAATAATTTTTTTTCTGGAAACTTTAGATATGCATTCAATTTTTTTTTCTTAGAATCTAAAAATTCACTGTTTATTTTATTATTTGCAAAGTTCTAGCTCAAGAACCAGATTCAACTACTAATACAGGCAATATCGTCATCCCAACTACATAACTTCTACTTTCTGTGTCTGTTAATTTATTGAAACTGACTGAATTAATTTACTAATTTCTGTCAAGCAATACTGATTATGGTTACACATCTAAACCTAGTTTAAGACAAATTGAGCTTTAATAAATGAAACACACAATCACTTTCAAGTATTTTTTCAAAGGTTGACATAAAATTCTAAACTTTGAGAAGTTCAAACCTAAAATACAACTTCAAAGTGTATCTCAACATGAGCTCAATTTCGTTTCTGATCCCCATATGTTTTATTTTTCACAAAAGCCTCTAAAAGCTGATGGTTTGAAGCTTTATTAGGATTATTGAATATTTTCTGTTGTTGTTGTTTGAAAGACAGCTTTGTCGTGACAGACTGAAAAGCAACATTCCTTAGTTACACTGTACTTCAGAGGAATTTTTTGTCACTTTTCCAAAACTCAGAAATGAAGTTTATCTTGTGATATTTTTCTTCTTCCTGAATGCCATTGAGTTGATGTGCTATTGTACTATGGCGACTGTGCTAAATGCCAGTTGTACTTACTACTAGTGCAGCATAGCTCAGGAGGTAGAGCGGGTTGTCCAGTAATCAGAGGGTTGCAGGATCCCCTGCAGGGAATTTTGCTGTTGTGTCTTTGAGCGAGACATTTCACCCTCCTACCAGTCAACCCCATGAATGCGTTTGGCCTTTGGGAAGACGCCTGAGTGCCAAGAGAAAACCCACACTGGCATAAGAAGAACATGCAATCTTTGTGCAGAAAGGCTGCTAAACAATTACTGAAAAATCTTCTCTTGTATTCCAACAGTTTTAAAAATTACAGCTACATCATGACAAACATGATGTAGCTGTAATCATATACAGAATCACATACATGTGATACAGAACAATATGTTCTGTATCACAGATCGTACTTCTTCATCCCTAAAACCAATAAAAATGCTGACAGAATCTTCATCTCATCTGTTCCTATTTTAACAGCAACTACTGAACCTCCCGTGATTCCTTTGCCTATGACTACCACACAGACCACCAGCGATGCCACATCACCTTCTGGTGGTTTTCAAATACCAGACTCAACGTCTGAAGGTTGGTCATGTTCAGTGTGTTGGGAGTAACGCGGTACAAAAGTAATTAATTACTGTAATGCATTGCTTTTTGCTATAATGTGGTAATGTAAGGCATTACAGGGAAAGAAAATGGTAATATTTACTCGGTACAATTGTCAGTAACGCGGTAATTACAATGCATTTTTAAACCCAGAATCAAGCTGTGTTTCTTAAAAATTCAATCTGCGGGAAACCCGAAAAAAGTTCCAGTATCTGCATATATTACGTCATTTATGGACTCAGCTTGCAGGCAGAGAGGATGCAGTGGTAACGGCTCAACTACTCCAGCTGCATCCTGCACGCGGCCGCTATAACATTCACAAAATCGCTCCACTAAAACAAAATAATTCACCTGCGATCGTTCATATCAGCGCATGTTCTCTGGTATTCTGTACTTTTCTGACATGCTTTGCCTCAGCTGAGTTAATCTGGGCTCCGGTGATTTCAACTCATTGCTGCTGGAGCGCCGCACATGTGAAGATCCCTTTGGCTGATTAGTTGGAAAGTGGGAAATCTAGGAAACTGGTTTTCTGGAAGACGGAGAACACATGCAGCATGCAGGAAGGTTAGAGAGAGAAAGGGCAGGAAATTATTCAAATAAAATCAAGAAAACAAAACAAAGTGCTTGAAAAGAAAAAATGTAGGTAGATTTATCCCCAATACTCATTTTTACCAGTGAAAAGCAATAATATATAAGCATTTAATATTTATACATGTGATAGAATCAGATCACCCCAGAAGTCAGTCCCACATCCAGGGCCGTATCAAGGCATTTGGGGACCAAGGTAAATATAGGCTTGGAGCCCCCACCACCTCACTCGCCGCTCAATCTAAGATGGCAGCGTGCTGAGAGTACAGTTTGTTGTTGCATTTATTACATAAACAATTCTTCTAAAGAACAGTTTTAACAGCAATCCTAGCTCAGACACCACATCACCTTCCACCGGATGTGTCATGAGTTCACCAGGCATCAGATTACCAAACTCATACTGAAGTTGTTTTCTTGAAAGTAACAGAGTAATGCAAAAGTAGTGTAATGCCTTACATTTTAAAATCAGTAATATTGTAATGTAATGAATTACTTTAAAATGACCATAACAAGTAATAAATAATGCATTACAGTTTTGAAGTAACTTGCCCAACACTGGTCATGTTAATGTTAAAACTAACAAAGTGAGTCAGAAGAAAACTGGTGCTTTAGCACGGCTCTTCCTTACTGTGTACTACCGCTCCATCAATGACCAATGCAGCAACTGGGTCAAATACCGGTTGCACTTACAACCAGAGCGGCAGTAGTTTAGAAGGTAGAGTGGGTTATCCAGGTATCAGGGTTGCAGGATCAATCCCACCTCCCTGAAGGGAATCCTGCTGTTGTGTCTTTGAGGGAGACATTTTACCCTCCTTACAGTCAACCTTACATGAATGCTTTTGGCCAATTGGAGGAAGCCTGAAAACCCAGAGAGAACCCACACTGGCATAGGGAGAGCATGCAACCTTTGTGCAGAAAGGCTGCAGCCAATATTCAAATATGTGACCTTCTAGCTGAAAGACCTTAGTGCTACCAACTGAGCCAACATGCAGCCCCAGTAACAAAATTAACAAATTAACATAAGTGGAAGAGTTGGCCAAACAGTTACTGAAAAAAATCTTATTTTTTTATATTCTAGCAGTTTTAGAAATTATAGCTACATCATGACAAACATTATTACATTTTAAAATCGTTAGCTGACTCTGTTATAACCAAAATCTTGTACTCTTCCAACGTCAGACACCAGCTCACGTACGTTCTGTATCACAGATCGTACTTCTTCATCCCTAAAACCAATAAAAATGCTGACAGAATCTTCATCTCATCTGTTCCTATTTTAACAGCAACTACTGAACCTCCCGTGATTCCTTTGCCTATGACTACCACACAGACCACCAGCGATGGCACATCACCTTCTGGTGGCTTTCAACTATCAAACTCAACATCTGAAGGTTGGTCATGTTAATGTTAAAACTAAAACTCATGTTTTAGTGTGGCTCTTCCTTACTGTGTACTACCACTCCAACAATGGCCAGCGCAAAGACTACCCATTCACCAGGTAGCAGCGACATTCGACTGCATCGTTCTACCTGTAATTTACAGTGACAGAGGATATCAGAGAAAATCATCTACTTCTATTCTACCCACTCTGCTTTCATTTCTTGTAACCCTCCCAAACCCATGTTTGCCTTCAGATAGTTCTAAATATGCCTCTGAAGTATGACGACATACTTACACATCTATCAGAATATTTTTCTAACTTGTGTGTGTGTGTGTGTGTGTGTGTGTGTGTGTGTGTGTGTGTGTGTGTGTGTGTGTGTGTGTGTGTGTGTGTGTGTGTGTGTGTGTGTAACTATGTAATGTTAATAATAGTTACTAATGTAACTATTGCACTTTCTATTTCCAGTAGTTACTGCAACATATTGATCAGCTGCATTCATTGTTAGCACTGTTTCCTCATGTTATCCTTTCTTTAACTGTGTATTCCCATTGTTAAATTTTTTTCCTTAAAGATTTAAAATACAAAGATCCTTTGTGATTTTTTTAGTTAATATTTATACAACTTAGTTCTACAGGTAACACTCTTTTCCCTGTTCCCATCAACTGCATCCATGTTCACCAGTGTGTTTCAGATTATTACATGTCTAAATGCATCTAGGAACAAACTGGGCATTTACATCATAATGATTTTCATTTAAAAATAACAAAAACTACAATCTAAATAAAGCTCTGTTAAATAAAAATGATAGAAAACAACTTCAGATGAAACACTTTTGTTATTTTTCTGATCTCTGCATGCATAATTAAAAAAAACTCGTGGCTTTGACTTTGACACTAACTGGCCATGACAGTTTGAAAACCAGCTTTCCCTTGATATTCTGAAGAACAGCATTCCTGGTTATGTTGTACAAAACTGTTCAGAGTTGCAGATCCACCCCTTTTAATTTTCCCATGACTTGATTTGAAACACCAGTTGCATTTACGCCTCAAGCAGGGGATTTCTTCAACACAAACACATTACTTCCTGCTTCAAGCAATCTACTGCAACACATTTATCAGCTGTTTCTGTTATCAGCCTTCTGTGTCTACATAACATTCTTAACCCTGAAATGTACTCAGCTTATTTTTACAGGTATGTCTTTAAATGAAAAATGTCAAACTTCCAATCATTTGGTGCTCTTGTGGGAGCACCAAATAACCGCTTTTCTTTCAGACCGCACAGATTATTGTTACATTTAAACCAAGTTTAAAACAAATTAAGCTTTAATAAAATGAAACACAAGATCACTTTCAATCTTTTTTTCAACGGCTGACATAAAATTCTAAACTTGTGAAGTTTAAACCTAAAATACAACTTCAAAATGTATCTCAACATGAGCTCAAAGTTGCTTCTGATCCCTATATGTGGTATATTTCACAAAAACCTCTAAAAGCTGATGGTTTGAAGCGTCATTAGGATTATTGGATATATTCTGTTGTTGTTTGAAAGCCAGCTTTGTCGTGACAGACAGAACAGCAACATTCCTTAGTTAAGCTGTACTTCAGATCAACAGGGTTTGTTGGGACTTTTTCTAAATTTAGCAATGAAGATTTTTTTTGTCATATTTTCCTCTTCCTGAATGCCATAGAGTTGATGTATAGCACTTTGGCAACTGAATCAAATACCAGTTGCACTTACTAGAGCTGCAGTAGCTCAGGAGGTAGAGTACGTTGTCCAGTGAATGAAGGGTTGCAGGATCAATCACCATTCCCTGTAGGGAATCCTATCGTCGAGTCCTTGGACAAGATACTTCACCCTCCTTGCTTGCTGGTGGTGGTCAGAGTGACTGGTGACCTCTGTGTACAGCAGCCTTATCCAAGCTGTGGCTACAGTGTAGCTCATCACCATCAGAGTGTGAATGTTTGTGTGAAGTGCTTTGAAGTCCTCTGACTCAGAAAGGTGCTATACAAGCACAGGTCATTTATCACTACTCCAGCTGGCACTTCCTATTTCCATTTAATGTAATCGTTTTAAATCTTCCTCTGGAGTCAAATAGCTCTTACATTTCTCAAATCCATTCACTCACACCAAATATGAATGTGGCTCAGGAGGTAGGAGTTCTCTAACTGGTGGATTACTGGTTCAAACTCCATCCATCTCAGTCACTGTGTCCTTGAGCAAAACCCTTGAACTGATCAGGTGGTGGTAGTCAGTGCGTCCTGCGGCAGCTTCACTTCTGCCAGTGTGCCCATGGGCAGTTGTAGCTACGCTGTAGTTTAACACTTTCAGCATGTGACAAGGTGAATCAGTAGGGACTGACTGACTGATTGTATTGTGAAGTGATTTGGAGTCCTTGGACTTGATAAAACATGAACAAATACAGACCATTGACTATTTATTTTCAGGAACAATATATGATTACCAGTCAACATGTCATTCTCAGTCATCCAGGTCACCATCCTCATTATCAACTTTGTTTATTAAGCGCTTTCCATTTGTCAGGAGACAAGCCAAAGTACAGTACACGTATAAAAGAATTAAAATATTTCTGACCCATGGAAGGACCAACAAAGTATACATGAAAACAAATAAAACCGGGGGATAAAAGCAAAAGGTGTTGGTGAAAGAAAAAAATAAAACTTGATAAAAATTTGCTAAATTATCTAAAAATATGGCTAACTCACATGCTGGTGGAGCACCGCAGTAGAATAGTGAGTCTTCATCTGACTCTTAAAAACTGGCAGTGAGGTCACGGTAATCCAAAGGGGTTTGGATGAAGGCAACTTGGCTTCTTTGGTTTCTTGTAGGCATTTTGCTTCTCATGGGAGCTTTGTCAATTTGGACAGAAATTTGGGAGGGTCAAGCTCGTAAACTGTAGCTGTCTATTATTTCTTGATGAGCTGAAACTACATGTGAATACCCCTTCTCCCTCCCCCCTCAGGAGTCATTGGGGTTGTTAGGCTCTATTGTGTGGTGATGGTTGTTGAAATTAGATGCAGGATGGTGTGATAACTGAAACTGTTTAGGTTTTTCCCATTTGACATAGACAGGTTCCTTGACTCCTCTCTCACACCATCTAGCTACTCTGTCCAGAATGTGTACTTTGTCATCTTCAAAAGTGTGTCCCTTGTCCTTTAGGCGTAAGTAGATTCCAGAGACTTGACCTAAAAATGTGGCTCTCCTGTTTTGTGCCATGTGCTTGTGTTTGGTTTCCCCTGCGTACAAGTCTGGACAGTCTTCATTGCAATGGATGGCACAAACGACACCACAAGGATTCTGTTGGGGTGTTTTGTCTTTTTGGATAAACCAATTTCTGTCTGAGGGTGTTGTTGGGTTTAAGGTTTACCGGGATGCTGTGTTGGGAGAAGATTCTTCTTCTCTGAGAACCCTGTTACGTATGGGATGATGGTGCTTTGCGCCTTTTAGCTACAGTTTATAAGCTTTACTATCCCATATTCCAGTCAGAATTAACTAAACTCCTTGGATGAGAAGCAAAATGTCTTCAAGAAACCCAAAATGTCCAGTTGTCTTCATTCTAACCCCTTTGGATTACCAGTCAACCTTACATGAATGCTTTTGGCCAATGGGAGGAAGTCTGAGAACCCAGAGAAAACCCACTCTGGCATAGGGAGAACATGCCAGCTCTGTGTAGAATGGCCTGAGCCAATATTCAAACATGTGACCTTCTAGCTGCGAGACCATAGTGCTACCAACTGAGCCAACATGCAGCCCCAGTAACAAAATTAACAAAGTAACATTAGTAGAACAGTCAGCTAAACAGTTACTAATAAATATTTTAGTCTAAAACTCATTTCTAACTTGTTGCAGCTACAAGCGTCATAAGGTTTCAAATCATTAGCTGACTCTGTGATAAACAAAATCTTTATTTGTTAAATGAGTAAAATGTCAGACACTAGCTCAAGTTCTATATATGTCAAATTGTACTTCTTCATCTCAATAAAATACTGGTAGACTCTTCCTCTCATCTGTTCTTTTTTAACAGAAATCCCTACATCTCCTATGATTCCTTCCAACACAACGACACATTCTGATAATATATAAATATATATATATAAATAACAAACTCAACATCTGGAGGTTGGTCATGTTAATGTTAAAACAAAGTAAGTCAGAAAAAGCTCATTTTTGGCACGGCTCCCCTTTACTGTGTACTACAGCTCCAGCACTGGGCAACACAACAGCTCCCATTTCACCAGGTAACAACGGCATACACTCTGCTTCCTTCTACCTGTAATTTACACTGACAGATGATATCATCTACTGTACTTCTATTCTACCCACTCTGCTTCCATTTCTTGTAACCCACCCAAACCCATGTTTGCCCTCAGACAGTTCTTTTAAAACCCTCTGAAATATACGAGGGCTTTTCTATTGAGATTTTTATAATCTTTCTTTTTGTCTGTCTGTCTTTCTTAGTCCCAAGCTGTGCTCTTCCATTTCCAATGTGTTGCCCTGGACGCAATGATGCCTGTCGCAGAGTCTCGTGCTACTGTGACCAATATTGCTTGCAAAACAACGACTGCTGTTCTATGTGTCAACCTGCAGTGAGAATAAATATGGAATATACAAACTGATAATAGCTCCATAGTGCCGCACAGATAGAGAGCACCCACAAATATTTTGTATCTTTATGTTCTTAATCAGCAGCCAACATCACTTCTGCACCCACCGTGACTCTCCCTGAGGGATCGACATGGCAATCAGACAACACCACCACTTCTTCTACAGGTTGGTTTTTGTCAAGTAAACGTTTTTCATGATTATGCAAAGCTGGAATTATTTACAATAAAGGTATATCAATAACCATTTCAAAAGTACATGACATACAGCTACATCATGACAAGCATTATTATATTTAAAAATCATTAGCTGACTCTGTTATAACCAATACCTTGTATTTTTAATGAGTAAAACGTCAGACACCAGCTCACATAAGTTTTGTATCACGGATCGTACTTCTTCGTCCCTAAAACCAATAAAAGTACTGACATGTCCCTCCTCACATCTGCTCCTTTTTTAAGCAAGTACCACACGAACCACCAGCGATGCCACACCACCTTCTGGTGGCTTTCGTATATCAAACTCAACATCTGAAGGTTGGTCATGTTAATGTTAAAACTAACAAAATGAGTCAGAAGAAAACTCATGGTTTAGCATGGCTCCTCTTTACTGTGTACTACAGCTCCAAGAATGACCAGCGCTGCAACCACCTACTCACCAGGTAACTGTAACCGATAACTTGTATTTTTTAAATGAGTAAAAGGTCGGTGGTCAGCTCTAAGTTCTGTATGTCAGATCGTACTTTGTCATCTCAATAAAGTACTAGCATATTATTCCTCTCATCTTCATGTACATCTTCATCTCTGCAGCTTTCAATACAAAAAACACCTACACCTCCCACATCCCATGGTATTCCAATGATACACCCCCACTTATTCTACTGTTTTTTTTTGTCATGTAAACATTTTCCATGATTGTGCAAATCTGAAATTATTTACAAAAAAGGTTTATCACTAACCATTTTAAAAGTACATGACCAGGTTAGCAAGACCTCAAAAACCCTGTTTTCATATTAACAATATCTGAACGTTGCATTTAATGGTGGATCCATATTTACCATATGCTACAGCACATCATGAATGATAAAAGCAAAAGCAATGAGGATGTTTTCATTTAATCTGTACTGAATCTAATTCTGGGTTTCACACTTTTAACACTTTATAAAAAAATGATTTACCTACACAGATCTACAAGAAAATGTTCCTTAATGCTTTATCACACACTGTGATTCCTGTTTGCCTTTTCTTTTTTTAACTCAGAGACAAAAAAATCGTCTGATTTGTGTGTACTGGTGCAGACATGTGTATCACTGATCAAGATGTACAGTGTGACATCTCTGCTTGCTTCCATTGCTTGAAACCCCAGAAGGTGTATCTTAAATCCCAGAGCAATGCATGCATACTTGCATTATATTTCACTTTTAAAGGTGTTTAATCCCTTTCCACTAACTTGCTGGGTTCAAACACAGGCTTTGCACTTTTCCGTTTGATCAACATTTTGACATTTGTAATAAATGGCAGGGTGGAGATGAAAGCAGCTTAGGATGTGTGTAGGTGGGTGGCAAATGAGCAACAACTTTAGTTTTCCACAAGTACTTGTTTAAAATTTTTGAAAAATAGAATGCCAGATTCACAGCGAATTACTAAATAATACTCTAGTCCACAAACATAAAGAAGTAAAATGGTGACCTACTGATCACAAGAGAAGTGGCGCCATCATGTGGCGACGCACTCCATCACATCAACAGCAGCGACAATGACACATTCCCAGTATTGACAAAGCTCATCAACCACTTTCAGCTCAGAAAAAAATTATTTGTGGTGTTTGATTTTCGAGAGATATCATATCAAAGAGTTTTTGTTTTTTGTTTTTTTTCTGTTTCAGATACCCGACCTGTAAGAGTTTTCTTAAATGCTCATATTTTATCAAGTTATAATGAGGATGAAGTTTTTAAGGCTTTTTCTGATGTAAGTACACATTTTCAAAACATGCATTTCACAGTCTTCATCTCAAAGTGTTTGAGTTAATAATACATGTATTTCTATTTTCTCACAGTATGTATCCCGGGTGCTCCAGCAGAGCTGCAGAGGCTGCACCGTGTCACTCGGGCTCATCCGTACCCCTTAACAAGTGCCTACTCTCAGCCACAGACTGCACCAGCTGTGGTGCGTCAAGCTGCAAAACAATCTGTCAAATCTAAACTTTAAATCATCACTTGGTGAAGACACAAAAATTGTATCAGTCAAGTGGTCTTTGTAGTTTGGCTTTTTGTAAAACCAGTAATGCAAATCAGAGTCGCCAGTCACAAACCTTCTAGCTAGTTTTACGTCCTCTGAAAAATGGCAAATAAAACATGTTTTATATTGAGATGAAGCACAAGCCATTAAAATACAGTTTATTGGTAGGTGTTGAGTAAACAAATGTACAGGGTTCAGTAAAAATGTGTCTAACTGTGTTGTTTTCTTTTAGTTTTTCATTATCTCTGTTTCTTTTGTGGGTACTGGTAAAAATATTTTATTTTTGTGTTAATGTTTTCAAATCCTCAGTTTTACATATTTGATTTTGTTCTGTATTTTTCAGCTTCCTGTGATCAAGTTGCTTTCTTTATGGTTTTTGGTTAAGTTGCCGAGCAAAATCCATTTGCTTCAGCAAATGAAGGTCTAGATTCCAGGCTAGAAAATGCATGAAGCCAAAAACTGCTTTGGGTGTGTTTATTCATGAGGACATAACAATAAAACATGGTCCAAAGCTCCAAAAGTTGATTTTTGCATGATGAAGTTCTTTTAACATAAAAATGTTCACCATCCTCCCCGCTTAAAACAATCTGCTGCAGCATGTTGATCATTGATCAGCTCCACTCTATTGTTCTAACATTCTCAACACTTATGTATACTGAGTTATACATTTTTAATGCGAAGGTCAGCAAATCAGAGTCCACAGCAAAGGATTTTGCCTTAGAAACTGGAGCTGACATGCATTGCAGTCTGCTTCCAGCACGTTTCATGCATGTTTTAGATCATGAAAACAACTGAATTGTTTAATCTGGTTATGAATCACCTCTGTGGACACTAAGGAAGGCTGGGGAGATATTTCAGCTTTTAGATTAAGGTGCAAGAAAATAATTCACGGCATTTTTGCGTTTGATTTCTACTAAACTGACACCAGGGGGGTGCTATAAGCAAGTCAAAACTGCCCAGTCTCCCATCAAAGAAGCTATCTGGATTGTGTATTTTATCTGATGGCACCATCTAGTGGCTGGCAAGTGTGTAACATTAAGACGTTTTCACTTCCGTGTTCATGGCCTAAGCAATGCCTCTCATATAAGTGCACTCCTCTAACTGACAAAACAGAGCTAAAACACATTAGTTATTGTGCTCATGCTATGTTGTTTATTCATATATTTATATTTTAAAAGCTTCATTCGAATTTGAATTTATTCATAAATTCGTATTTTAAAAGCTTCATTATCCATGAGGAATGTTGCCAACTCTTCATCAAAAGCGATATGTCCTTAACCTCTTGAACCCTAGGCCATTTTTCTGAGATTTTCTTGAAAAAGACGTGCCCAAAGTGAATTGAGTATATCTCATAAACTACAAAGTTTATTTGAGCTGCTTTGGTGTCAAAATAAAGGTAAGACTCTAAAGTTTACTCTAAAATTCTAAAAAGCAATACTTATGTCACTGATTGAGAGTAACAGGATCTGGAACACAGCATTAATGAGAAAAAAAGCTGTTCCACCTAAAATAAAATTCGTATTTATGATGTTAACAGTCCCTCTAAAATACCTAGCCTAAAACATCTAGAAATCCACAGAATAGAGTGTGAACATTTTCTTACCCAAAACTAATAAAAAATAAAGGAAGTATAGAAAAGTTAGAGAGGTTTAGTTGATAGAAATACAGGCGGACCTCATATGGGCCATTCCCATCTGTACCGGGTCGGCCCGGGCCGGGTAGCGTATTGTTTACATATCTGGGTGGCCTGGTATTTTTCCGGGCCAACCAAGGCTCATTCTCAGCCCTCTTCTCGAGGGGGTCTGCTTCAGGCCGACCAGGGCCAACACACCCACTGCTGACAGCAAATTCACACTTTCCATTAGAGCAAGCCTCTGATTGGTGGGTAGAATCAGCCCACATGGGCTTAAGACAAGGATGTGTGGAATCAACCGGGCCAGGCTGGGGCCGACTGGAGCTACCCGGCCCGGGCCGACCCGGTACAGATGGGAATGGCCCAATATTGGACCAATTTGGGCACCTTTTGGCACAGTTTGTGCCACTGGGAAATTATCAGTTTTTTTTCTTAGATTCTTTTTTCCCTCATTTTTATCTTATCTTAGAATGTCTTTCCATCTAAAAAAAATATGTTTTTGAGGGTTTTTGGGAAAAATCCACCCAACATTTATTTATCCATTCAAAATAAGGGAAAATCCTACAGATGAATTAATTTGACTCCTAATGGAGCAAATTTATTAACAACAAAATGGAAAATAGAATTTCACAACAAGGAAACCAAGAAAACTGAACAATTATCATACGTAAAAAATCAGGTTGGCCATGAAAATGTAAAAATCACTCACTGTCAGAGCTGCACAAACACATTTGAGGTAACATACATATAGTTATTTGTCTACATAATCTTCTCTACATAAGCATTTTAGCTTATTTTCTTTTAGCTTATTTAAAAAAGATAAGGAGTACCACTTCACTACAATTATGTCCCAAAATTAAATAGATGAGATAACCAGAATGACTAATGGAAGTGTATTGTAAAAAGCTGGAGAGTTAGCATTTTAAGAATCTGTTGGGGTGAGATTCCTCTTTACCCTCCGGTAAATTCCTCTCTCGCTCCACTCCCAGTTCTTTTGAGGTCTACACCTTAAGCCCCAAATAATACGTGCACACACAATATCTGCGTTGGCCTGAGATGAGTCGCATAGGAGCAGTTATCTGCTAATGTGTTCTGACCCCTGAGTCTGCTCCTCAGCTTTTTATTTTCAAAGTTACACAAGCGCACACACACATCAGAAAGAGTGGTCCTGTCGGTGAATTCAAACATCAAATGTCGTTCTTTACACAAAGATGGGTGTTCCTGCTGTGAGTTCACAGTCTAAAGCCCATTTCAGCTTCATCTGCCCAACGACAGCCAATACATTTCTAATAACAGAACTTCTCTTTTACCCAGCAACAGGTCAGTTTTCACCAAATAAAGACACGTCCTCTAATCTGCATTGGGACATTTTAGTTGCGTTATATCTATCTTCTGCTTGTCATTTACATGTACTTCACTTTCCTGTTATTTATTATGAACTTTAACTTTATCACAAGTGCTGCTCAAGTCAGGCTGGAACTGTGGCAACCAGCGTCCGGCACCCTTGCTGTCTGGAGAGCTATTCCGGCTGTACTACAACATTTGTATAAAGTATCACAAGTCGCATTTCCTGTAAAGCAAATAACACAGTAAGCAATAAAATCATTTGATGATTATATTAAATAAAACGTGAAAATCGCCCACAGCAAAACACAACACACCAGCAATTACAGCTTTATTTTAACCCAGGCCATCACTGGAAGCTACCGTTCTTCTATCTGCTCCACTGAAAACCAGCACAGCTTCAGCAGCCTATGGAGGTTAGTAACTGAGATTGTTTTAGATTTGCTCTCAATGTCCAAATGATTGTTCATCCACCAGTCATGAACATGATCATCTGCTACTGGCCCAGCGGCCATGTTAGGATTGGCGTGCAAGACTATCTGACACAGTGATCAGTTTGGACATCAGCACATGATCAGGCTCTTCTCAGATCAGGTTTGTTGGCGCACAATAGAAAGAAAAGCTACTACTTAGCATGTTAGAGAACCTCAATTGTGTTTGTGTGTCCCTGTGTAACCCCGTGATGGACTCACAGACATGCTCTGTTTAAACTCAGGCTTTCAATCATCTACTCATAATCAGATTTTAGATTCATTTGGTTTTGACAATCAAACTAATAAAAACTCAGAAACTACACCCAACTTATTGTTTCAGATACCCAATATGTAAAGGTTTTCCCAAATACCCACATTTGACCTAGTTATAAAACCAACAATGACATTTTTTTGTCATTGATGTAAGCACAAATTTTTAATTTATACATCCCACAAAATCAGTGTCTGCCTGCAGTGGAAAGTGCTTTGGAGTCGACTAACATGCATCCCAAGTTAGCTGAATACTGCAGAGGGGTGTCACTCAGGCTCATAAAGAAATGCCATCGGTTTTATGAAGATGTAGTTTCAGCTTTGACAAGGCATATAGTATGATGTTTTTTAAAAGATTTTATTTCAAGAAAGATGCTTTATAGCGTGCCACAGTTTATGTTTCTTTTTATTATGTAAACTACTTGTGTCAGCTTAGAGAAACAAAGCCTGTTGTACTTTAGTCTTTTTATTTATTTTTATTTTTTACTTTTAACCTTAGTCATGGGGACTTTGTACCCCGCGTGTTTGAATTATTTCCCTGATTTGAAACACCTGATTCAAATGAATGCTCAACAGAAGCCTGACGACAAGCTTATTTATACCAGGCACCATTGTTGGAAAACCATATCCTACAGAGTGGTCATCTGTTTTTGTAGGGGTAAGAAGTAGTTTGTGCCCTCTTTAAATAATAAGCAACATTAGAGGCTTGGATACGTTTTTGGTTGGCTATATTGGTAAAACATTTTGATTTGGGTTGTTGATGAGAATAAAGCTATTGGTATTTTTACAGCTTCCTTAGTTTAGGCCCTATCTTTCTCTGATGGCTTTCTTTTGCATGGCAGTTCATTTATTTACTTTACTCATCTTTCCCCATTTACTGAAACTGTCAGCTGTGTGTTTGGGCCTTAAGAGCATTCTCATGCTAAGTTTAGCCCTTTGAAGTTGCTAGTCAGTGTCTTCAGTGTGGAAATGTGGGGAAATGAATGCCTAAAAGCTTACATACATAGAAAATGTTAAGTTGTAATATTTGTCTTTTATAGTTCTGTTTTGTGGCTGGTACTTCTCATCATTGCACAACTTTTTGAGCGATCAGCTATCTTGAAGGATCAGCCATGCTTGGATCCATCCATGCAGAGCTGTTGATCACAGTGGCTCTGGTTTTCCTGGCTCACTTGGGGACTAAATGCAGGCAAGTTTAAATTAGCTGTTTTTCAAGTATGGTCATGTTTTTGTATATTTCATATATTTTGGTAATGTTATGTTTTTGGAATATTGACTTTATATTGTATTTTTCCCCAGAGCTGCAGGTGACATATCAAGTACTCTACCTGAATGGAGTGGAAAGTCAGGTACAACTGGGCATGGTGTACAGTATTCAGTTACTACAAGAACTGGGTGTAAATTAAAATACGAATTTGATCTTTATTTCTCATCTCCCCCTCACCCCCTTCTATTTGATCTTTATTTCTCATCTCCCCCTCACCCCCTTCTAGCCTATGTTGTGCAGTGTTTCTCAAACCAACAAATGACTTGTGATTGGACAAGCAGCCAAAGAACGGGTAAAAAAAATTTACAGTAAAGATGCATTGCCATTTATTCAAAGCCTTGGATCAATGATGTGACCTTTAGTCCACACCTTGGCTGTAACTGTCATTTACTGAACTTAAATGTACATTAAGGACAACCTGACTTGGTAGTATGCAACTATAGATTTGCGCTTGTTAGTACCGATTGTGTTGACTTCATATCTTCCAGTTCTGGGGGGTGTAATTAACACTTTGGAGAGTCATCCATTGGACTTAAAGGGCGAGTACTGTCTGGAATTCTGGTATCTGATACCAGTTGCATCTCAGGGTTCTGAGCTCCGTGCTCTAATCAAAAGCAGCACTGGTTTTGTAGAAATCTGGACATCCCCTGCCCTTCCAAGAGATGCATGGAGACAAGTGTCAGTATCCCTGACTGCCTCTGAACCAGGCATTCAGGTAAACGTGCATCCATTCAGATACTGAATACTCCGGACTCATGTGGATTAATAACTATACTTGTCTTATCAGATTGTGTTTGAAGCTGTTCCACCAATGTTTCTAGACTGGACTACAATGAGACAGATGACTGTCAGAAGCGGTTTATGTGGTGAGTCTGGGTTGCAAGTTAAAACACATTGTGCACATGATTTATTTGTTGGCAGCTTCTAAAGTTATGAACTTTATTCTCCCCCCAGTAAATGCAGTTGAGGTCTTAACAACACCAACTCCAAAAATTCAACAACCAGATCAGACATGCAAGTACATATTTGATGCCAATTCCATGAATGTATTATAAGTTAATCCCTTGTGTCTTTGTGCCCTTTAGTGTGTCCACTTAACTGTGATTTTGATGTTAACATTTGTGGATGGGAGCAGCTAATTGAGAACAATTTTGATTGGACAAGACATTCTGGACCAACTAATCCAAATCTAGCGGGACTAAATAATGACCACACCACTGGAGGTAGTGTTTGTAGTATTCTAGTCTTGTTGTTTCATTTCCATTCTAATTTGACGTTCTTCTCTAGCTGGTTTTTACATGCATATTGAGGGTGATGGCATTACCCATGGAGACTCTGCTCGATTGAGGAGTTCAGTGTGCCATTATAATGGTCCCCTCTGCTTGCATTTCTGGTACTACGTGTACGGTTCAACTTCAAGTGTAGCTCTAAGTAGCTACCTGCTTCAGAATGATAGAGCAATGAAGCTTTGGTCTGTGACAAACAACCAGGGATCCGAATGGCATTTGGCTAATGTTGATGTCAAAGTCTCAAGTCCATTTCAAGTAAGAGGAAAAATATGAACTACCAGAAGTGTTCCATGTTGGACAAAGTGAAATGTTTTATCTTTGTTTCCCAGATAATCATTGAGGGAATAAAAGGCTCTGATGCCCTCTCTGACATTGCTGTAGATGACATATCAATCACTTTAGGCTCATGTTCAGGTGAGTCCTGTATAATAAAAAATAAATCAGTTAACTAAAATGAGTGAACAAGTGCCAATTACAATTTTTCTATTAAAGAAGATGCCAACCAAGCTGCAAATAGTCATCCATTAACTACTGCAGAAGTGCACTATTCACACTCAAGTAAGTTTGAATGTTAGAAGTACAAACTCATCTTTCTATGAGAGCTAGAAATTTCAAATAATGAAAACTGTATTTTAACACTATGCATTCTTTAGTTTGCAGTCTTGACTGTAGCTTTACCAACGATCTATGTACCTGGAGTCAAATGACCACAGATGCTTTTGAATGGACAAGAAGCAATGGTTCATCAACAGCACTGGCTTTTCCTGCTGACACTGGTAGGAATACTAAAATAATTTAACTACATTTACAGCAAGTTAAACTAACTGTAACTTTCTTTAAAGGAGATGATCATTTTCTCCATATTGAGTCCATTAGTGCAACATGGGGTGATGCGGCTCGTCTAATAAGCTCGGAGTGTTCAGATACCGGCACTCACTGTCTTCAGTTTTGGTACAACATGCATGGTTCAGCAAGCACTGTGGGCCTATACATTTACCTACTTCAGAATGGTGCCGCTGATCTTGTTTGGAAAAGCAACATCCAAGACAATATGTGGCACTTGACTCAAGTGGACTTGGACACCACACAAGTGTTTAAGGTAAATCCTTGATTTACACCATCTACTAAAATCAGAACATGTCTGACACCCCTACTACCAAACCTTTACCCACACCCTCACTAACTGCCTTACTTGTATTACTAGATTTAGTTTCTCTCCCAACAATGTAACAAATCTGTCCAAACTGAGGAATTGTTGTCCCTTGCCAAAAGATGTTAGAATACCTATAAGACTGGCATTAGCTCAAAGCATTTCCTGCGTAAGCCACGACAAAGATTAAATTCCAACTGTATTCACATAAAATCAAAAGGCTATGAAGGTGTATCTGCTGTCTTGTAACTTATTCTAGAAACCTTGCCTCTGCCGTTGTCATGTTGAAATGTTCGGTTTATTTTATCCCCCAAAAGTACATGACCAACTGAAAGGCAACGATGTGAATAAAGTGACTATTTAAAAAGAACACCAACTTACCAAGTGTCTCCATAAAGGTAATGATCGAGGGACTCAAAGGTTCTGATGAGCAGTCTGATGTTGCAATTGATGAAGTAAAGCTCAAGTCTGGACCATGCTCGGGTGAGAATAAGAACCTTGTGGAAAAACTGTCATTTACTATAAACATTTAAAACTTTTTCTATTATAGGTTTAAGTGAACATACTGAAAACACGGCGACAACAATTCTCCCAACAGTGGAACGACCAACAGCTCCAGAAGTAACCCCAGTGTCTACCACCTCCATGGTCTCCCCCATTGCCCACGTAACAAATAAAATTCCAGAGCCCCCTGTGCTCCAAGCTGTTACTGAGAAACCATTAATAACTGTGCCAAACAGCCCCACAACAGTCCCAGTGGTCCATCCCATTTTCAACACAACTGTGGAATCTCTAAACAAAACTGACGGTGCAATAGAAATTAAAAAGAAGCTTAGTAACTGTTAAAAATTCTTTTTTTAATTTCCCCCCTTTAACTCTTTCTAGGATGCAATCTGGACTGTGATTTTGACACCAACTTGTGTCAGTGGAGTCAGCTGCTCACTGATGTGTTTGATTGGAAGAGGCATAGTGGACCCACTTCTACTTCTAAAACTGGTCCAACTTCAGATCACACAACAGGAGGTAGTTATGACTTGGTCTTTAATGCTCTTTGATGTATTGTAGCCTCATCTGTCTTAATCAAAACTTTTGTTCCACACCTTTTTTTTTTTTTTTTCCAAGGAGGCCATTACCTTTACATTGAATCCCAGAATACCACACTGGGTAACACTGCTCGTCTCATCAGCTCAGAATGTTCAATTACTGGCCCTCATTGTCTGCAGTTCTGGTACCATATGTATGGTTCAGCAAATACTATGGGCCTACAAGTTTACCTGCTCCAGAACAGTGTTGCCAATACCATTTGGCGGAAAAGGAACAACCAAGGTGATCTTTGGCGTTTGGCTCAAGTAGATTTAAACACACACCAACAATTTCAGGTGAGTAATGTTTGGTGTAAATTGTGGAATGTCTAAAAAAATGGCTTGCTAACTCTGAGCAAACTTCTATTAAGTTGATCATTGAAGGACGAAGAGGTTCTAATGAGCAGTCGGATGTGGCCATTGATGATGTGAAGCTTTATTCTAGAAGTTGCTCAGGTGAGAAAGGTGTAAATTTGACAAATATAAATCTTGTGTCAATCTATAAAACAATTTGATATTGTTTTAGGTCCAGGTGGACATTTGTCACCACATCCAACTCGACCTGATTTAATGACATCAGCTCCCCTGACTGTATCTACCACAATGGTCCCCAAAACCCCTTTGCTCCCTGTAACAAATAAAGCACCAGAGCCCACTGTGCTCAAAGTTGTAACTGAAACACTGATGCCTGTGCTCAACGCCACCACGCAGGCGCCTCCGGCGGTCCAGCCTGTGCTCAACGCCACCACGCAGGCGCCTCCGGCGGTCCAGCCTGTGCTCAACGCCACCACGCAGGCGCCTCCGGCGGTCCAGCCTGTGCTCAACGCCACCACGCAGGCGCCTCCGGCGGTCCAGCCTGTGCTCAACGCCACCACGCAGGCGCCTCCGGCGGTCCAGCCTGTGCTCAACGCCACCACGCAGGCGCCTCCGGCGGTCCAGCCTGTGCTCAACGCCACCACGCAGGCGCCTCCGGCGGTCCAGCCTGTGCTCAACGCCACCACGCAGGCGCCTCCGGCGGTCCAGCCTGTGCTCAACGCCACCACGCAGGCGCCTCCGGCGGTCCAGCCTGTGCTCAACGCCACCACGCAGGCGCCGGAAAGCTATGGTGCAGTAGATTTAAAAAAAAAAATGGCCTTTTTTTTTCTTGAACTGTTAATGTTTTTTCCTGTAACTCTTTCTAGGATGCAATCTGGACTGTGATTTTGACACAAACTTGTGTCAGTGGAGTCAGCTGCTCACTGTGTTTGATTGGAAGAGGCATAGTGGGCCCATTTCTACAACTGGTCCAACTTCAGATCACACAACAGGAGGTATTTAGGACTATTTAATGCTCCTTGATGTATTGTAGCACTCATCTGTCTTAACACTTTTGTTCCACACGCCTTTTTTTCAAGGAGGCCATTACCTTTACATTGAATCCCAGAATACCACACTGGGTGACACTGCTCGTCTCATCAGCTCAGAATGTTCAATTACTGGCCCTCATTGTCTGCAGTTCTGGTACCATATGTATGGTTCAGCAAATACTATGGGCCTACATGTTTACCTGCTCCACAACGGTGTTGCAAATGCCATTTGGGAAAAAGGGAGCAACCAAGGCAATCTTTGGCTTTTGGCTCAAGTAGATTTAAACACACCACAACAATTTCAGGTGAGTAATGTTTGGTGTAAATTGTGGAATGTCTAAAAACAAATGGCTTGCTAACTCTTAGAAAACTTCTATTTAGTTGATCATTGAAGGACGAAGAGGTTCTAATGAGCAGTCGGATGTGGCCATTGATGATGTGAAGCTTTATTCTAGAAGTTGCTCAGGTGAGAAAGGTGCAAGTTTGACCAAAATATAAATCTTGTGTCAATCTATAAAACACTTTGATATTGTTTTAGGTCCAAATGGAAATTTGTCATCACATCCAACTCGACCTGATTTAATGACATCAGCTCCCCTGACTGTATCTACCACAGTGGTCCCCAAAACCCCTTTGCTCCCTGTAACAAATAAAGCACCAGAGCCCACTGTGCTCAAAGTTGTAACTGAAACACTGATGCCTGTGCTCAACGCCACCACGCAGGCGCCTCCGGCGGTCCAGCCTGTGCTCAACGCCACCACGCAGGCGCCTCCGGCGGTCCAGCCTGTGCTCAACGCCACCACGCAGGCGCCTCCGGCGGTCCAGCCTGTGCTCAACGCCACCACGCAGGCGCCGGAAAGCTATGGTGCAGTAGATTTTTTAAAAAAAAATGGCCTTTTTTTTTCTTGAACTGTTAATGTTTTTTCCTGTAACTCTTTCTAGGATGCAATCTGGACTGTGATTTTGACACAAACTTGTGTCAGTGGAGTCAGCTGCTCACTGATGTGTTTGATTGGAAGAGGCGTAGTGGACCCACTACTTCTAAAACTGGTCCAACTTCAGATCACGCAACAGGAGGTAGTTAGGACTTGGTCTTTAATGCTCCTTGATGTATTGCCTCATCTGTCTTAATCAAAACTTTTGTTCCACACCTTTTTTTTTTTTTCCAAGGAGGCCATTACCTTTACATTGAATCACAGAATACCACACTGGGTAACACTGCTCGTCTCATCAGCTCAGAATGTTCAATTACTGGCCCTCATTGTCTGCAGTTCTGGTACCATATGTATGGTTCAGCAAATACTATGGGCCTACAAGTTTACCTGCTCCAGAACAGTGTTGCCAATACCATTTGGCGGAAAAGGAACAACCAAGGTGATCTTTGGCGTTTGGCTCATGTAGACTTAAACATGAGAGAGCAATTTCAAGTGAGTGATCCTTAATGCAAAATGTGGAATTTCTAAATTTTGGCTAGCCACTAACTTGTAGCAACCTTCTCTTAAGTTAATCATTGAAGGACGAAGAGGTTCCAGTGAGCAGTCGGATGTGGCCATTGATGACTTGAAGCTTTCTATTGGAAGTTGCTCAGGTAAGAAGTCATCAAAATTTTATCAAATAGGAAGTTTGTTTGAATATCAAGTACACTTTATTTTATTTTTTTTTTAGGTCAAAATTTTGCACCAAGTCCAACTCAACCTGAGCTACCAACCTCCGCTTCCCTGACTGTGCTAGTACCTACAACAGTGGACGCTAAACCCCCTATGCTCACTGAGGCAAATGAGGCACCAAAGCCCACTGCACTCCAAGTTGTAACAGAAACTCCATGGATAACTGTGGGCACCACCACCACTCAGGTGCCGGTGGGCCACCCGGGGCTCAATGCCTCCACGGCGACTCCAGCGGGCCACCCGGGGCTCAATGCCTCCACGGCGACTCCAGCGGGCCACCCGGGGCTCAATGCCTCCACGGCGACTCCAGCGGGCCACCCGGGGCTCAATGCCTCCACGGCGACTCCAGCGGGCCACCCGGGGCTCAATGCCTCCACGGCGACTCCAGCGGGCCACCCGGGGCTCAATGCCTCCACGGCGACTCCAGCGGGCCACCCGGGGCTCAATGCCTCCACGGCGACTCCAGCGGGCCACCCGGGGCTCAATGCCTCCACGGCGACTCCAGCGGGCCACCCGGGGCTCAATGCCTCCACGGCGACTCCAGCGGGCCACCCGGGGCTCAATGCCTCCACGGCGACTCCAGCGGGCCACCCGGGGCTCAATGCCTCCACGGCGACTCCAGCGGGCCACCCGGGGCTCAATGCCTCCACGGCGACTCCAGCGGGCCACCCGGGGCTCAATGCCTCCACGGCGACTCCAGCGGGCCACCCGGGGCTCAATGCCTCCACGGCGACTCCAGCGGGCCACCCGGGGCTCAATGCCTCCACGGCGACTCCAGCGGGCCACCCGGGGCTCAATGCCTCCACGGCGACTCCAGCGGGCCACCCGGGGCTCAATGCCTCCACGGCGACTCCAGCGGGCCACCCGGGGCTCAATGCCTCCACGGCGACTCCAGCGGGCCACCCGGGGCTCAATGCCTCCACGGCGACTCCAGCGGGCCACCCGGGGCTCAATGCCTCCACGGCGACTCCAGCGGGCCACCCGGGGCTCAATGCCTCCACGGCGACTCCAGCGGGCCACCCGGGGCTCAATGCCTCCACGGCGACTCCAGCGGGCCACCCGGGGCTCAATGCCTCCACGGCGACTCCATCAGAGCTTCCAGGTATGAAAAGCTTGATATGTTTGTAGTTGCAATGTTCTCTGGTTTATTTTTTTTTTCTTTAGGATGCCTACTTGACTGCAATTTTGACATAAACTTTTGTCAATGGAGTCAGCTGCTGAATGTATTTGACTGGGAACGGTATACTGGATCTCCTACTAAAAACTTTAGTCCCCTTTCAGATCACAGAACAGAAGGTAATTCTGTTAAACAAATTTACCAAATGTTCCAATTTTATTCTGTTACGATAAACTGGTGTGGTGTTGCCCCCTCTCCCCCAGGTCATATCTACATTAAAACAAACAAAACGACAGTGGGTGAAACTTCTCGTCTCATCAGCACAAAGTGTTCAAATACTGGCCCTCAGTGTCTACAATTTTTGTACCATATGCATGGCTCTTCTGACACAATGGGTCTCCAAGTATATCTTCTTCAGGACAGCAAAGCAATCACTGTGTGGGGGAAAACAAATGATCAAGGCAACATGTGGCACCAAGCTCAAGTAAACCTAGTAACAACTAAGACATTCCAGGTAGTGTGTTCTCAACTTGCCCTTGCAGGGCAACTTTTTTTTTACATGTACAGTTTTTCTAATAACTTGTAGAAATGTTTTACAGATCATTATTGAGGGACAAAGAGGTTCGCATGAACAGACTGAAATTGCCGTCGATGACATTTTCCTTCGTTATGGGTTCTGTGAAGGTAGGTCTTTTTTCAAAATTTGAAATGGTTTAATTTTCAAATGCTCAGTGTTAACACTGATTTTACAGACCTGCTTGAAATGACAACTAATGCTCCAGTTACCTTGAACTATCAACAACACTCTATATGGCCACAAATAAGTGGCTCTCTACCTCCAACCCCTCAAAGTAAAGTGACTAGGGGTCAGTGGGTTTTGACTGCAACTAAATTATCTCCAGAGGACATCTGGCCACAAATGACAAATCCATCTCAAACCAGTGCTAAACCAAAGGTTAAAGCACAATCTCAAAATCAAGCCTCAGCCTTTTTGACATCCAGACCACGTTTCTCAACTTTGCAACCAGCAACACTTAAAAGTAAGTTGATTCTGATACTTGGTAAAATGTGATGTAGACTGAACTATCATTGACTCCTTTAGAGTTCCTGAGATGAATACATTTTCCTTTCAGCACCATCTTGTGCAGAGAACAGCCATTTCACTACTTGCATTCCTGAATGCAGTCCAACTTGTGCCTACCTTCATGGCTCACCACACTGCAGTGGCAACATCTGCACTGCAGGATGTGTATGTAATGATGGCTTTGTACAAAAAGGGAAGTATTGTGTGCCTATACAAGAGTGTGGCTGTGTGGACAGTAATGGCTTCAAACATAATGTGAGTGAAGGGAGCATTCTGTACAACTGTATTTAAATGTAGCTTTTTCTTTGGTAAGAATGTTTTCTCTTCCAGTTCAATGAAGTGTGGTACACCAATCACTGCAGTCAGAAATGTGAGTGTAATGATGATCGTGGCAGTGGGGCTGTTAACTGTCATGATGAGGGATGTGATGACGACGAAGTTTGTCTGCAAAGTGAAATGGGCCAGTATTACTGCACATCTACAGGTACTGTAACAACCCAAGTACATGATCAAGATCTGAATGTTATGTCTTAATTAAAACCTCCTCCCACAGACTTCAGTGAGTGCACAATCGAGGGGGACCCAGAGTACAAAACATTTGATAAAATGAAGCATGACTTTAAAGGGAAGCACTTGTATGTGCTGGTCAGGACCAAAAACCTGCCAAGTAACCTTCCAGAAATCTACATAGAGGGTACCAATGCATGTGGTGACAATGACCGTGAAACAATTAAGGGTGAAGGCAGCCAGTCTGGTGAAGAGGATGATGAAAGCAGTCAACATCAAATGGAACAATTTCAAGAGCTTAAAGTTAAAGTGTACAACCACACTGTGGCACTCAAGCCCAAACGCAAGGTGTTTGTAAGTATCAACTTTTGGGACATTTTTGTTGCAAGTCAATTCAACATGAGGTAATTTTATTAATCAAAATGTGTATTCTTCACTGGATTACTCTACCTCCAGGTGGATGGACAACAAATTAATATTCCAGTCTCTCCAGCTCCTGGCCTGAACATCAATGAGCAATCCTCTCGTATTTTCCTGAGAACTGACTTTGGTTTTGGTGTGGACTTAAGTTCACGCTGCAAAGCAGGTAATCATTGAATCAAACTAATCGGTAGGACACTCAGTCTGCTGAAGTAACTACCTTTTTGGTTTCCTTGCAGAAATCATTTTACCACATTTCTACAAGAGCAGGGTGGAGGGCTTGTGCGGAAACTTTGACGGCCGAAAAAGGAATGACAGAGTGAAGTCTGATGGAACTATGGCAAAGAGCATTGACGAATTTGGAGAAAGCTGGAGAGTTTGAATCGGAAATGGTGTCAATAAATGTTTTTAACATACATCCTATTGCCTCGCTTGTTTTACACGAAAGCCCCACTTACCGTAATTTCCGGACTATAGAGCGCATCTCATAAGCTGCACCAGCAAGTTTTCTACACACGCCACACTCTAATGCAAGCCGTGGCGCAGCACCCACATGCACGTCTCCGGCGCACAGCACATGTATGGCTATAACATAAGATAATTGGACAGAAAGACACTATATGGAGGTTTTTTAATTAAACAAAAGTAATTTTAAACACGGGTGAATGTGCCCGCAAGTTTAGAAAACGGCACTGATAGAATTCATATTTCTGGATAGTTGGAAAATAAAAACAGAACTGACACGTTATTACCGGTAATTTGCATGCATGTTTAGAAGAAAACAGTGCTGACACAGCATTAATAAGCTCTGGATAATTAGAAAATAAAAACTGCACACAACATGCCTGGTTACTAAATAAAACACACTTGCCTACCAGAAAAAGTCATTCGCTCTCATCTTGCACACTAAAGCCATAAAGTCCTTTTCAGTGTCTGAGTTGAACAGCCTCAGAACTGTCACATACCTTTTCCTGTGTCATTCTCACTGTCCGTGTTGCTGTCATCATCCCCGGGTGAAGCTGACTTGAATGAGTTCTGCCCGCTGCCGTCTCCAGCACCGAACCATGGATTCATTCATGCCAAGCTTACGTGCGGCAGCACGGTTTCCCTCCTTTACTGCCAGATCAATGGCCTTCAACTTAAATGCAGCATCATATGAACTCATACTTGTAGTTACCATGTTGACGGGTTATGGATTTGAAATTATTCTTCGTGCCGGCTGCTTGAATGTGCTAAATTAAAATGAGCACTTTCTTTGATTTCCACTTTTGACTTTAATCTGTTTCACTTTCTGCTAAAGCGCCCCCTGGCAGGTGAAGGAAAATCTTCAGTAAAGCCGCACCTCATAAGCCACATGATTCAAAGTGTGAGGGGAAAAGTAGCGGCTTATAGTCCGAAAAATACGGTAGTCATTGTGCAACCTCAACCGAAAAGGGTCTTGTGAGCTTTACCTGAATATGCTGACTCTAAAACCCTAAAGTCTCTAAAGCCTTGTCTACCTAGTGTGCACCCTAAAGTTAATTAAAAAGCCACTCAACCTAAAATGTCGAAATAATCACTTTTTGGGTTTTTTTAAATTTCATGGGCATGTGCTGGTCAAAATTGAAATGACTGGGATAAACTACCAAATGATGAAACGTGTAGATTAGATTAATTTGTTACACAGACCAATATATTTCAACTGTATTTCCTAAATTTTGATTCACCAAAAATGAAAATCCCAAATTCAGTAATTTAGAATATTGTAAAAAGGTTCAATATTGAAGACCTCCTGGTGCAACATGCCTACTGACTGAAAACACCTGCAAAAGCCTTTAAATTAGTCTAATTCTGCAGGCCACATAATCATGGTTGAACACTGACTTGTCAGTTATCCAAAAGTTGACCAGTAACTCCTTGGACAAGGAGGGCAAGACACAGGCCATTGCTAAAGAGGCTTAGCCTAGTGAACTAGACCAAATTCTTGCTTTGCAAAGAATGGTCTAGGCATGCTCCATTGGAACCTCAGCAGCTCCTACCAGGACTCTGGCTAGCCAATCACAGCTCTCTAGAGGGAGTTCAAACACAAAGAGCTGTGATTGGTCCATAATGGTGGGCCAATCATAGTGCTCTATCTGCTTAGTGAACAAATCAGAGTTTTATCCGCTTTGTGGGCCAATCAGGGCACTCCATATGCCTGGTGGGTGGGATGATGCAACAGAGTGAAACAAGAGTATGTCACATTCATTGTCCAGTGGAATGTGGAGATCATTTGAAAGACAACAGTAGAACCCGTCCCACAACCGAGAGCAGTCAATGGAGCGTGGCCAGACTAAATAATACATTTATTTAGTCTGGCTTGCCAGGCTAAAAGAGGCTGGCTGTTCACAGAGCTCTGTTAAAGCACATCCTTAGAGGTGATGAGATGTGGTTGAGGATTGTGAAACAAAACTCATTCAAAAATGGGGAGATCACTAAAAGTGGACTGCAGCTGGAGTCTGTGCTTAAAGAACCAACACACAGACATATGCGAGACATGGGTTTCAGCTTCCTGTATCAAGCCACTCTTGAACAAGAGACAGCATCAGAAGCTTCTCATCTAGGCTAGACATAAATGGACTGCTGAGTGGTCCAAAGTTATGTTCTCTAAAAGTAAATGTTGCATTTCCTTTGGAAATCAAGGTCTAGAGGAAAGGCACATGTTCCACATTGCTTGAGGTCCAGTGTAAAGTTCCCACAGTCAGTGATGGTTTGGGGTGCCATGTCATTTGCTGGTGTTGGTCCATTTTGTCTTCTGAGGTCCGAGGTCAATGCTGCCGTCTACAAGGAAGTTTTAGAGCACTTCATGTTTCCTGCTGCTGACTAACTTTATTGAGATGCAGGTTTCATTTTCCAACAGGAATTGGCACCTGCACACAGTGCCAAAGCTACTAGTACCTGGTTCAAGGACTCATAGAATATTTATGGGGTATTATGAAGTGGAAGATGCAGTACACCAGACCCAACATTTCAGAAGAGGTGAAGGCCACTATCAGAGCAACATAGGCTTTCATATCACCTGAGCAGTGCCACAGACTGATCCACTCCATGCCACTTTGCATTGCTACAGTAATCCAGGCTAAAGGAGCCCCAACTAAATGAGTGCTGTACATGTGTATACTTTTCATCTTCGTACTTTTCAGTTGGTCAGCATTTCTAAAATGCCTTTTTTTGCATTTATCTTGAAGTTCTAATATTCTGATTGACAGAATTTGGGTTTTTTATTGGCTGTTTATAATCATCAAAATAAAAAATAAAATGTTTAATTATATCCATGTGTAATTAATGAATCTAATATACAAGTTTCAATTATTTAATGAAATTAAGGAAATTAATCTTATGATTTGTCATTTGTGATGATATTCTAATTTTATGGCCACCACCTATGGGTGTGACTAGGCTCCTTATGTATCACATAATCCTTCAAATCTGGTTCTGCTCAATCAAAACTTTGAAATGAGGTACGTTGTTTTAGTCTATCTTTGTATAGGCTCATATTGAACAAAAAATAAATACAAATATGACAATTATATTTAGTAATTTTGCTTTTAACCCAGGCCAACACTGGAAGTTGCTCTCCATCTATTCCAGCAAATGCCTTCATAGCTTTAGCAACCAAAGCCTGTGGTAGTTGGCATCAGAGATTGACTGTGATTTGCTCTTTATGTCCAATTGATTGTTCATCCGGAAGACAGGAACATGAGCTCGGAAGAAGACAATGCTCAAAGCTCAGTGATCCTCTTCTGTTGGCACAGTGGCCAAATCAGGCTCGTAAAGCATAAATTGGAAAACACAATCTGACACAGTAGTCAGTTTGGGCATCAGCACACAATTGGCCTCATCTCAGATCTGTTATATCAGCAGAAAAGCTGAAAAAATGCTGTTGCTGCTGGGAGGCTTTTGGCTGTGCAGATCTGCCCAGTCTGAGACGGAATGGTCAGAGTCCAAAACTGGGTGGTTTTCCATCCATCTCTCTGCCAATGGTTAAGTTGCTGTGAGGCTATTTAAACCCCCCCCCCCCCCCCCCCCCCTGTCTCTTTAAAAGGTTATTAATCTGACATTAGCTAAATCATTTTTACTGTTAAGCTAGATTGTTTAAAAAAGTTAAGTCAGAGTCACATGGTGCGGCAGTTGGTAGGGTGTTTGTCTCTATGTGACCCCTCGCAACCTGTCCATGAAGTCCCCCGCCTCTCGCCCAGTAACTGCTGGAGTTAGACACCAGCTGAGAAATAAGTGGCTGAGAAATAAGAGGTAGCTCGATTTTGCTTTTGTACTACTTTGAGCTCTGTATCGTTTATTGCAGCCATTCTTCTTATGTATTTATTTTTCGATTTTCACAAGCAAGTTGTTGTAATGCCACATTTCACCAGCAGATGACAGAATATTCACAATTTATTCAGTACAAGACTTTCCTCGCCCAAAAATGATCACTAACCTACTGTTGTCTGTTTTAGCCTTTTGGGCAGGTGTGTAATGCTAATATGGTGAATATTAGTTATTAAAGCAACAAACAAAATATAATACATATCCAAGCATTTTAGCAGTGTTGAAATTTTATTATAACACATTTCCTAAAACAATAAAGATTAGATTGGTGAGATAGGATGTGCACTTCAAAGGAGGAGAAGGCAAAAATTTAATGAAGAGGGATGAAGCAGAAACAGGCCTGCATGGCCTCAGGGGCCGGCAGAAGCGGATAGTTCAAATTAGAGCTGCATTGTCCATCCAGACCAACCTTTGACCCCCAAGATTTAATTGTGCAAAAGGCGGTTATTGATGTGTTTTACATCTGTGACCGCCCAACCTTTACCTGTCTGTGCAGCCAACACAGTGCTAATCTGAAGCATCCCCTGTCCCTCTCCACCTCTCTGTGAAAGTTCTAGCGTTGGGATGTATGGCACAAATAAGAAGCGTGTGTTCTCTCCAGAATCCTTTCCACAGCATCCCATCGTCCAATTGAAGTCAAATCTGCAGAGTCCAGGGTTCGTGTTTCGCCACAGCTTTGTAAACTTGGCTCATGTGGGGTCACCCGGAGGTTGATGCGGGCCTGTAGCTGTGCATCGACTCACCGGCAGATCGGTTACAATGTAATGGCAAAGGAATGTTGCTCGGCCCTGACTACTGGACTGGGCTTTGGCTCTAATTAGAACCAATTCTGGGCTGGGATGTCACTTTATTTTAGTGAGAAACGTGTCGGTGAAAAGTGACAGAAAATAGCTTGTTTATCATAATTTTCTCATTTCTATATTTTTTATGATTTATTGTTTCATAACTGAGACTAAATTTATGCACCGGGAAACAAACGGACAGGTTCAAACTCACACGTTTCCCAGCACGCACACCCACGGTGTCCATGATGTCTCCTTACTCGCTTTTTGCGGTTAGCCCTCACTCCCTGTGGTGTGTGTGTATGTTGAGGGCTCCAGTGTTATTGATCCTGATTAGGCCGCACGGGAGAAGATTCCGGCCTGCCATTGACCCACACTTTCCACATGTTTCCATCTTTCTCTTAGATCATCGGAGGCAGCCGTCTCCTCCTGCCAGCCGAGGGGGGGAGTAGAAAAATAAAGTTACTGCATGATTTACAAAATTAATAGCAGGTCTTGCTTGACGTTTTTCTGGCTTGGTGACTGTCAAAACATTCTCCATTTGCATCCATACCACTCCTCCATTTTCCCTTCAGAAAGCTTGTGACTCACAGGCTGCTCTCCTCTTCAAAGTAAAACGTCTCTGCTGCCATGTGGCCTGTGTTGAATGTCTCTGTTGTGGAGCTCCCGGTGCCTGTGAACTCCTCAGGATCCTTTTTGCCTTCATCGCCGCCCATGAAGCACTTAAAAAGTGTCATGGCGAGGAACGAATAGAACAGCATTACAAAAAGTATGTAGAAGAAGGCGTTGTCATAGGTCTCCCTGGAGGTGGAGAAGGTGGAATTAGTGTTGGGGAGAGGACTCGCTGTGGTGTTGGAGACACTCCTGTTCCGGTCGACGCCCGTTTCCTCAAAAATGTGCCGGCACTGTTCGAGAAACGAAAGGACGGTCCAGTTCATGTTCTTTGGATTAAAGCCAGCGTCCGTCTTTGTAGATTATTGTTTTAATTAAAAGAGAAAAGGAATAAGAAATGCGTTAAAAGGAGCAGGCCGTTAAGAGGAAGGCGCTGTTCGCTTTAGGAAAGGCATGCAGTGAGTCACCCCCCTTCAAGAGACGTGATAAGGTAGTATTCAGAGATAGAGCCCACCTCTTTCCCATCCTGCTGCAGACAACATTTGTAAAATAAAATCACAAATTTAACAGAATTTCTGTTTTATCACAGAAATAAACAAATGAGCCATCCTCCCAAAATATCCTCATCCAAACAACTTTTATTTTCTCTCCATTGAAACTTTTATTGTATACACCCTCTTCTCTTCACTTGTTGTTCACGGGTTGAAAGCTGCTGAGACACTTGGATTGTTGTCAGCTCCGGTCAAGTAGTCTACTCATTTCAAAGAGTGCTAGGGGTCAGAGGTTAAGTTGTCTCCAGTGTGTTGCAGATTGACTGACACTTTGATTCAAAGCAACCCCTTTGGCTTTTTGCTCAGTGTATCTAATAACGTCAGCACTTGTAAAACGACTAAAATGTTAATGGAGAAGAAAGTTATGAAATGCAACTGTGGTATTGTTAGAAGCTTCAACTCAAATAACTGCTGTTAAACACACACAGACACACACTTTAGAGCTATACGGTGAACGACATGAACAGCTGCACACCTGATCCCTAAAACTCCAAAGGAAAGGGTGAAAAAACACAGCAGAGAATGATAAAAATGCACTTGTGATTTGTTTAACCTTCTGAGGACTCGACTCGGTGGGTGAACGGTGTTTTTGGTGTCTGTTTGACACTCAGAGCCCAGAGCCGTCTGAGCTGTGTGTGACTGATGTCCCAGTGTGTGTCTGAGGGCGGCTGTGCTGATATAATTTACAGCAGCTCTGCTTTAGTCATTAAGGGGTGTGAAGGAGCCACCGGGGAGCAGGAATTTGTCCGAAAGGAGTGTTTATGAAAGAGGATATATTTATGATTTAGTGTTCGGGAGGTGTGTGTGAGCATGCAAGCATGCGTGTGTGCGTGCATGCATGCATGTGTGTGTGTGGGAAGAAGTGAGAGAACCACAGGATACTGCTTCACTTTTTTTTCTAAATGTTATACATCAACCTAGAGAATAAAAAGCAAAAAGTTAAATGAAGTTATGAGTTTATTGGTCTTTTGCCTTCTTTGAACATAAAAACTGAAGATTGTTTTTATTCACAACTATTTTAGAAACTCCAAATAAAACTTTAGATATGGATTATTTTTCTTGTGTCAAATTTAAATTAAGCTGAGACTAATATTAAGCACAATTTTTTTCATACATAAAAATTCTGTTTTAAATAAGGACCATTTGATTTTAATAAAATGTAATATGTGTTTATGATAAAAGTATCAGGTTATGCGTGATGTACATTTTTTGTTTGTTTACACAGTTTCTATGTAGAAGAAAATATCACATTTACTACGATAAAAAATATTGTCATCAGCAACAAAAACTGTAAATATTGAGATGTTTGAAGAAGACTTTCTAAAACAGATTCTAAAATAAAAATAAAAACAACATTGTGAGGAAACTTGCATTTTATAAAACCATGAATTAAAATTTTAATGATTTTTGTGTCTTTAAAGAGTTGGGTGAGAGAAAAATACATATTAGTTTTTTATAAAATTATATTGAATCTAAAAGAAGATTGTCAATATAATTAATAGCTTTTGCTTGTAATTTGTTGATTACCTTTACACACAACTGACACATGTAAATGTGAAGTATTTGACAAATATGTGACCTAGTAAAGCATGTTTTTATAAGTGTAGTTACACACCACTCCAAAATAAATATTTTTGCTCGTCTGTTTAGAAATAACTAAAATTTTTCCAACTTTTTCTTAAATTATGTCATTTAATCAAATAAGCTCATCAGACAAAAACATTGTTTTCCCTGTTATAATAATCATAATGTCACAGTAATATCTTTAGACTTTTTTTGTGGAAATTCCCAAATTTTTAAATTTTGAATTTATGAAGATTTTATAAATAACAAATGCAATTAGATGATAAATAACTAGCAATTATAACATGCAGACAATTTTTAAATATTATTTTTGCAGCAGTGATTAAAGATTGCTTTAATAATTGTCCACTTGACATGACAATTTAAAATAATGAAATTAAAAGCGACTGTTTCTTACAAATGAAACAAATTTAATATCAAATTCATTCAGTTTTTGAAAATGTTTATTATAAATAGTAATAGTGCTATTTTCTTTACACAGAACGTCTTATGACAAAATAATTTCACACCACTGTAAATAGAAAAGAACACAAAAAAGTGGAATAATGAAAATTGTGTAAGACTTATTTAAGCACAGGTGAGCACTCACGTGTGATGCATGAAGAATACAATCAAAGACAGCTAAATAAATAAAAAAGGGAAGTAAAATTTGCAAGTTAATGGTAACACCTAAATCAACATGTGAAGCAAAAAAAAGTGAAGTGTCAAACAGAGTACTGAAATTTTTTACTTCGTTGTTTTATTGTATTTTTTATTTGGCTTAACTTGAAGACTGTTCACTAGTGAGTTCCCCTGATTGATCGATGAATACAACCCAAAATCAACAAGATTGATGAGATTTGATGAGATGTTTGATCCGTGGACATTTACAGCAGATGAGGTATGAATGTATTGCACTTTCTTTGGGTTGCAGTGAATTTGTCAATTCTGCTTGGCTTCAGTTCGTGTTTCCTCACCAGGTTTCCTGATGCAGATGCATTTTAGTCTCCATCTTCATAAAAGTCATATGCAGCCATCCCTCTGCTCAGGCGTTGTGATGAAGACAGTCTAAGAAAAGCATCGCTTTTGAGTGCATACGCTCTTGAAACAGCTTTCTGTGACCACAACAAGCCATGGAAGAGACAGTTCAGTTCCATTTATTAAAAAAAATCAAATATAAAGGTTTTTTTTTCTTCCTAAACCACAGGGGGAGATCTGTGATTGGTCCTGTGAGAGGGGCGTGACACACAAGTAGAGCTGCACCTACAGTCCTTAATTATCCCTCTCAAAGTTCATCATTGCCATAACCACACCTTCATCTAAATCGCCCCCTCTCTTTTCTTCTTCTTTTTCAGAAATGAAACACTACACCCTTTAACCTCCCCCAATGCCTGTCTTGCAGTCCTCAGGGCTGGGGAAGTTGGCAAAAGGCAGTGGGGTGGTTGTGGTGGTGGTTCTTTCCAGGGATGAATGACCATCCAAGTCTCTTGTGCTGGCCATGTCAAGGGCTTCATATAATGAAAGGCACCTGAGGAGGAGAGACAGGAAATTGAAGCCTTTGTGTGTAATTTATTCATTTTCTCGTTGCGGTGCATGCTCAAATAGCAAACAGCGTGAAATGAAAAATAAGTCACTGAGAAGAAGAAAAGCTAGAAACAGAGTTAAAAAGCGATACGATTAAAAACTGGTGGGATGGGTTATAAAGAATTTCCTAAAATGTGTTGATCTGGTAGAACTACCTTCATGCTGGTCTCTGGCACTGCTTCACTGATCAATAACAACTCTAAATCTGACCTCCAGTGGGACACATGGTTCTAATCCTGGCCTGCCAAGGGCTATAATCACCCCCCGCTAAAGAGTGCGCTTTACCACGCTTTTATACCTGTGTTCACATAGACCCATACACATTTCATCAAACCCCCAAAAGCTACATGTGGGTCTCTCCCAGGTCCGGCTAAATTAACGACATCAAGATGTTGCCGCGGACGGGCTGGTCAACATGTGGCGGTATACCTCAGATCGGCCTTCAACAGCGAACCCCTTCAGACCCACTCAGCGCTCTCCCTCCTGTCAAACACGCTTTGGGAAGTGGCTCTTTTTATTTAGGCATCTATCCTTGTTAAACGGGGGTTGTTACATGGTTAGGTGAGCTGTGCTGTAGTTGTGATGGGCATGCTCATCACACGGGGTCACGGGAGGACCGTTAGTGAAAACGTGTGTGTTAGGATAAGAATTGGGCTACGTGGATGGTTCATTGATGGTAATGTAAACTGAGGTAACTTGGCCAATGAGCGCACCCCAACACAGATGTAATTTCAGTGCAGCGCACTATGATTTGAACAGCTTGCTCATCAGAGGGTCTTTGCAATTAACTTGGACTCTGGGTTGAAAAATCTAAACCTAATCAAAGAGCTAAATCATAGGTCAAAGACTAATATGGCCTCAGTCAGTGTGAATCTGTGTGGAAACTCTGTTTGAGGAAGCACCTACCATACCATTCCATTTTTATTTACGTCGCACATTTGAACAGCATGGGAGCTGTACACCAAATATACAACAAATTACAAGTCAAACCAAAGGCCAAGGCACAAAAATGAGTCTTTGGACGAGGTTTAAAACTGGGTAGAGATGGAGCCTGTCTGGCCAAAAGAGGAAGTGAATTCCAGAGTGATGGGGCAGCATATATAAAAGCTTGTTCCCGCTGAGATTTACATCTCATCTGCAGAGTGTAGAGCAGCAGCAGATCAGCAGACCTTAGCATACGCATTGGAACACAAGGGGCAAGCAGTTCAGACAAGAAGGGAGGTGCCAGGCCATTGAGAACATTGTATGTGAAGATCGGGACCTTAAAACACACCCTAAAGGTCACCGGAAGCCAGTGAAGCTACGCCAGCATGGAGTAATGTGGCTACGGCGGTTAATGCTGATCAGGAACTTGGTAGCAGCATTCTGAATAACCGGTAGTCTATTTAAGGTGGATACGAGGGTCCCATCAAAAGTTAATTTGAGTAGTCTAAGCGAGATTGCAGCTGCTAAGAAGGTCATTGGCTGCAAATTATTAAATATGAGGATTGCCGTAAAGTCACTGACACTAATCAGTGACTTGATGCAATTTGCTGGGTTCCTTATATAGGAAACATTATTTCTGATTGGCTTAATGAACTGACCTGAATTGGAATGTTTATTACGTGAAGTGCCTTGAGACAACTCTTGTCGTGATTTGGCGCTATATAAATGAATTGAATTGAAAATTCCCCTCCACACAGGACCTGTACAACTCCAGGACAGAGGTGTGCAGGTCAGATAACAGCTGACCCGTGTCACCCACAGTCTTTTTGACTCACTCCCATCCGACAGGAGCTTCTGATCGACTCGGACCAGAACCTTTCTCCACAAGAACACTTTCTTCCCCTCTGCAGTTGGAGTCATGAATTACAATCCTAGGACTGCCCACTCCAGTTGCTTGACCCTGTGTTGTATTTGCACCTGAGCTGTTCCGCTCTGATCAGTACCTACACTGTCTTGTACATAGTAGCCATTTCTCTAACTACTGTCACTCTGTTTCATTATGTTTATCATGATTATATTACTTGCCTATCTCTTATTTTTATCTTTCTTTTTGCACCAAGTGCCGCAGCTGTTTCCTAATGTTGTGATTTCTCACACACATGGCATAAAACCCTTCTGATTCTGATGTTATGCATGCATGAATAACAGATTCCATCTAAAGTAATGAATCCAAGTACCTTGCTCTGGCTGTATTGTCCATACTGGTAAGTGGGATGATGGTCAACCGCGTAGGCTGGCGATGTGTAGGATGGTGGGCAGTAGGACTGGGAACTTGGTAGGGCAGCCATGCTGGGCAGGCTTGGTAGAGCTTCCAGTCGCTGAGAGCCATGACAGCTAGCAGCCATGGCTCCATTGGGTTCAATGCCTCCAGTCAGGGGAGAGAGGGCAAAGTCACTCTGGGACTGATGTGGGACTGCGCTTGGGTTCAACAGACCCATAACCTTAAAGGAGACAAAAAGAAGAGCGGATGATCATCATGCCTTACAATTGTCATGTCCTACCAAACAGTTTTTAAATAGATAATGAACACATTCCTCTTCCCTTTTTGGTCAGAACAATTTTAATTTTAAACCAAGTTTGTCCGAATCTGGCTAAAATGACGGAAGTTTGCTTGAATTCAACGCACGTAAGCAAATAGGTGTGTATCATTCCACATCAGTGACTTGAATTTCTTTTCTTCAGTGTCTTTACTTTCTTCCGCCGACTGTTTTTTATCCTAAATCAGCATGTCCTCATAAAGCTAGGGTAAAGAGGTCAAAGGGTGTGTGGGAAGAAGGAGGAGGCTGGGTTGTGTGAGTGTATCTGAGCCATGCTATCGGGTGGTGCTGTGCCTCTAACAGTAGGTATATGCATGTGCACGTGTATGTGTAGCAGCTATGTTTTGTTCTGATGTCAGGACCGCGGGGGTATCGGTGATACATTATCAACAGCTGCGCGAGAGTTTGCGTGCGAAGCAGTCGTGAAAATGCCTCAAAAAGGCTGTTAAAGGGAGAACAAGAATTACAGCCTATGCTGAAGAAAACTGGAGTCGAGAACAAAACCCAAATAGCCTCGAACTAAAGAGATGAGGAGGACTGAGTAATTAATGAGAGGGACGTGAAAAAAGGCTTTCACAGCAGCCTGCAGACTGGTTGATGCACACAAATGGAGACTAACTCAGGTGAAGTCAAATCTTTCCATATGATTTGATCTCAGGCCCATTTTTCTGTCTTTTGCTCCAAGCCAGTTTATTTCTCTCAATAAATTTTGTTTAGTGCTTTTACTTTGGCACAAAAAATCATTCATTTAATAAATCATAACTTTTTTGTAACTTTGAGCATCTATCCAGCTACACAAGTCTTCACATGCAAGGCAGTTGTGTTTTATGCACATGTGCAAACGATAGTTTGTGCAAAATGTGTCACTGATCTCTGTGCTCGTGCACTTTCTCTCTGCATCTGAAACGGCAGCAGTCCCTGATACTGTGTCTGTTTTGAGGTTGTTCCGGAGATTAGGTCCCAGGGGGGTGCAAATCCTGGCTGCCTGCTTCCTTGGTGAGAAAGGATTGCTTTGGTATGCACCAGATCAGCACTGAGACGCCAGAGATGGAGATAGCCATTGGCTTGGCTGCAGCTCTCAACACAGAACTAACAGTATCGTTGATCTAAAGCAAATCTTATCCATAACAAGAGTCTGTGCTGCACCGATGTGACCATATCTGGAGTTAGCGGGATGTATATAGGGTAGAAAGTAGAAAGAACTAGCTTTTATAGACAAATTTGGAGTTGAGATAACTCGAGGAGCACCAATCTGACAAGGATTTTGGATAAAATCCACCAAGCTACAGCGATTGGACAAAACTGAAGCTGCTAACTTTTTCAAGTTCAAAAAGACATCTAACTATCAATGTCACCCAATTTAATCACTTCTCATTTCCTCTCACTTATTAAGTGAAAATCTGAAAATTAATTCCATCATCATATGAAATGGAGAAAACCTGCATTGCAATATACATTCAAACAGCTGCAATGAACACATGAATTAAAACAAATTAGCCAACAAAGTGACTCATTTGCATAAATTACACACTTTGTTAGGATGGGATGGATTACTTCATTTCAATCAATTAAGACACTGGAACACTCGGTGATTGCATTCCCAGACTGAGGAAACCTTCAAAGCCTGCCGTCCGATTTGCAAGATGAGATTTCCATTCTCAACAAGCTGACCACAAAGGTTAATGTTGAAACCATGCAGGAGGTCTCGCCACCTTTGGCCTGTTTATAGGAGTTTGTGACCCCTTGGTTGTGTGAACTCACACCATGACCTGTTACAGAAGGCTGCATGCCGTTTATGCTGCAGCTAAGTAATTATCTGAAGTTATGGGAGCAAAGTAGTCCATTTGTAGCTGGCCGTATTCCATTTGTAGCTTTTATGCTGTTTCTATTTAAATAGTAAACAGCTCGTATTTAAATAGCGCCTCCTAGAGTCCTATGACCCTCTGATGCACTTTTCAACACAAACAGGGATTCACCCACGAGAAAACTCATTCACACGTAAAATAGGAAGAGAAACAAATTGCACCACTAAACCAGAGCTAATACATCAGAAAAGTCAATCATTTCAACTTGAATGGTGCAATCTTCTGATTGGGCACCCTGGCAGACAAATATCTTCATGTTGTTCTCAGAATGAATTCATCCTCAGGCATTAACAAAAATAACCCAGCCTGCCGTTACGTTGTTGTATTTTTATTTTTATCTGTGCCTAACAGGAGTCTGAGATTCTCCCTCATGGGAATAAGTACCCAGCATGCATTGCAAGAAGGCCGGCCACCCTTTGTGGCGGTTCAAAGCTCATTTTACGCCTGTTAGTCCATCTTCTGGGCCGGTAGGGAGCCACTGATGGACACTGATGACTGTGTAATCGACCATAATTGTCTTTTCAGTTTTGATTTGTGTCATCATCTGACATCCACGCATCCTTCCTTGTGTCTGGTGCTTCCTGCCACTCCTGTGACTGACGCTGGCCACTTTTTAAATTCATCAAACTGTCTGTCAGAGTAAACAAAAATGAAAAGCTACCTCGTTCTGTATCCTAACAAGGTTTCATCAATGTCAAAACAATGACACCCCATGCTGCAGGTCATACAGGGAAGTGTGTGTGTTGTCATATATGCATATGGTGCATTTCATCCAGAACTGTTGGCCTTCTGTTTGCTAATTTGATTCATTTAGATTAGTGTGTGTCTTTTTTTACTTTACGTTTCTACTTCACGTGTAAGCATGAGGTACTCAGGCTGACCTGTGGTGAGAGGCTGTTGCTAATGCTGGGGTTAACAGCGCTGCTGTGTCCTGTTGGGGCCACGAAACTATCCGAGTATCCTGAGAAGTTGTGTCTTCCAGAAGAAAGGCAGTACGCCGAGCCATCCTGGGAGGCTGCGGATGAGCCGATCCCACTCTGGTGCACGGAGGTCGGGGGTAAAGGCTGCGGCCGGTGCACGGTACCAGGCTGTTCAGAGGCTGCCGAGAAGAAAAAGCCCCACTTAAGTCCAGCTTTGCTCATGCAACAAAACTGATGTTTTTTTTATAAAAATGAACATTGCCTAATTCAATTTTTGATGTGTTTATTTACCTTGAGCTATAGAAGTAGGAGGGTAGGGGCTGTCCGACAGCTGATAGGGCTGCAGGCCAGGCATTGCTGATGGAGGAAACCCACCAGGTATGAGGTGGTTGAAAGCCATCAGCTGATTGGCACCTGCTTGTTTTCTCCAGCGGGCTCTCCTGTTGCTGAACCACACCTGAGAGAAGAGCACAGTTACGCATAAGAGGGATAACTTCACTCACAGAGTAATTGCATGCTCCTTTTTTATTTGCGGGTGTACTCTGTTCCAGGTCAGTGATATTGTGTGTAGTGGAGTCCTCTCTGTCCCGTAACAGGGGAGCTAAACTGATAGAGATCTTAACATCTGTGCAGTGCAGTGAAACCACATCTTTGTGCACTACCGCAAGTCACGGGATTCAGATAACGCCGGAGGGCCGTCATGGCTGTTAAAGGCTACATCTAGCAGCTATCTAAATTAAGCATCTATTTGCAGATCTTTACGGAGCACCTTCTGGCAGAATTTTGGCAAAAATAGAAGCTTTCTTTCCTACAAAGAGCTGCAATATTAGTTTTTCTTTGCAGCAAAAAAAAAAGGATCAGGGATGAGTGTCAGGGAGGAGGGGTTGGAGGGAAACACGTGTCTTAATGGCTGTAAGGAATGAGTGGCAATACCCCTGGATAATTTAACACCCACATGACACATATTTATGACAGAGTGACACATTGCTGTTCTGATTCAGTCTCCAACTTCTTGTGCATGAATGCCTGACCTGGACGCGAGCCTCTGTGAGTTTGGCCCTCTGAGCCAGCTCCTCTCGGGTGTAGATGTCGGGGTAGTGCGTGCGCTCGAAGGCCCTCTCCAGCTCCTCCAGCTGCTCCGCTGTGAAGGTGGTCCGGCTGCGGCGCTGCTTCCTCTTCAAAGGCAGGCCTGGCTCAGAGTCCACGTCCGAGCCCTCATCCGAGTGACTGGCTGGGGTTGCAAAACAAATACGCTCTTACTTGGTGGAAAGGATGAGATTTTGTAGTGATATTGTTTTTTATTATTTCACAATGCCCAGATCCAAGACAAGAGATTATGCAGAGCAAAGCCACTTCAGACTGTGTCCCCCTGTTCCTGTAAACTCCTCAGTGGTTCCTGAGGGGATCAAAAGCCAGAGGCTGCTTGAACATGGATTAAAAAGGACTATTCCCCTCTGGGGCGTCTATTGCCTGGGACACCATGTCTCCCCTGGTCTTAGCCATGCTGTGTGTAACGCCGATAGCATCCTGTAGTGCAAGAAATGCAGCCTTTAACAAGTGCTTCCTAATCCGTCTGTTCAGTTTGGGATCTAATTCAGGAAAAGAGGAGTTCCAGTGATGACTTGTTCGAGTTCCCCCGTTAGGTTACAGGCTGGCTAAGCAAACACCAACATGACAGCCTTCTGTTGCTTATTGCATTTACAAGCAGCCATCTCTGAGTGTGGACATTCACAAACATGCATCTGGGCGATGAGACTACGTTAATGTGTCTCAAAACAGGGAGGGACGGAATCCACCCCAAAGGGACACTCGGAGAGGAGTTTGCTGCACCTTCTTGACACTTAAACTATGCAGCAAAACACTCCGAGTGAATTAATGAGAGGCTCAAAGCAGCGAGGCAGGTGTAGGCAGGAGAATACTTTCTCTTGCTCCCTCTTTCTCTCTCTCTCTCTCTTTCTGCTCTCAAGATTTAAAGCTTTAATTAAAAAAAAGTGCCAAGTCAGACATAAAGAAAGAAGGGAGGGGGGGGGGGGAACACAGGGATCTCCCCTTGCCTCTGGAGCCGCTGGACGTGAGCAGGAAATGTTTGTGCTGGTTGCCAGTGTGTGTCTGACCAGGCATTACACACGGATTTGGCCTGTGGGAATGCTGCAGCTCAAAGAGCCGCTGGCAAACTGGATCCTCATGCTAAGACAAGAGCTTTATGACATTTGAAACTGGAGCTTCACGCTGGAAAAATGGACTCTCTGCAAACTGCTGGAAAAATGCTGATGCTTGCTGAATGAGTTTGGGTTTGTTTGTGCAAGACTGTGAGACCAATTGGAGCAAATTTTCGAGTTCAAGCCGAGCAAAATAAATAATGAGAATGTTTGCTTGGGATCGCTGAGTGAAACTTGCTTTTTATCTCACATCAGATACGGAAAAACACAAAAAAACTTTGAGAAAAATTAAAACATGGCTGCAAAGAAAAAGGTCCCTGGAAGTGTTTTCTTCTCTTCTGTTTTTATTATTAGTAACTCCACAGAAAACTCTCCATTACAAACAATTGCATAATGACAAATGACAGTGCTGCTTTTGTCATCACTTGGCTCACTCTTTGTCTTTTCCGCTCACAAAACTTTTGTTTTTTTTGGAAGTGATGCGGCCAAGCCTTTGTATCTTAGCAGGGAAAAGCCTGTGGCAGGGCTCTATTGGACCGATTACCACGCTCCATCTGTAGGAGCCATCAGGGACGCCTGGGCTCGCATTCAGGGGCCTGTCACCTGCCCAGCAGGGGAGATGGGAGAGAAGGGAGGGACTGAGGGGTAGGATGGGGATGGGGGGACTGTAGAGGCAGTGGCTGAGTAGGGGAATGAGGAGTGGGAGGGAAAGGGGGCACAAAAGGGTCCAGAGAAGGGCCACTGGGGCTGTGGAGGGGCACAGCAGGGGAGCAGCCCTTCATCCCCTCCTTCCATGGCCTGAGGGCACAAAGCTGGGGGATGGGGGAGTGAAAGGGTTGACATGGAGAAGAGATGGAAAGCTGAAGGCACCTCAAGAGGATGCTGGGGGCGTGAGGGGTGCTGTGTGTCTCTGGACTCTATCGTCACTACATCGATGACGTTTTCAAACACAATTCTTGCGTCTTAGATTAATTCCAAAACGTTGATGCAGGAATGGGCTCGTTCCCACACATTCTCTACAACAAATGACAGAAAAGGATACTGGTCACACAAAGGGAGGTCTCAACCTTGTTACTTATACACCCAAATCAAGTTTTACGCTGCAGATAAAGCAACAAGGAGCTGAAAATGTCCTATAGCTGTTGACGGTGTGGCTGCAACTCAGACAAAATTCAGAAGGACAGATTAATATCCGTCAAGCAGAAATGGAGCCTGGTGAATAATTTCATCTAACTGAGTTGAAACTAAGTGAAGATGAGCTTGTTTTGATAGTAGAACATTTTTTGGAGTGACTCAGAAATGTTGACACAAAGAGTAAAATTCAACAGGTGCATTCACCCATAAAATGAAAGGTGAAGTGCATCCACTACTCGCCAAATGAAAGGAAGCTGACAGGAAAGGAAGACAAACTCAAGCGGGTCACAAATGGGAACTTGGCGAATACCCAGCTCTGTTAGCTTCACCTGCAGCAGGAACCTCTGACGAGCTTCAGAAACGAGGGTAAAGTCTGCTCTTGTTTACCACTGCAACCCAGACTCTTCCTGGCAGGCATCCACCCCATCCAAGATGCTAACATGAAGAGGCATGCACATCCACCAAGCAACCATGAAGAGATTCATGCTTGATGACAACAAATGAAAACAGAATGCATGAAAGAGAATAAACTCCAAGCAAGAGGATTGAAAAGATGGAAATGGGATGAAGAGCTGCAGAAAGAAGGAGAATGAAAACGTGGGTGAGTTTATGGCCTTATCTTAGTAGGGGCTGGCTCGCCCGTCCTCCAAACCGTGTTAATAGGGAAGGTAATTGAGCTGGTGACATGTGTTTGCAACACGAAACAAAGGGCATAAGAGACAAATGAACTCACTATTTGCCCAGGGAAGTAGATCTGGCCCCTTTCAGGCCACCGCTCAGCGAGCCTCTGAATAAAATCGCTGCATGCCACATATAGAGCCCGAGCGAGCAGATGCTCTGGGGAGGAAGAATGGTTAACTGACAGCTTATGGACTCAGCTGGGGTTAACAGTTTAGGAGGAAGAAAAAAAACAGGGTGTGAGTGGGCTGCTCACTTGACTTGCTAAAGAGCCCCCAGGAACCTGCAGCTGCCTGGGAAAGGAGGAGGAGGAGGAGGAGAAGGTGGTGGAGGAGGGGGTGATGGATTTAAAAAAGAGCACGAGATGACGATGTGATGGACAACAAAAATGAGCAGGAGAGCGCAGGAGGTTGGCACTAAATGGACAAAGAAATGGCCGGCGATGTGAAGTTGAAAGATGTATCTGTCTACTGCTGGTGCAGCGACAAGAAGCCACAAACGGCCCTGCGTGGCTTTTATCTTACCCAGTGTGTGATGGTTATTATTTAGTTCCACTGTGGTGGAGTTAGGTGACAGTTTCACGGTGGCATTTCCACCCTAGGAGCAGAGACAAAGTGGCTTCACAGAGCCCACGCGGGGCTGCAGCGAAAGGCCAGGCCGCTGCACGTTCCAGTCAAACAGAGACTAACTGGCAACGATGAAGACCCGCCTTCTTTAGGCGAGACGCATAAAAACAACAAAAATAAACTATCTGAGTCAAGTAACTACTACGAGGAGTGAAAATTCGCCAATTTCTTGGTGTGGCACATTTATATTAGTCAGTTGACATCATTTCCAAAACGTTGTGGTAACCTCCCTTTCCTGGGGCTCGATCGTTGTAACAGTTGAGTGACCCTAAGTTGGCCCCTGACCTTTCTGCCGCCACTGCACTGAAAACATCCTCACTACTGACCCGACTGCTACACTTCACAGCTTCTCAGTGAGCAGGGAGAGAAATCATCAACATTTGTCACATTTTTATTAATCAACATTGTTTAATTTCCTTTGATTTGCAGAATAAACACAGAAAAGAGCTTTGTATTATTTTTTTAGTGATCAATCAAACAGTGAGGGAGTTGTGCTGGCATGTCCATAAAGTGCAATGTGCCGGACCAAACTGCTTCACAGAAAGTGAGGCTAAACAAAGTTAAGTGATTGACAACGCTGTCTGCCTTTACTCAATTAACCATCCCATTGTGCTCCTCTTTGCAAAGCCATCTTGCCCCAGACCCTTTTCTCCTCACACCTCTTTATCCTCCCCATCAACCGAGTTTTGCTTGGCTAATACTTCCAAGGAAATAGAGAGCTCCCTTTTTCCCTGCCGAGGCTCCTCTTCTTGACCTTCTATTGCTCACTGCCTCCCTTTCAGTCACTTCACAGAGTCTCTGGGGTTAGTAGGGGAGAATGTGGAGAGTACATCAGCGCAGAGGGGCCGGCTCGGGGCAGGACCCTGGCCCATTACTTCAAAGTTGGTCTGCATTCATTAATTGTCCTTTGAATTAATATTGGAGGATCACAATGAAGGTGCCAACAGAGAAAGAGGCTTTAATGAAGCATAGAGTCTGCATTCAGTTGCAGATAAGTCAGTGTGGATTTTTTCCTTCTTTTTTAAGAGAATTGTCTGTCTGGCTGTCTGTCTATCTATCTATCTATCTATCTATCTATCTATCTATCTATCTATCTATCTATCTATCTATCTATCATCTATCTATCTATCTATCTATCTATCTATCTATCTATCATCTATCTATCTATCTATCTATCATCTATCTATCTATCTATCTATCATCTAGCTATCTATCTATCTATCTATCTATCTATCTATCTATCTATCTATCTATCTATCTATCATCTATCTATCTATCTATCTATCTATCTATCATCTATCTATCTATCTATCTATCTATCTATCATCTATCTATCTATCTATCTATCTATCTATCATCTATCTATCTATCTATCTATCTATCATCTATCTATCTATCTATCTATCTATCATCTATCTATCATCTATCTATCTATCTATCTATCTATCATCTATCTATCTATCTATCTATCTATCTATCTATCTATCTATCTATCTATCTATCTATCTATCTATCATCTATCTATCTATCTATCTAGCTATCTATCTATCTATCTATCTATCTATCATCTAGCTATCTATCTATCTATCTATCTATCTATCTATCTATCTATCTATCTATCATCTATCTATCTATCTATCTATCTATCTATCTATCTATCTATCTATCTATCTATCATCTATCTATCTATCTATCTATCTATCTATCTATCATCTATCTATCTATCTATCTATCTATCTATCTATCTATCTATCATCTATCTATCTATCTATCTATCTATCTATCTATCTATCTATCTATCATCTATCTATCTATCTATCTATCTATCTATCTATCATCTAGCTATCTATCTATCTATCTATCTATCTATCTATCATCTAGCTATCTATCTATCTATCTATCTATCTATCTATCTATCATCTATCTATCTATCTATCTATCTATCTATCTATCTATCTATCTATCTATCTATCATCTATCTATCTATCTATCTATCTATCTATCTATCTATCTATCATCTATCTATCTATCTATCTATCTATCTATCTATCTATCTATCTATCTATCTATCATCTATCTATCTATCTATCTATCTATCTATCTATCTATCTATCTATCTATCTATCTATCTATCTATCTATCATCTATCTATCTATCTATCTATCTATCTATCTATCATCTATCTATCTATCTATCTATCATCTATCTATCTATCTATCTATCTATCATCTATCATCTATCTATCTATCTATCTATCATCTATCTATCTATCTATCTATCTATCTATCATCTATCTATCTATCTATCTATCTATCTATCTATCATCTATCTATCTATCTATCTATCTATCTATCTATCTATCATCTATCTATCTATCTATCTATCATCTATCTATCATCTATCTATCTATCTATCTATCATCTATCTATCTATCTATCTATCTATCTATCTATCATCTATCTATCTATCTATCTATCTATCATCTATCTATCTATCATCTATCTATCATCTATCTATCTATCTATCTATCTATCTATCTATCTATCTATCTATCTATCATCTATCTATCTATCTATCTATCTATCTATCTATCATCTATCTATCTATCTATCTATCTATCTATCTATCATCTATCTATCTATCTATCTATCTATCTATCATCTATCTATCTATCTATCATCTATCTATCTATCTATCTATCTATCTATCTATCTATCTATCTATCTATCTATCTATCTATCTATCATCTATCTATCTATCTATCTATCTATCATCTATCTATCTATCTATCTATCTATCTATCATCTATCTATCTATCTATCTATCTATCATCTATCTATCTATCTATCTATCTATCTATCTATCTATCATCTATCTATCTATCTATCTATCTATCTATCTATCTATCATCTAGCTATCTATCTATCTATCTATCTATCTATCTATCTATCTATCTATCTATCTATCTATCTATCTATCTATCATCTATCTATCTATCTATCTATCTATCTATCTATCTATCTATCTATCTATCTATCTATCATCTATCTATCTATCTATCTATCTATCTATCTATCTATCTATCTATCTATCTATCTATCATCTATCTATCTATCTATCTATCTATCTATCATCTATCTATCTATCTATCTATCTATCTATCTATCTATCTATCTATCTATCATCTATCTATCTATCTATCTATCATCTATCTATCTATCTATCTATCTATCTATCTATCTATCTATCTATCTATCTATCTATCTATCTATCTATCATCTATCTATCTATCTATCTATCTATCTATCTATCATCTAGCTATCTATCTATCTATCTATCTATCTATCTATCATCTATCTATCTATCTATCTATCTATCTATCATCTATCTATCTATCTATCATCTATCTATCTATCTATCTATCTATCATCTATCTATCTATCATCTATCTATCTATCTATCTATCTATCTATCTATCTATCTATCTATCTATCTATCTATCTATCTATCTATCTATCTATCTATCTATCTATCTATCTATCTATCTATCATCTATCTATCTATCTATCTATCATCTATCTATCTATCTATCTATCTATCTATCTATCATCTATCTATCTATCTATCTATCTATCTATCTATCTATCTATCTGAATTTTACTTTTTACATTTGGGTTGTTCATTTTCCATCCAGTCAGCAGAATAAACAAATACTCTAAGCTCCATTAATGCAGAAAAATTAGGAATGAGGCCCTCAGAGGAAAGTAAAACACGGCTGCAGCAGACATTTCTCCGGTTGCTTTTGGACCTTCTGCCTCATTCAAATCTCCAATCAAAAGTTTATTTTCTGAAAGAAAGGTAAAATATTCCTATTTGTAGCTCTGATTTGCTGTCAGGATGCTAAAATGTGCATGGAAGCAGCATATCTTGTCTCGTTTGGACATAAGTTACAAAAATTGACATGTGTTATCATCATCATTTCCCCCTTTGGAGCATACGTTCCACATTGTGCCTGCTTCAGAACAAATCCGATCACTCCACTCTCCTCTCTTTCACCAAAATCTCCTCCATTCTGAGTCCCAGGGAGCCAGTAACCCAGTTTATTTACACAAACAAAGTCCTACTCAGCTCCTTCAACAAAAAAGCAGCTAAATCTTTCATGTTTTGTCAGCACTTGATTCCTCCTGTCCCCCTGGCTATGTGCCTGCCTCCGGACAATGGGGGCAGGAGAATGGCAGCAGATTGTTGGAATGCACCTCAATGAAACCAATTATTACATGTTGACTGCGTTCACCATGGCAGAATTGAAAGAACTGGGCTCATTCACTCAGGCCCTGCAGGAACCCCTTTAAAGAAAAGTTATCCCTTTGACTGTTTGTATTTCTGAGCTTTCTTTTTTCCCTCCCCTCCTTTCTGCTTTTCACCCCCTCCTGCCATAAACAGATCCTGCAAGAGTGGCTGTCTGTCTTTCGTGACTTTGGTTACTTTAATTAGTTCAATGAGGCTAAAGGCTAAAGCGCTAACACTAATAAATGGAGGATGCTATCAATTAAATCTGTCCTGCTGAGGATGAGCACAAACTCCTGGCAACACAATATAATGTGAGATATTTTCTTACCTCTTTTGCAAATCAGTTTATTAGGGTTTAAAATGCTTTTAAACAGAAATAATGCAGCAAATATTCTCTTCCTGCATCGATCCAAATGTTGCTGTCCAGTATTTATCCCACAAGCCTTTGGCTTTCCTTTTTCCCAGACAAATAAATCTAAATGAGTCAGCTTTGATCTCAACACTTAAGGAAGGCCAACAATGGAGGTAGAGGAGAAAGGGGCAGAGAGCAACAGGCCTCTCCCCACCACAACAATGGCCTCTGCAAACACCTACTTAATCAATATTTGGCCAGAAGACACTCTTTCAGTCCCCAAATCAGCCTTTTCACATTTTAATGAAGCCTCATAAAAGAACAAAAACAACAACTACTTTCAGGAGAGAGACACAAGAATAAAACGGTGCTGTTCTGTTTATCAGTGGAGGAAATTCTCTTTTATTATCTGTCTTTTTACAATTTTGAGTAAAATATCTGCTTTAAAACTGATTGGAGAATCTATTTATTGGGATCTATATCATGCAATAAGCGAGTTTATTTATTTATGTTTTTTTACTTGGTTGGTTCCTTTATTTGGGTGCAGAATAATCTGCGTTATGTGTTTTAGTGAGCCAGTGGACGTGGACCGTCCCGCGCGGGACGTCTGCGCCCAGGGCGAAAGGGAAAATTTCAGACAAATGGTCTGAGATGAAAGTGGAGAAAAATAAAAGGTTTTGGGTTTAATCTAGTGAGGAGGAGAGTTTCCCTGAGTTTAGCCGCTGAAGGATCGCTGCGCAAAGACAAAACGCTAACGGAGACGGGGTTGGATTAAATCTGATGCAGCTTCTTCTGCGTTTTGGAACGTTTCTTTCTTTTCTTTTTTTTTTTACAAAGTTAAGAATAAAATATTTAAACTGGTCATACGAAAGGGTTAAAATAAACCTACAGACATGTTTACGCACAAAGAAACGCACGAGACCTTTAATGATTTACCTCTCATCAGCCCAACAGGTCATAAATCAACAAGTGTTTTTTCTAATGGTTTGGTTTCTTTCTCCATATTTTTTGGCCTAAATTGAAATAAAAACTCTTAATTGTGAGATAAATGCCGATTCGAGCCAGGTCGCGTTGGACCCGTTGGTGTCCCTGAATAATTCATCGCTCATTGCGGGTTCATAATGTCTTCTCTCGCTCTTTTGTCAGCACAGTTTTTCTCCCCCTTTCTTTCCTCATTTTGAAAAGCACTGGCATCTTTTTGTACACCACTGAGCCGCTCACTGGAGTTTGGCTTTTGTGCGCGTCAAACTGAGGTGTGAGACTGAATGGACTCTGCACGCTTTGTTCCCTGAAGTTCATCCTCAAGTGTCCGATTAAGTGCAAAAAAAAAAGTTTCTCAGGCTTGAAACTTAGACAAATGTTTGGTTTTGAAAAAGAGCTCTATATGCACAACATTATAACTTTGGGAGATTTTCACGCTTGCGTAAAACTTAAACGGTTTCAACTGATTTTTTTTTCTATTAAATGATGTTAGTATTCAAAATTTTTAAGGTAATTATAAGTTATTTTTATGCAAACTGGCAACAAAAACAATAATTCGAACTTTATTTATGTTCATCGTGAATGTCACACAGTAAAGTTGAAAAGCAGCCACAAACCCAGAAATAAAATTCGATAAAATGTCACAATAACCTCGGTTTTATATTTTAGCTCGTTATATCAACTCACATCTGTCTCCCAGGATGCCATCGATGCTGTGTTTAGTCCGTGGTTCGTTCTCCTCAATCGTCCTCCTGACCACCTCATCTTCCTCCTCCTCCTCCTCACCAACTCCGCCGAATTTAGAGCGCATGATGCGGCTGATGGCGCTCACTGAGAGGGAGATAAAGAAAAAGTTGGATAAATATGATAAAACTTTCACACCTCACCAACTGAGCAGCGGAATTTAATCACAATTTCAAATATGGCTGTACCCTTTTTGACTATAATGAAGTGTTTAATTATCTTGGTTCACCTGAAGGGACGTTATTCCTGTCGCAGATCCCATCTTTCAGGAGTTTGTCTCTGATTTCCCAGCTGAACATTCCAGGGTTTTCCCTCTTGTACTCCTCGATTCTCTTGTCCACTTCTGGAGATGCGGTTTGCTTTGGTAAAAGAAAGAAAAATCCACCTTACATAAAAAAATATGTGGCTTGTGTGGAAGAAAACATCAAATTTTCTAAGTATTTTCTGAATCCAGAGGAACACACGTTTCATTAAATAATGTATCGTTTCATTGTATGTCGTGTATGTTTCTGTTTCACGAGTGTTAACGAAAAACTCTGGTTTCAAACAAAATGTCTCATTTTTATAGGAAGATGAAAACTAATTAAAGTGGAGCACTTTTCTGTGCGTTTAAACGACATTGACGTCATAAATTCAAACAATTAATTTGAAGATTTGTTTATAAAATTTATAAAAAATCTACATAAAAAATGTTTTATTTTTTGGAGATTACTTGAAATAAAAGACCGCAGATTTTCTTCCTCACCTTGGGCTTGCTGCCTCCGATGGCTCCGGGCCTGATGGAGCCTGTTTCCTGGTACCTGCAGAGGATTTTGGAGACGCAGCCGTGGGACACTCGCAGCTGACGAGAGATAACGCACGGCCGGATGCCGTGATGGGCCATCTCCACGATTTTATGGCGGATGTGGTTGGGGAGAGGTCTGCCGTTGATGAAGACTCCACCGAGTTGGTTAACCCGACCCTGTCCTAACGGTGTGGAAACTAAACAGCAAGCCACTGTTATTTAACAAAAACCTTTAGAAATCATTTAGAAAATCACCCTTAAAAATGCTCTAAATCTGTGGTTCAATGAAAACAAAGCTCTAAAAAGAAAATAGAATATATTTTTAGATCTCACAAGTTCAGATTTACAAAAATTTTTTTAAATAAGTTGAATCTTCAGATGGAAAAATCAAATTTTGTTAAATAAAATCAACAAATTGTGACATTAAACGTAAAGTTCTAACCGATCAATTAAAATTATGTGATTTTAATGTATTAAAGCAATTATTGTATTGATAACTGTAGAATTGCAGACTTTAGTTTAATAAGATATTAAATTTGCTGCAGAATCTTTTTAAAAGAATGATTTAGGAACTGCGGTTTATCCTTCCTGAAGATCATTCAAAGTTTGCTCACCTTCCAGTGAGTATCCTCCTCGTGGGTAGTTCTGGTGAGGAGCTGGCCTCATCATCCTCGGTAACCCTCCTGCAAGCGCAGTCATGATTCCTGACTTTCTGTCAGGAAAGACGTAAAATGAATCTTCCACCAGGTGTTGCTTTCAAGTCCAAAATGAACCCTTTGTCAGTTTCGTTTTGTTCGACTTCTGCTACAGTTCGCTATCCAGCCTCCTTCCCTGTGCGTAACAGGTCGTCTCTTGAAGAAAAAAAAACTGTGTCCGGGCTTAAGTGGAGCAGCTGAGTGATCTCCAGAGATGCTTCTCGGATGGAAAACAGTTAAAATGTGCAGGTTTGTGACAGAAGTCCGGGGATGATTAGGAAGATGCTCTGGGAGGATGGTTGGAAGTCAAAGATTTTATCCCCGCACACTGTCCCCTTGGACTCAGAGCTCTGCGCAGTGATTGGTTGGAGATCCGGACGTCTGGAGGCAGGAGGGGCTGCGCGATTGGACAGAAGGAGCAGAGATCTGTTTGGACTGACCTCAAGAGGTCAGCCTGTGCGTAAAAAGTTAGCAAGCATAAATTCACGCAGGTGATTTTATCCTCACCAGGTGAGGCGAAAGATCAAATCAGCGTCTCTAGGGTCAGAGCAACAGGAAAAACTCGGACATGTACTTCTACACAGTTACGCAGTTAATATTGTATTCATTAAATCATCTGAAACAAACAATACAATTAATTGAACATGCGGACTAATCGCTTCAGTCGTGTTTCTTAAAGTTTGTTTTATTCGACTAAATTTGTCTGTAATTTTAAAAAGTGTTTATTAAAGGAATTAATTTTTTAATGGATGCGTCCATTTAAACAACATATAATGTTTAATACGTTCTTACATGCTTAATAAATAAATGCTGACAGAAAGTTTAAGTTGTGCGCACAAAAATGATGCGTTTTTATTGCGTAAAACTAAACAATTGTCCTATTTTGGGCGCAGTTGGCAGAAATTGTGCGTCCAGTAGCATTGTTTAATTACAGCGATGTTGGAGATGAGGAGATGATCTATTCTTCTTACTGAGTTCCTCCGGATTCCTCAGGGGGAAAAAAGCTCCGCGTGGTCTATCAACAGTTGCGCTGATTTAACAAAGGCTGCTGCGCGGACCCGTGGCTGAGTGGAACACATCCATGCAAATGTTGCGCTGCAGACAATGAAACACATGAGGGGATCACTTGACTTTTCTTAAGCTTGTGGAGATGTGATAATTGTAATAATTAGGCGTGTTTAATGAACCAAAACATTTTTTTCAAGAAGCGGTCTGAATATTCCCCTGGGATTTTTTTTATTCTGAGAAAATTTAAAAACTCATCTTCAACAGATGAAATATCCTTGCCTAAAAATGTACTCCTCCTTAAAACATATACAAGACAATTTAAGTGCACTTGTTCATAGTTTGTTGTAATGTTCTCTGTTTTGTGTTCTGAACGTTTGCTCCCAAGAACTCATAGGGGAAAAATAGTGCTGTGGACACATAACATGTGGAAACATTATACCCCTATAAAAGCAAGAATGGGGGCTGCGTAAAGTTATCATACTAAAGTTTGACTATCATGAAGAGGATATTGGATCTACCATGTCAAATCAATTACAGGGCCAAGCTGGGTCAGAAATGTGCTGTGGAGGTGGACAGAATGAGCGTAGAACAAAATGACCTGAAGAGAAACAGCGTTTAGAGGGAATGTGTGCAGAGCAGAGGCCACATTTCTGAATAAGTCAAATTAACAAAATACAAATGATTTGCCAAGTTTTTCAATAAATGTTACGTTAGAAAATGCAACCTCTGGGAAGTTTTGAACTTGGATTAGTTTTGATTACTAAACCAAACTATAGGGACGGTGGAAAAACTTTCGAGTTCAGATAAATCTACAAATCGGACCAGGTTTCAAATCCAAAACCAGAAATATCCACTGAAATAGGAGCTATTGGGGTTAAAATGCTGGTCCAGTGAGCCTCAACCACAACCATCAATCTAAAAACAATGTGCCCCCAGCAGGCTGTAACCCCAATTTGGAATTTTCATTGGCCTTATTTGGTCCGAGTACATGAAAATAGCCATTGTCTCTTAAACAGCATGGGCTTAACATTTATTGGCCATCGAATCCTGATGCTGTTGCCAGGAGAAATTATGAAAAAATAATAATAATCCAAATACATTAGAATATTAGGCATCAATAAGGTTTTGATGATTGGCAAACCCTGTAAAATACTGCACTGAGTGTTTTAAGGTTAATAAGAAGCTATTAAAGTCCAGAGTACTTTATTACAACTGACTGTGCTAAAAACAGATTTTTTAACCAAAATAAAGGCACTTCTTGTTCAGTTCAGGGGCACAAAATGACAAGAACAACTGACACCACCTGATTTTAGTTTATTTTGGTTAGTTTTCAGTTAGTAGATACACATCACAAAAGTGAAACAGATTTAGAGGGAATATTTTCTATTTTTATTGTGACAAATCCGTCAAAGGAATGAGTGTGTTTTCTGGTGTGTTTGATCTTATCTGATAAAGGTGACCCACAACAGTTGAATGGGAGCTCAAACTGAGAGCAGTTATCATGACAAAAGCTTTGTAAGGTGAACTCAGGTAAAAAAAAAAGATTCAAATAGAAGAACAGAGGATTTGGCACGCAGGGCCATGGGGCATGCAGGGTGAAATTAATAGTTCCGCTCATCTATTTAGGAGACAAAAACCACCCAGATAACAGTTTATGGTCTCATGATGAACATGTCGTCAAGCCTTTACTGAGATTCTTATCTGTCTGGAATCACAGTCTCTTTGCTTCTAAGTGTAATTAATGTAAAGAGGGAAAAGTCATGTTACCTGATGTTGTGACAACAATGAGTTGGATGTCACCCCCCCACCCCCCACCCACACACACACACACACACACACAACTCGACTCATACCCCTGTTACTCCAACACATTTAAACCATTTAAGAGAATCCCATTTGCCAGTGACACTTTCTGCCGGAATTTAGAGAAGAGCACAGAAAAGAAATGCAATCATGGTGGCGCAGTGGTTAGCACTGTTGCCTCGCAGCATGAAGGTTGCAGGTTCAAAACTGGGCTGCGGCCTTTCTGCGTGGAGTTGTGTGCTCTCCCCATGCATGCATGGGTTTCTTCCGGGTGCTCCGGTTTCCCCCACAGATCACAACATGCCCTATAAGTTATAAATTGTAAGTCGCTTTGGATAAAAGTGTCTGCTAAATAAATAAACATAATAATAACATTTGATTGTGTTTGCAGATTACGTTTTAAAATGTTGTTTTCAAATATCCCCACTTTTTGGTCCATAGATCTAAGAACAACAGAGTGTTAAACTAACCATAACAACATATGTAAGTAAACAAGAAAACACCTTCCGCATCGCCTGGTCAAGATTTGTTCAGAAGTTCATCAACAGTCCATGCTGAAGAAAACAAAATCTCTGTTAACATATTGTTGATCTTCTATTACACAGTGCGTGGGACCGTCTCCCTTTACTTTAGTGTTGTTTACATTTCTTGGATTTTTTAAAATTAATTTATTATTTTTGCTTCTCTTCTAAAATGCTGAAATCTGATTGCATTAAGTATACTTATTTACTTAATACTCTATAGGAACTATTTTTTTCTCTTTATCTACTACAACCTGACTGGGAAAACTTCTAGGCTAAAAAACACTTAAAATAAAGGGATTAAAAATAAACATTACATTGCATAACATTAAAACCCTTATTGTCAAAAAATATAAAATGCAAACACGTTCCATTGTTTTCCCTTTGTATGTTGTTTTGGAGAAGTTCAACATTCAGGATAAAGTCCCATTAAAATAACAAAACCACAAGGTAACTATTTTAGCAAAGTGTTTAAAATACTCCTGTTCATTAATGGGAGTTCAAGTATGTACTTGTAAAAAAAATTAAGTTCAGAAAAATATTCATCCATCAAAATTATTATCAAGGTTAATTCAACATAAAAACAATCACTGTTGGTTTGATTCACTCAAAGTTGATTAACTTGTCTGTCAGAGGTTCAGTCCAGTGATTCATTTTAAAAATGTTTGTTTCGATTCGTCGCCTCTTTAGTGACATCTGATATTAAACCTAAATATGATTTATTGAGGAATAACATTGATTCCTGAGAACTAAACACTGTTCAACATTCATCCATAACTTCAGCCACAAGAGGGTGCACAGTCTGAGCATGCCTATCTATCTATCTATCTATCTATCTATCTATCTATCTATCTATCTATCTATCTATCTATCTATCTATCTATCTATCTATCTATCTATCTATCTATCTATCTATCTATCTATCTATCTATCTATCTATCTATCTATCTATCTATCTATCTATCTATCTATCTATCTATCTATCATCTATCTATCTATCTATATCAATCTATCTATCTATCTATCTATCTATCTATCTATCTATCTATCTATCTATCTATCTATCTATCTATCTATCTATCTCTCTATCTATCTATCTATCTCTCTATCTATCTATCTATCTATCTATGTATCTATCTATCTATCATCTATCTATCTATCTATCTATCTATCTATCTATCTATCTATCTATCTATCTATCATCTATCTATCTATCTATCTATCTATCTATCTATCTATCTATCTATCTATCTATCTATCTATCTATCTATCTATCTATCATCTATCTATCTATCTATATCTATCTATCTATCTATCTATCTATCTATCTATCTATCTATCTATCTATCTATCTATCTATCTATCTATCTATCTATCTATCTATCTATCTATCTATCTATCTATCTATCTATCTATCTATGTATCTATCTATCTATCATCTATCTATCTATCTATCTATCTATCTATCTATCTATCTATCTATCTATCTATCTATCTATCTATCTATCTATCTATCTATCTATCTATCTATCATCTATCTATCTATCTCTATCTATCTATATCTATCTATCTATCTATCTATCTATCTATCTATCTATCTATCTATCTATCTATCTATCTATCTATCTATCTATCTATCTATCTATCTATCTATCTATCATCTATCTATCTATCTATCTATCTATCTATCTATCTATCTATCTATCTATCTATCTCTCTATCTATCTATCTATCTATCTATCTATGTATCTATCTATCTATCTATCTATCTATCTATCTATCTATCTATCTATCTATCTATCTATCTATCTATCTATCTATCTATCTATCATCTATCTATCTATCTATCTATCTATCTATCTATCTATCTATCTATCTATCTATCTATCTATCTATCTATCTATCTATCTATCTATCTATCTATCTATCTATCTATCTATCTATCTATCATCTATCTATCTATCTATCTATCTATCTATCATCTATCTATCTATCTATCTATCTATCTATCTATCTATCTATCTATCTATCTATCCATCTATCTATCTATCTATCTATCTATCTATCTATCTATCTATCTATCTATCTATCTATCTATCTATCTATCTATCTATCATCTATCTATCTATCTATCTATCTATCTATCTATCATCTTTCTATCTATCTATCTATCTATCTATCTATCTATCTGGCATTTTCTGAATTTGTATTTGCAATGAAAAGACAAAACGCATAAATCGATCCTATTTATTAAGTTTTTACAAAATCATAGCAAATAATTCGTTTTTTTAGTGAGAACAAATGTGATATTATTGATATTTAATGTTCTGATTATTTTTCTCAAAGAAACTAATAACAGTTCATTACAAAAACAAAAGAGTTAATTAGTAAATATGTGTATTTGTGTACTCAGAGTCAACAGATAAAGTAATCTGATCCTAGCTGTGTCACGCCACCACCCTAGGAGTTGAAGTTGGGCGGTGATCTGATCTGAAGGTGTCGCCTCTAATGTCCTGCTTGTCGCTGTCCACAGCTCGTGGTGCTGAAATTCAAAAGGACAGACCTGCCGCAGGTGTCACCCTCTCATTACACGGTTAAATGGGTCAGCTCATGCTCATGGCCCATGTGACGTGATCCAGGTGGCCGAGAGCAGATCGATCTGAAAGGGTTTTTTGATTTGTCTTCCTAAGCCTCGGCTGTCTTTGTTATTCTGTCTGTTAGGCAACAGGTCTGAACGGAGCGGGTGGAGTCGGACTGCGACCCAGACTGACTAAATGAAAATGCTTCTGACTTTACAGCTTCTATGAGGTCAGGTTTGGGCATCAATTTAAATGTGTTGTCAGCTGCCTGAATCCCGTTTCCGTGAAACATGGCGGATTCGCTCAGCGAAGGAAGCGGTTCCGTATGGCAAGCCAGAACCGCCGAAATACGTCACTTTCCCAACCCGTATAGTTAAGAGGTGGCGAAAAAAACGCCGTTTGATATGTCAAGACATAGTTCCGATAAATACGCGTGCAAAATCTGTCACAGCGACTTTGACCTGGAGCGCCGCATTCCCAAAGAGCTCGGCTGCTCCCACACATTCTGTCAGGAGTGGCTGGAAGTTCTGCGCTCCCGAGAAGGTGGAGGATGGAGAGTTGGCTGCCCGGTGTGTCGTCACCGAACTCCGGTACCAGAATACAAGGTCACAAACCTCCCCAATAACACCGCTCTAGCCGAACTGCTGCTAATTAAAGCGCAGCAGCAAAGAAACTTTACAAAAACAAACAGGTGGCGCAATCGGCTGCTTCCGTTACCTCCCAGCAGAGCTGTGAGAACTGCAAACAGATCGCGTTCACTACAGGCTGCGCGTGCGCCATGTTCTCCTTCCTCGCCATGGTGGTGCTTTTGTTTGTGGCCCTCATCTTTGTGCAAAACTTCAGTCACACAGCGTCCCCAGTTGGCGCAATCTGTCTGTTCACCGCCAGCGTCCTTGCCCCCTTTTCTCTCATTCTAACTTGGTTAATGTGCATGCTGGAGTATCGACCAGAAACTCCAGATCTGAGCTCCACCACATCTAACAGGATCTAGTGAGAACATCCAGCAACTATGGAAAACTGGCTAAACCTGGGGAGTTTATCAGGACAAGAGGAAAATAAGTGATCAGTGACACCATTCAGGATAATCATCTCATTTGAGCTGACAGTATCACAAAAATACTAATTCTACTGTTTACTATTTTAAAAATAGTGAATAAAAATGAGTAAAACACAAAGTTGAGGTGAGCATCTGAGGGTTCTGAGGACCAAAATCATCAAGTGAGTCGTCTTTATAGACAATCAAAATTAGATTTGTTTTATTTTTTTAAATGCAAAAATATATACATTCACATTCTTTCATTTGTACTTCTTAAAGCGACTATGTGTATTTTCAGTGGTGATAGGGGGGCAGTACATAACTAAATCATTGCAAGCAAGCAGTATTTTGTGTTTGAGTAAGACCTTACCCAACAGATGGCCATTAGGGTAAAAATCCCTAGCTCAAGTATAGATCACTCAACCTCCAGCTAAATGACAAGCACATCAGACTCCCTCTGTTCACTGGCAGTGAATGAAGAGGTAAATGTGTAAAACAGTGTTTATGAATACTGAAAGTTTTGTAACCGCTTGTTACAAATCAGTAAATGCATTTTGTCCTCACGCATTTCCATATAAGGAAACATTGGGTGTTTCTCAATGTCAGTGATGTCTTGGTAGGCCAGGAGGCTTGCTTACGAGGACGTTGTCCTTCCTTGGTCAAAGAAAACGGTTAAATGGAACAGCCTTAAAATAAAGTTATATTTTACACATATAACTTTCAACATAGATGTATAACAAGTCTTACTTTTTTAATTGTGTATATATTGGTTAAATTAAATATGTAAGCAAGTTACTAAGTGCTAGCCACGGAAGCTGCAAATACTAAGCAACTAACCAACCATAGATAACTGCTTTGGATCTAAAAACATTTCAGATATCAGCCTGACAGCTACTATTAGTTTAATTATATTTAAACTGGAAATTTGCCCCAAAGAAGCTGTCAGCTCCTTCCTTCCTCCATCCTTTTGAAAATACCATACTGAATTCTGGGAAATTTTTCACCAAGATCAGGCTACAAGACAAGGCTAACAAACAGAGAACAGAAGCCTCGGTAGCACATGAACATTGGAACACGCCTTCCTGAGAACGTATCTCCTAGGCAACTGGGTCAGGACCAATGCATCTAGATGAGGTTCCTTGATATTGAGAAATACCATTGTGTCTAATATGGTAAATGGCCTTTATTTGATATAGCGCCTTCTAGAGTCCTGGAACCCCTCAAGGTGCTTTACAACACAATCAGTCATTCACCCATTCACACACGGGAACGAGCTACAATGTAGCCACAGCTGCCCTGGGGCGCACTGACAGGGGCGAGGCTGCCGAGCACTGGCGCCACCGGTCCCTCCGACCACCACCAGCAGGCAACGTGGGTTAAGTGTCTTGCCAAGGACACAACGAGCGGGGCTCGAACCTGCAACCTTCCGATTATGGGGCGAGCACTTAACTCCTGTGCCACCGTCGCCCCATATGGCATTGCCCAGAGACTGCACTCCCATGTATTTTAGACACGATTTTTATGGTTATATGTTACAAAGCAGTATTTTTCAACAACTCTGCATCTTTTTATTCTTTTTCATCAATGTTTCAATTGACATTTCCAAAGATTAATGGTAACAACTACACATTGTCTCTTTAAAATAGGTTCAAAATTATCATTAATGTTGCTAAAAATAAAACACAATGCAATAATTTTAGAAAGTGTTGATTTAAACCAACAGCCTGCTGGAGAGAGCATTGATGCTTTTACAAATGCAAGAGGGGAGGACGCACAAATAATTTTCAGTGCCAAAAATGGTAGAATCAAGAATGACTTCATGAGTAAATGACAATCCATCATAACAAGAACCTTTTCTAAATGTATTGAAATAGTTTTGCTGCAAATATTGGAGACATGTTTCATTTTAAAAAAATCTGTCAAAGCATAGTTGCAGCAACCTGCATCTCTGAGGCCTTACTTGATTTTAAGTGTCAATTGTGAGGCTTTAAAAATACATTTGTAGTAGAAATTGTAAAAAATAAAAAAAAGGCTTTTTCCTTTGTGAAGGTTGCAGACTCCTCTTTAAAGGAGATACAGTAGGTCTTGAAGCAGAATATCAACTCATATTACTTTCCTAAAATTAAAGAAAAGTACAAACAAAACTCAGACTGAATGCATCCTTGAACAACTTTAGTTGATCAAAATACTGAAGAAAAGTTGTGGAAATTAATAATCAACATGTAAAGACATGTTGAAGACAGACATCATATAATGTTGTGAAACTTTGGAGCTGACGATCCACCAACTGAATAAGAATACTAATATTTGCTAATAGTAATTCTGTCAATACATAAAAGTTTTTTTTTTGTGATTTTCCAAAAATGTTCAACTCTACAGCACATATTGGTCATAGTAAAAATAATAATAACCAATAAAATAAATAAACTTTATGGTAACAAAGAATGCATTCCAGTGTAAAATTGCCATAGCCTGACTGTTTTGCAGGGGATTTGACTTTTTTGGCAAGCCAAAGTGACACAAAACATCTTATTATGTTTATTCATTTAGCAGACGCTTTTATCCAAAGCGACTTACAATTTATAACCTATAGGTCATGTTGTGATCTGTGGGGGAAACCGGAGTGCCCGGAGGAAATCCACGCATGCGTGGGGAGAACACACAACTCCACACAGAAAGGCTGCAGCCAAGTTTCGAACCTGCAACCTCCGTGCTGCAAGGCAACAGTGCTAACCACTGCGCCACCATGCAGCCCTTCACTAATCACTTGTAAAAGTAATTGTAAGTGAAGCACAGCTTTCATAAATTGTTTTACAGCTGTTGATTTTTTGTATTTTGTGTCAGTCAGATGTATTATTCTCTGCAGTTGAATCATTTCAGAGTGACCAGACCTGTTTAACTCATAACTGCCTCTGAGTGATTACACTGACTCCCTGTGGGGAATCAGGTCAGCGGGGATCCCACATAAGTGGGCCTGTGGGGCATTGGGGTTCACAAAATGAAGAATAACTTTGGGTGGGGGCCCAAATAATTAGTGCTGTAAAGTCAGAAAACAATGGAAGTGCAGATGACCTCCCATAGGGTCCTAAATCATCTCATCATTAAGTTTGCTTAAATCACTTTTTAAAATTGAGATTGTGTTGAAAACGCACAATTTCCCACTAAAACTATTTAATGTGGATGATAGCAATGATGTGGTGAAGTGCAGGCCTCAAGGTATTACGGTCAAGATGATGTCTCTATCTCGGTCACAGCAGGAATTTATATCCACCCAGTGTTGCTTTAGGAGGCGACAGTGGTTTCTGGAGCTAAAATCCATCCCTTGTTGGTCCCTCAAAAGAATTCCTTCATTTGGTCAGTGACTAATGCCACTTAAATGCCACCATGACAAAAAGCCTGAGGGGGAAAAAAAAGAAAAAGAAACGAAGGGGTGCAATATAGGCAACACTGTGTCTGGGGCCAAGGGCCTCATGTCGTGGGGACTGTAGGGCTTAAAGTTAAAGATTACTTTGAAATCTGCATCCCTACCATCAAACTCACCCTGCTTACTCCCACCCTTCCTCCTCCCTGCAGCCATCTCTTCCACTCGCAAAAAAGAAAAAGCTGTCTCCACAGAAAAGGGGATGAGTTGAGAGCAGATCCTCTTTGATGACAGAGAAGCAACCTTTTGTTCTCTTTAATCCCCACAAAACTGCCCCAGTCCCCCTCCACACCCTCCCTTTTATTTCTTCTCCCTGCAAGTCCAACAGGATGTTAAATGACTCAAGGAGTTAGGAAAGTGTTTACCTACCTGGTCTGTGAATGAAAAACAACTTGAAAACACACGTATGTTTTATGTTTTAGTGATGTAATTATAAATAATGCAATAGGTACAATGAAAATCTGTTATATAGTGCCTGTTATGCAAGGTGACAGCTATCCTGCAACCCTGAAAAGCATAAAGCAGAAATAAAAACAAGAGAATGAAACTTCTCTACAAAGTTGATTGGTTGATGTAGGTTAATCCTATGAGGGCTTTTGCCACCGTACGTCAAAACTCAGAAAGAGATACTCGCAGGATCCATTTCCTCTCTTCCTGCAACTTGCCTTAAGTAGGAGCAAAGTGTGCCTTTGTGTCATTATCAGATTTGACACGTATTTTGCAGAGAAGAAGATGAAAGTGCTCCTTTTACTTGTAACATCTGCCCTCTGATGGTTAGCATCCCATTGTGACCTCAAAGACATTACCCTGAGGAAAGCGATTATCACCCCTCCATACACACTTCAGCTGGTCACGTGATCTCATGCACAACATGTCTAAGCTTGGGTGTGTGTGCGTGTAGTAAAAAGCTTTTAACGTGTGTGTTTGAGCATATATTTCTGGAAAAACATATGGCCTAAAAACGCATGCAAAACCTCCAGAGACAAGTGGTGTGAACCCAATGTTTGGGGTTAAAGGGTCAAACAGAGCTTCACTCTGTCACTTAGATTGTGCTGCCCAAAGATGTCAAAGAAAAAATTATTTCTTTGTCATGAAACAAATATGGACAAAAACAAGAATTTACATCAAAACTAATGTCAATGCAGTCCACAGCATTGCAAATGATCGCCATCTGGTGTACAAAATTAAGAGTGCAGGACATTTTTTGATTGGCCAGTATCTTCAGAATTAGCTTTTGTGGTTTCATTTTTCAAATGTGATGGTGAATGATACAATCTCCAGCTCCTTTAAAAGTTTACCTGTTTAATGTCCACACCAAAAAAAAAAAAGCTGTGAAAAAATGTTTTGTTCATTGATTTGGGGTCAATAAGCAATAAGCAAGGCAACAAAAATGTAAACAAAATTATAGTAATAGAAAGGGAATGATCATATAATATAATTTGATTATGTTTAACTATTCATTGGATCATTTAGGTTTTTTTATTTTGTTTTGTTTCAATTAAGTCTGGTGCATGCTTCAATAAAACAATGGAACTAAACCAAGAGCATCTTTCTTGAAAAGAAGACCCAAACTACAGTTAAAGTCCGTGCTGCATTGATTACGAACGGCAGCGGTGTGACTAATGCATGCATCAGTGCTAAATTCTTTACCAGGGGTGGTGTCTATCACATGTTTCAAATATAAAGGCAAACGTGTATTTCTTGGTTCATTTTAAATGAATGTACAGAAGATGTTTAAAGGCAAACATCTTCCATTTGCTTTAAAATACTGTGCTCAAAAACTTAATGCTTTATATTTTAATGGCAGTAGTGAATAAATCTTTGTAGTTTTACAGTCAAATGATAAGTTTTATCTTTTTGTTTAATTACAAAATGCTCTATGTTTACTATTCTTCCTTAGAGTTATAGAAGTGGTTGCAGCTCCTTCTTCAACATTTAAATCTTTTTTGTAATCGTCCTGCAACACTTAAAGACATAACACTGCTTGATGAGAAATAAACAAGGTCTGATAATGATGCAACATAGAAAATCACTTACTATGCTAAAGAATAAAAATTTGGTGTAATTGGTTTTCATTTCCGGAAATATTATTGTGTTTATTAGGGAGCTACTCCATCACACAACATGATTTTTAACTGCTTTTCAATAAGAAATTAATGCATTATTTTATTTTAAATGAACACCTTAAAGAAAATGGATTGTCTGGTTGTTGCAGGAATATTTGCAAAGGTAGAGGTTGAACATTTTGCATGATGGTGCTGATAATCACCCATGTTTCACAAAAAAATGAGGGATCTTTCGATTGTCTGTCAGCTCTCATGAAACACAAGAGCCTTTACACATTGCTAGGTTTCCATTGTCTCCAAATAAATTAGGCTTAGACTGCAGTCTTTTAGGTAACTATATTCTTAATAAAACAAGCAAAAAATTCAAATAATGATAACATAAAAAAAGCTAAGAGACGCTAAATGATTGCAGAATGAAACCATTGTTTTTGTGAAGCGCTTTGTGATTTTTACCTTAAGAGGCACTACATAAAAGATAATTTTCTTTCTTTATTCTTTATAATTATAGCCAATCAAAAATCATTGCAGTCCCATTTATGCATGTTCAATTCAATCCAGCTTATTTATATAGCGCCAAATCCCGACAAGAGTCTCATGGCACATCACAAAGTAAACATTCCAGTAGCTCATTAAGCCAATGAGTAAAATGTTTCCTATATGAGGAACCCAGCAAATTGCACCGAGTCCCTGACAGGTGTCAGAGTCTTTATGGCAATCCTGATACTAAGCAAGCATGAAGTGACAGTGGAGAGGAAAACTCCCTTCTAACAGGAAGTGTTGTGTTCGTTTTGTTTTGTTTTATCAAGATCCTCATTAGCTTATGCCTAAATGCAGATGCTAGTCTTCCTGGGGTGTCATACATTTTCATACAATTGTTTACATAAGATAATACCTGCACACACACACACACACACACACACACACACACACACACACACACACACACACACACACACACATCCCTAATTCACATGATCCCAGTAGCTCAAGATGAAATCACATATCTAGAACAAAGTTACATATATAAACTAATATCGGGAAAGGAGTTAATGACACCAATCAAGATTGAAAATAAAATATAACAGAATGGTGACCCCATGTCCATTGTTTTGTATCATAGTGCATTGATATCCAGTATTCAACCTCAAACCCATATACCCAATCCTTCGTTACAGAGTTCATAGTCACTGTACAATTGAAGATCTGTCTTAGCAACTTTGCCTCTTGATTGCAATCGAGAATCACAAAGGATAGTCCATCAACGCCACAGACTAGTCACTTGCCAGTGTATGAATCTTACTGCAACTTGCAGTCCGACTCTGGAATAGTTTTTACCAACATCCATGTCCCTTTAAGAAGCTATATAACCTCGAGTCATATGACAACTTGACTTAGAGTAATACAAGTGACAGCCTCGTCTAGTGGACAACTTTTTTTTTGCACTTACAGATATTTATCGTCCATTTATCGTTATCAAGGTAAACTCCTCAAAAGTGATATAGATTTTAGACCGTATCATCCAGCCCTATATGTACAGTCTATTCTAATTGATATTATTGTACAATGTCTGTTTTGCAATGGCTACACAGTCCAATATAATCTCAAAATTCCAATATTCTATATATTTCCATAATGCAATATTCTTTACTACAGTTTAGTGTTAATATTTATTTATTTATTTATTTATGTTTTTAACTTGTTTCCTATTTTGTTTTAATGTACTGAGCCCTGTGCTCATAATTTTGTTCAATGACGCATCTGCACTGACAAGTGAGTCATTAAAATTGCTTTGACGGATTTGCAGTTTTGTGTTCAGTGATTTATAAAAATACATAAGGTTTTTTGTAGAGTATGCAAAAGGTTCAAATGTCCTTCAGTGTTTGTTCTTTCTTTCTTTCTTTCTTTCTTTCTTTCTTTCTTTCTTTCTTTCTTAGTTTACTTAAATACATTTAGATGTCTTGAATAGTTTGGCAACATCACACATACACATGGCCATCGCGTCATTGTAGTGACCGGTAGTAACCCCACTGACGCTCCCGCTGCCTCTAGCACGCGCCACCTCTGATGCGCCAATCACAGACGCAGAAACATTGTGACGTGTTTCCAGCAGCTTCCGGGCTGGCATCAGTGCCCCGGTAATTCACAGATTTACGTTTTTTTATTCGTTTTATTACATACGCACAGTTGTGATTATTAACGAAACTCCAGTCTTGATGGTTTGTGTAAATATTGTACCAGAGCTGTGATTAGAAGGATAAATAAACCGGAGCCCTCCCCGCAGCGACACAGGCGTAGCGGCTGAGAAAAGAGGTGAGAATGTGTTGCGGTATGGACGCGTTGCAGATGTTGAGAAGAGATGGTTGTTTTAGCCACCGGTTTGCTAAACGGTGCGTGTGTCACGTCGCTTTTCCTATGACATACATTTTTTATATAGCGTTTTGTGTGTGTGCCCCCTTTTGATTAACGGAATAATAGTGTGGGAGTAAACATGTTTCTTTGTACAAATCTCCCAAACTGTTAATGGTGGATGCTTTGCTAAGCTGCTGGAGTGTCTTTGAGAGCAGTCCGCTAGCTAGCGAATCTTGATGTGTCTCGTGGAAGAAAAAGTGGTCACGAGGACGAAATGCCCCAATTAGTGGATTTAATTTTTAAAAACTCTCCAATATCTAAAATGTCGTTACGGTTATTGAAGATTAATCGTATCTATCAGCGACGTTTACAAGGTAACGTAAGAAACGCGTATATATACTACTATGTACATACATAGTACTTAGCAGAACAAGCTAATTCCACAAAAGGTATTTATTATTAAAATGAATGAAAACAGGAAGTAAAAACGTAAAAGGTTGTTAGATTTAAATAATAATCAGGTTTGTTTTGTTTGTCTTGATCCTGTATTACATAATAAATATAAACATAAACTTTTACTATAAAAGTCACAAACTATAGTAGACATAGTCTTATTTATGAAAGGATCAAGTATATTAGGATACATAGAATTGTACAAAATATTATTGGCCTTTTACTATTCGTGCATATGAAAAGTTCCTTTTGAAAATATATCCATGTGCAACAAATAATCATAATATATATTTATATAATAAATAATATAATAATTACGGTGGTTATTCTCTGTTCATAAAAATTGGTTTTAATAATAACAGTTAAACTAACTTCCTAACAACTGAGTCAATTGGTTCTGATCTCAGAATAAATTTAGTGTCTAAACTTCATTCATCTTTGGGTAAAGAAGAAGCCGTTACACAATAAGCATGTGGCTTATTTGGCCGCTTTGAGGCATTGCAAACTGGTAGGATCAGTTTTACTATGAAGGTAGATAGTTGATCATAAATCAGTGTCTCTAAGCCTGTGAGTCACTAACTGTGTGTCAAGTGTTGAATGCATTGTTTTTCCCTTCTTTGTCTCTAAAACCTGGAAAAGGTGTGCCCGTTTGCCGTACTGGCTTAAACCTGTAATGCCAGTGTTTAAGCTAGGCTAGTGTGGGATTTCAGCGTCTTGGCTGTACCTGAAACCTTACTGTTGGATTTTCTCATCTAGTCAAACTGACAGTTGGTTGTGAACTACAAGCTGCAGCAGAACAAGTGAGACACGTTTGTCCTGTATGGCATTGTGTCATTGGGTTCAAATAAGAAAGAAAATGCTAATTATGGCTCTGGGTTGGAACTTTCTAAGCCTTCATTGGGATTTTTCAATGGGTGCCTGGGAAATGAAATAGCTTCAGCACCACTTTTTTCACATTCTATAATTTCTTTTATTTTGATTTTAAAGTGATCGAGATCTGTTGGTGGTGGTCAGAGGGACCGGTGGTGCCAGTGCTTGGCAGTCTCACTTCCGTCTTACTTTAAGGCAACTCTGGCTACATTGTAGTTTACCGCCACCAGCGTGTAAATAGATGAAAGACTGTTTGTGCTGTAAAGTGCCTTGGGGGGTTGTAGAACTCCAGAAGTCACTATATCAAAAACAGGCCATTTTACATCATCTTGGAGTGCAGTGTAGTCTGATATCTCTTTGGGAGCTAAAATACAATTTAATGCTTGTCAGAAGCTGTTGTTTTTGTTATTTATATATTGGACTAACGTAATGTTCTGCTCTCTATGCTGTCTTCTTATAAAGCAGTGGTTCCCTAACTTTTCAGCTTCAGTCCCGCAAAATAGCAACGGTCAAGAAATGCAACCCCAGAGATGTCTTAGAAAGCTAAATTATTCAGGGCATAAAAAAAACTTCAGCTCGTACTCAGTTACATCCTTTATGACCATTTAATTGAGTTTTTGTAAAAGAAAGAAATAAAAAAGAGACACGGAGCGATTGTTTTTAATTTTATCTTGATTTCTGGAAATCATCTCAAGATGCCCTGTGTAGTCCAACTTTAGGAGCCACTGCCATAAAGCGTAGCTCATCTCAGGTCACTGGTATTTGATTATCCAGCTGTCTCTCCACCAGTGCATGTTTTTTTTTCTCTCCATAGTTTTGAACATACGGTAAAAAGCAGCCGACTCCCTCAGCTTATACTGCTTCTTCACTGTACTGTCCCATCAGCAGGCCTGGATTCACTAACCTCAGTCCCGACCTTGTGACCCCTCCCAAGAATGAATAACTGCTCACACAGAGGTCACAGGGCCACGCTGTTGCTTGTGCCGTTCTTAAGCATGCACTACAAATAGCCAAGCTCTCAGGGAGATGACCTGTGGTGATCTGAACGCTTCTGTAGCAAAGCCAAACAACTCAAAGCATTAACAGCCTGCTGGTTAAAACCACTTAGAGCAGTTACTGCATGTGATATAATGTTGTTGCTGAAGGTGCACGGTAAATGTTTGACTGCAGAAACCCTGAGAGTTTTTTTTAAGAAAGAAAGAAAACAATCTGTTGTATAGTGCCTCTCAAGATAAAAATCATGAGGAGCTCCAAAGGGAATCAGTGCCTGTTTCAGCAGTTTAATATCTTTTTCCTTGATTATAAGAACATTTTAGCTCTATTTCTTTTACTAATCTCATTCTGAATTGTTTCCAGCGCACACAATAGTTACTTTATATTGCACAGAAAGCAGGAGTCTAATGAGAAAAAGTGCTGACTGAGTGAGAACCGATCTAAGAATAGTCTTCATTCACAGGGATGCAGCTACTTATATTTACTGCAGTGTTCCACGACGTGCTGATTCATTTCTGATGCAGTTCCTATAGTCTCATGTTGATTCTCATGTTTTACAGGTTGCTTCGCCTCCCAAAGACATCCTCCCCCTCCAAACGAGCACCGTAGGCAGCAGATTAGCGAGCGGCTCGGGCCGTCGTTGACTTCATCCTTGAAGATGAAGTTGAAGGAGGATATAAACCCGCTGCTCCTGCAGGTTTTCCGCTCCGTAGTCTGGGTCTACTCCATCATCACCTTCATACCGTGGTACTTCTTCTCTGGGGCTGGCACCAATTTGGAACGAGCCCGCCGGATAAAGGCGCGCTCGATCAGCGGACACCCAGCGGGGCCGTACCGAGCCACTAATTGCCAGGAGAAGTTGGTAATATGGGTGAACCCTGGAGTGGATACACTGGACAAAATGTTTGAGTTCGCTGCTAGGAGGTTTCCAAAGAGGGACTGTCTGGGCACCAGGGAGGTACTTAGTGAGGAGGATGAACCCCAACCAAATGGAAAAGTGTTTAAAAAGGTAAACAGCTGCTTTTTTACTATCTTGTTTTTATCCAGTGTGAATGACAACAGAGGTCCTGTAGATGGCAGTAACTGACTGCATAGGAGTGATAACATGATGTGATGAGTCATTGACTCACTTCCTTTTTCCACAGTCCTATGCTTCACTTCTGATTGTTCATTTTAATACAGAAATGTGAACGTGCTCTCATTATGAATGCTAACTAAAGCTGTTCCTGAAGGCTACATAGTCCAGTAACATCCATGTTCCTTTTAGCTATGTGTGTATAATCCAGATTACTGTAATGATCTGCCTAGGTGATTCTTGGGAAGTATAACTGGCTCTCATATGAGGAAGCCTACCACGCAGCCAAGTGTTTCGGCAGTGGTCTGGCTGCCCTCAACCAGAAGCCTTTCTGTAACATCGCCATCATCTGTGAGACCCGAGCGGAGTGGGTCGTGGCAGCACAAGCCTGCTTCATGTACAATTTCCCACGTAAGTGTTCACGGAACAGATTTGGAGGTTTGTGTATTCAAAAGTAAAACTAACCACCTGAACTGTAACTGAACAGTTGTAACGCTGTACGCCACTCTTGGACCTAAGGCCGTAGCTCATGGCCTGAATGAGACCGAAGTCACACACATCATCACAAGCAAAGACCTGCTTCAGGGCCGCCTTAAGGTACTCCATTGCTGTTTTGGTTTGTTTTATGAATGTTTGCTATTCTTTGTTCTGTCTGTCTCTTGATCACATCTACCTCTCCATCCCAGGCAATCCTGTGCGAAGTCCCAAGGCTTCAGTTCATCATCGTTGTGGACAACAAGCCCATAAACCGGTCCGACATTCCCAAAGGCATCACGATCCACAGCATGGACGCTGTGAAGGAGATGGGGTGCAGGCCTGATAATCGTGAGTATTTTTTGCATCCTGATTAAAGTGGTTTCTAATTTAGCCAGGAACATTGGAGTACACTGATTCAGGCTTAAATCGAAGCCAACATCCTGGTGTGTAATTAGAGTGATGGGCAGTGCGTGACACAGTCAGCCAATCACCACTTACCAAACAAGCTGTGGCCTCGATGACAGCGACCCAAGTTTTTATGGAAAAATAAGATGAATACAGATCATGACGGAGCTCAGGAGTGACTTCAGCCAGGTTTGAGAGGAAAAGGATGATTTTCTAGATGATTACAGCGGGTAAAACATATGAAGCATAATTATTAAAGAGCTGATCAAGCATCTTAGATTAAAATCACAAATTATTTCATAAATTTCATTATTGCAGCCAATTAAATGATCATTTTTACTCAGTTAATTTAGTTGCATACATTTTAAATAGATTCACAGAGCAAATCGTTTTTTGTCTGAATAAACTGCTGAACAGGCGTGCGATTTTAAAGCTTCTATGATTTTCACAAGGTGTTTTTTTTTTGTTTGTTTTGTTTTGTTTTTTTGGGGAAATGCTGTAAAGGGTGAAAAATAACTAAAACTCTTGAGTTTACCTAACAAGATCTATATCTGCTCTGTAAAAAAGAAATGTACTTTAAAAAAATGTAAATTCTTTCATTAGACATAGATAAAAAATATTTACATTTTTCTTTGTGTTTGTTTACAAGTAATGAACTTACTGTCTTTGCCCTGCAGTTGCAGTCGAGCGCAGACAACCAGCGCCGTCGGACATCGCCGTCATCATGTACACCAGCGGCTCCACAGGCATTCCCAAGGGTGTCATGATCTCTCATGGTAACATCATTGCCGCCATTGCAGGCATGGCTGAGCGAATCCCAAACCTCAAGTACGCAGATATCAGTTTCACTGCTCTGACACTTCCTGTCTGACTGCTGTTCTGCTCCCACAATCCACATTGTGTCTAACCGTTTATTAGTCCCCTCTGGATGTGAAAGAAGTTCACTTTTTTTATGTGCCGGCAGTGAGACAGACACCTACATCGGCTACCTACCACTAGCTCATGTTTTGGAGCTCAGTGCTGAACTGGTTTGCATCTCTCATGGATGTCGCATCGGTTATTCCTCACCTCAGACCCTTGCTGATCAGGTCAGTGTGTGAGCTGATTTTTTGATTATTCTCTTAATTTTAATGTATAATTCATTTAGAAATTGCTCAGTTACTCACTTCAACTTTGATTTCCTTTTGACAGTCTTCTAAGATCAAGAAGGGCAGCAAAGGCGATACCAGTGTGCTGAAACCTACTCTAATGGCTTCTGTACCAGTGAGTTAAAGCTGTTCCTCTAACTTTATTAGTAATGGAGCCTTTTAAAGCAACACTCAACAAATTTGCCTTTTTTTCCTCCTATTGGCTGAAAGCGGAAATACAAGTGTTGTAAAAAATCCTGCCACAACCTGCTGAAGCTAGCGCTAACAACGAGCTAACGCTAAATCGCACCAACTTAGCCTAAATGAGCCACAAGGTAAAAGTAGTGTACCTACTCAATATACAAAACAATTTTGTGTGTTTTCTGACCAGCAGAGGGCGACAGAATGCCATCCCATGTGAATTTGCTCAAGTTTCTGACTCAAGAACCACTGAAACCAGTTTGAAAGCATTAGCTTAAAGTGTTAAAAACTGGCTTAGTGTTGCTTTAACTACACCAAAATCCAATCTTAGTATTAAAACCGATTACAGTCATGTTCAGTGTTGACTCTTGCTTTCACCTGCTGTTTCTGTAGGAGATCATGGACCGAATCTACAAAAATGTAGTGACCAAAGTGGAGGAGATGAGCAAGCTCCAGAAAACACTTTTTGTGTTGGCTTACAACTACAAGATTGAGCAGATTTCCAAAGGCTACAGTACTCCTCTCTGTGACAGGTACCTCACACCTGCCTGCACACACACATCCTGTCACATTGTTTCTGGACCTTTTTTAACTTAACGGCGGTTTAACAAATACACTTGAGATATCAGAAAATATGCATTTTGTTAATTTGAACGACAACTATTAATATCTGCTTTGAAGATTCCAGTTTACTAATATATGATCATTTGGCTTGCTGTATGGTCTCTCTTTCAGTCTGGTTTTCAAACGAGTGCGGGCTCTCCTGGGAGGTAACATGCGGGTGCTGCTTTCTGGCGGAGCGCCGCTGTCGGCTGCAACGCAACGCTTCATGAACGTCTGCATGTGTTGCCCCGTGGGGCAGGGCTACGGCCTGACGGAGACTTGTGGAGCTGGCACCATCAGCGAGTGTAAGTGAGGAGAAAAAAAATTGTGTCAGGATTATTTGATTCTGTTTAAAGAATGATATTAGGAGTTGGATAATTCTGAAAATGCTTCGGTTGTGTTCTCCTAAATGAACCAAGTGAAGTTTTGCTGTAATTTTCAGTTTGGGACTACAGCACAGGACGGGTCGGTGCTCCGTTGGTTTGCTCTGAGATCATGCTAAAGGACTGGGAGGAGGGTAAGTGGTGTGGTAGCAAATGAGTCTTCACCAAAACCATGAATAAAAATAAGTTACCCGCTCCCTCAGGTGGTTACTACAGCACAGACACACCAAACCCTCGTGGAGAAATTCTGATTGGTGGACCCAATGTAACGATGGGTTACTACAAAAGTAACGGCAAGAACCACGAAGACTTTTTTGTGGACGCGAACGGCCAGAGGTGGTTCTGCACTGGAGACATCGGAGAATTCCACCCAGATGGATGCCTCAAGATTATTGGTAGGGATCATCTAAACGTGTGTGTGTGTGTGTGTGTGTGTGTGTGTGTGTGTGCGTGCGTGTGTGAGCAGGCGATAAATGGTTTCTCATCAGTGTGTGTGTTCTGCTCCTGCAGACCGTAAGAAAGACCTGGTGAAGCTGCAGGCAGGCGAGTACGTCTCTCTGGGAAAAGTGGAAGCTGTTCTGAAGAACTGCTCTCTTGTAGACAACATCTGTGCCTATGCCAACAGGTAAAACTCTGCTCTTTTTCTCTTTTTGGGCTTATTTGTTTTGTTCTAGAAAGAATTTTACTATGATCTTCCATCTCTGTTTAGCGACCAGTCCTATGTGATCAGCTTTGTGGTGCCCAACCACAAACAACTAATGGCACTGGCGGAGAAGATGCAGATCAAGGGCTCGTGGGAAGAAATCTGCAACAATCTCCAGATAGAGACAGAGGCGCTCCGTGTCATCACCGAGGCTGCAATTTCAGGTTGAAACAGTTAGACCTGTTTGGTGTGATGGCATCTCACTCTTCTGGGGGTCTGACTGTCATTCTGCTCTCCTCACACCAGGCAAACTGGAGCGATTCGAGATTCCCAGGAAGATCCGTCTGAGTGCAGAAGCATGGACACCAGAGACGGGGCTGGTCACCGACGCATTCAAACTCAAACGCAAGGAACTCAAGACACACTATCAGGAAGACATTGAGAGGATGTACGGGGGCAAATAACACACACACACATGCACACACACGCTCCAAATAACACAAATACACCTGAACACTTAACCAGGACTGTTTTATGTTGTGATACAGATAACACACATTATTTCAGACACACAAAGATACTTCCATCTCCTCCTCCGCTTCTCTGTAAGCTCCTCAGTTACCAGCTTTGATCAAAGAAGGGAGCAGAAACAGTCTGGAATCAAGTTTTAATTCATTCTGTTAAGATCCAGAGGCAGAAAGGACCTCCACAGCAGAAAACTGAGCCAGCGACGCAGTGTCCACTTTGATGCATTTAGCCCTTTGGGTTGCCATGACTACCGACGTGGCACATGAAGTTTGCATGATTCAAAGTGGGAGGAATGTTAGGATAAACCAAACGTCAGTGCAGCATCTCTGCTTCCCTCCCAGCTCTTTGGAACATTCCACCTTAACAGCTCGGCCGTGGTGCACATATCTGTCAGGGAACGGTGGGTAACGTGAGCCTCTCGGCTCTGAAAAGCTCCCAGGTTGGAAATTGTGCAGGGATCTCTGTGATTTTCCTTTTTTTCTATTTTTACGTGCATTTTCAGGTTTTCCTTTGATTCGTCAGCAGCTGAAATCTTTTCTGCTTGATGATTCAGCGTCGCAAAGCCATGAGAGATTTAGCATTTTAAACGTGTTTTCTTACTGTTACTCTTTATTCCATAGAGGTTTCTTTTCTTGTGGATGCCTATTTTGTATTTTCTGTTTTTATTGTACTGTTGAGCTGTGTTTACATCTTTTTTTTTTTACAGTCGTGTGTTCCCTTTTGTACTCTAGTGAGCCAAAGTTAGCTCATTCGAGTTGCATGTTTACTTAGTCTTCATTTTCTGGGGTCAAAGATGAGCGACGAAAAGGCTTTGCTACCAATTGTGTGTTGTTTATCGACACACACAAGCCCTGCCACACCTGTCCTGTGTTCCTGCTGTCATGACCAATGCACCACATGGATGTTTCCAAGGGAACTTATTCAAATGTAGGAGAAAAGGTTAGAATAGTTAGGATAACTAACCATAGATTTAGTTGCTGTTACGTTGCTGTTATGAATATGAAATATAAAGTGAATGTGCAATATTTATATTCAGATTTTAAGTAAACAGGAAACTAAAGCACAAAGACAACAGCCCTTCTTTGTGGTGTATTTATCAGCTTTTACTCTTAAGTGACCAATGATAGAGCTATAGAAATCATCATAAAGACAAATTGATGGTAGAAACACTGGCAGTGAAGCTTAGAAGTAGCCTCTTGTACGGTGCAGAAAATGGAAATTAAAATTGAATTTGTAGGAAATGCACGTGGAAAGGTGTGGAAATGTACCAAAGCACCTAAATGTGAGTAAAAATCACTCCGTTTGAGCAACAGAAGCAATTATTTATGAACACACTCCAGGTTTGAGCACATAGGATACATGTGGGAGTAATGTTTCTATGAATTAAGACTGAATTGTGTGTATGATAACTGTATGTATATAAAATACTGTATCATAGGATTCTGTAAGCTGCCATTCATTCATTTGAAGTGTAAAGCATCTTTTGAATAGGCGATTCATCACAGCATCAGATGCTCTTCCTTCAGTATTTATGTAGGAACGGACTGGAGATTGTTTGGTCATCAGTGCACTTCTTGTAAAAAGTTGATTTTTTTTACGGTACTCTAAACACAGCGATGATAAAGGTACAGTTAGGTCTCCTAACGCTCGTCACATTTCTACTTCCTTTAGCTTGTTGAATAAAACCATTAAAGCAGGAACTCATCCCATTCTTCCTGTTATACATTCCAGTTCAACGTCATTTGCTTGCTGCTTACTTCTCTGCCTGGATAGAGGCGGCTTGTTGCCTTCTGACAAATATAAGATTTCTTCAGGGGTCTTGAGAATGTGAAGCATTCTGTAGATATCACACACACGGGAGAGAAAGCAGAAGGTGGTAAACAAACGTCTGTTTTCATTTGTAAAAAAAAGGATTTTTGAGGTTGATTATCAAATCTGAATGGAAACTACTAACTGTACATCTGTAAAGCCTCTTAATGTATTTAATAAACTTTGTTTTCAATCATTTTTTGAGGGTCACCTCTTTGATTCTGTGTGGTCACGTGTTCCTGGAAGCCGAGCTTTAACTGCAAGTGTGTCCTTTAATTATTTGTAATCTGGCCTCGGAAGAGATGCTGTGGAAATAAACAAGTTTTTATTGGTGGTTTTCTTATGTTTTGGGAGTTTATATAAATGTGTGTGTGTGTGTGTTGAACACCTGAGTGATCTTTGAGGCTCAACGCGATGATTGGAATCATCCTGAAACCATAGTTTCCATAGAAACCAAGGCCAGAGCGTATGAGTGAATGTGGTTTGTGAGAGGCTGCAGTGCTGCGACGCAAACAGAACAAGCAGCTTCTGGCGTCAAAGTGAATGAAGAGCTAGTAAACAAAAGACCCTTCTGTTTTTCTTCTTTCATTCTTTACATTTGAAGGTTTGCTTTCAGATGGATCACCGGCCTGTGTCATCAGCTCGTTTATGAAAGACGGAGGCTGATAAACGTGCACATTCATTCTCGTTTTATAAAAACAAAAAATAGTGAAATTTTGTATTCAAGCTGAAAGTAGGTGATTAAACATCTCCAGGTAACTAGAATTAAGCTCACTATAGTTTCATTTCTACTTTTGATCAGTTTCATGTTTTCTGTCTGCATTTTATTTATTTTAAACGAGGAAATAAAACGCATCCACTCATCATTTCCTCCCTCCATCCATCCATCCATCCAGTCCTTTGGGGTGTGCGTGTGAGGCACTGCCATATTGCTTTCTTTATTAGCCCACACGGACATACACATACACCACACAACGAGAGAGGAGTGAATCTACCACAATGAAAACAACACCACCACCAAGCAACATGAAGGTCATCTTCCATATTGTTTGAATGGAGTGTGTGTGGGTCTGTGTGTGTGTGCGTGCGTGCATCAGTGCATTGTGTTTGTCTCCTCTTTGTTCAATGGTCCTCCATCTTTTTTCCTCCTGCTGCTTCCTTTGGCTCCAGCGTCTGGTCTATATGACTCAGATAAAACTTTTTATCTGTACGTTCTGAGTGAGCCAGAACCAAAGTGCTGTTTATCCAACGATGAGCGAAGCCGAACCTGGATCGCTTTATACCTCTACAGAGGTGGTGGGTGGCGTCTGGAGAGGAAGCGAGAGAAATTAGAGGCTGGAGCGTGGTGGTGGAGCAAAGGATGGGGTTGGAGATGTGTAGGTAGCAAGAAGAAGCAACCTAATAGGAGGTTTGGAAAGAGGGAATATGAATTAAGAAGATGGAAAATTCCTTTAATCCTCCCAAATAGCCCGATGTTTCTTTTTACTTCTTCAGGGAAGATGTAGAAATGCAAAATCACATTTGAATTTTATCCTAATTGAAAAAAATTAAATAGATAGACGGACTTTTAAATGTAAAAATGCATCTCTTCATTGTAGGATTTAATCCAGCTTCCATGAGGCCGCAGTTACTGATAATGGAAAAAAATGAATATGAACATAATTTCATTTTCAAGTCTCTAAAGTAAACACATTGTTCATTGATCTCTTTCTGTACAGAAACTGATTGACCTGTGGGATGTTTGTGACTTTCTTTGCACAGGGAGAGGTGGCGGGCACCTTGGACAGGTCACCAGTCCATCACAGGGCCACACAGAGACAACCAGTCACACACTCACTCACACAAACCAGAGTACTCAAAGAAAACCCACTTGTTCATCGAGGGAACGTGCTAACTCTAATCGGAAATGCCGCAACTATATATATATATATGTGTGTGTGTGTGTGTGTGTGTGTAAAATTCTTCGTACTTTCTACTTTACAGAATATTTTTTAGGTTGTTTCTCTTAGCAAAGTTCTGAACAGTTTTTGATATAGTTTTTTCTATTTTTTAACTTTGAAGCTATCAAAATCTGGTTTAAGGAAGGCCCTGGCGTGGGTTTGTCATGATACAAAGGCCAAATTATAAAATGTGTGAGGTCTGGTAATTAGCCTGAGCAGAGGGAAGAAGCAGAGAGTGAGGGATGGGAGGGGGAGGAGGAGAGCCACAGAGGGATCGGCAACTGATACGTCGGCGATGACTCACCGATGCTGGGTATTTATAGCATCAGTTAGGGATGAGAGGAGGGAGGAGAAGGGGAGGAAGTGAAGTGTGGGGGAGGAGGAGCGAGAGGTCATGGCGTTTTGGAGGCGTCCAGGATGGTGATGTCGCCCAGCAGCAGATATAGAGATGGACAGAGAGACAGCGGAGATGAAAGAGTCAGGGAAGGGAAAAGAGAAGGAGTGGTGGGAGGGATGAAGCAGAAAACAAGAAGGGGGAGACAAAAGAAGGGAGTGGCATGGGGTCGAAGAATGAGACGGACAGACGGGAGGCAGAAATAGAACATTTATTTTAAATGACCTGAAATCGTGTTTGACTCAATGCATGGGCGACAGCCTGAAAATGTGATGTGTGAAAGGTTGGAATAATTAAAACATGTCTGTTATAATATCACACACACACACACACACACACATGCACGCTGACCCGCTCACATTAAAACACACACACACACGCCTCTGTGCAGCCTCTCATTGAGACACTGCAGAGGAGGACAGGAAAAGGTGGCACATTTTAATAAACTCAAATCTCCCCACTGCTGCCAAGAACACTGTGCATTTGGAGAAAGACAGAAGACGTCCACATGCACTACCAATTAGGGAGGTAAACAAACCATTTGGAGGTTTATTTTAGTAATAGTGTGCACGATATTAACAAGTGAGACTAAACTTTCAGAATTATTTTTTATTTCTAATTCGTTTCAGCTTCTTTTGACTCCGTTTTTCTGGTTTATCTTCTTTCTTTCTCCGTCGGCCGTCTTTATTGACAGGACTCCTTCATCAATAAACACCCCCTGCCTTGGCCTTTAGTGACGTCAGCCAGTGCGTCAAACCGCATCTCTTAACACAGATGCTGTTATGATCTGTGCATGTGTGCTCCTGCACACGTCGGAGAACAAAGCCGCACACGTGAACAGACTCAAAGAGTATCACTTTGAGAAGGAGCGATGATTAAGAACATTGATTTTCATTAATACGGGCAAGCGGGGTGTGAAAGGAAATATAGAGGATGAAGAGATATTTGGAGGCTAAAGACGAGCTCAAAAGTAGAGGTCTGGTTGGTGATTGAGAAAAAATAAAACTGGAGACAGGAGGTGAGCAAAATGTTGCCATCACAAGTAAATATGCAAATATTTCATAACAAAATTATAAATTAAAGGAAAGAAATCAAAGCAAACATAATGTTCTAAAGCATCCCTTTGGAACAGATGAAGTGATGACGGAGAAAAAATCACAAAGGTCTGGCAGATCACAAATAATCCAGCTGCACGTTTGTGTAAAGTTCACCTGGACACACATGTGTGTGTTGTGCATGACCAGCATCACATCTACTCTTGTTGGAGCTCTAACAATCTCAACATGAGAAGAGTCTGAGCAAAAACCTCATGGATTCTGGTGGAAACCAGTGGACTATCAAAGAAACAGCTGCTGCAGTGAGTCAGAAGTTTACCGTCAACTAGCCTCCACTGCTTCTGACAGGAAACCAAGCAGCACCCTCCTTTTTATCACTTCTAATATTGAGATTGATTATAAAATATAATATCAGTTTGGTTTTTGTAAAATGTTTTTATTCACTGCTCTCGAATTATGTCAGAGTTGCAGAAGTAACGGTGACATCCCTGTCTCCAGCTTCTCCAAGTTGTTCCCAGGCCACATAAGATTTTTAATCCCTCCTGGAGGTTCTGGATTTTCACCTGGATCTTCTTCCAGTGGCGTGTGCTCTTCAGACGGGAGCAAACAGGAGGCATCCTAAACAGATGCTTCAACAATCCAGTCTTCTTGAGTACCTCCTAGATGAGTGAATCTCAACTAGTGGCCTGCGGGCCACATCCAGCCCGCCAGACCTTTCCACCTGGCATCCAGACCCCTTGGGCCCTAACTGGGAGACGTTGACGTTTAGCAGCAAATTGTTTATGTTCTCCAACCACAATCAAAACAGTTTAGATGGAAAACAAAGCCATTTTCAATAAATTAAGATGCGATAATAATTGAGCTTTGTTTTAGAAAAGCATCTGGCCTGCATGGTGTCTGCTGGGAAAATCTCTGGCCCTTGAACACATTTTGTTGAAGATCCCTGCACTAGGTGGTGCAGCCCCTCAGCTTATTTCTAAAGCTGAGCATTTCCACCCCACTGAGGACACGCGTTTCACCCACGTGAATCTGGGATTCCCTTCTACCAGTGATCACAATTTCATCATCAAAAGGGTGACGACTGGAACAAACACAGGACAGTGAATCGAGAGGATTTCCTGATAGCTGGGCTCAACCTTCACAACAGACTGGAGCAAAAACTTCATCTTAGGCCTAGTCCACACGTAGCTGGGTTTTTTTTTAAACGAACGGAAAAAAAAAAGAATATCCGCCCCTCCAAAAACTTGCATCCACACCACCTCATTAAAAAAAACTCTGTCCACACATACCCAGATAAATACGTTAAGGACATGCCAGACCTGTAGGCGGCAGTACTTCCCCCGTTCTTAACCTCGTCCTTCGTCTGTGGTCTTCCGCAAGGAGCAGTAATTCTGCTTGCAAAAACAAACAAGCAAAAAGCGCTTGGACAATTGATAAAGCGAGCGCAGCTTTGAGGGCATCCATGCTGTCGGCTAGTGTAAACACAGGTCGCACACGTGATGTCAGCATTTTTTTGTCGCGGAAAGTGACGTTGCGGACCTTAAAACTCCGGTTTTGTCTGTCCACACGCAGACACCCAAAACGGAGAAAATGCAGATCTTCACTTTGGCCGGAGTTTTTTAAAAGATCCGTTTTCGTGTGAAAAAACTCCGTTTTCGTGTGGATGACAGGCCAAAACGTAGAAAAATATCTACGTTTTGGCAGATCCCCGGCTACGTGTGGAAAGGGCCTAAGTTTAAAACTGAACTGTTGGCTCGCTCCATCCAGTCATCATTTGTTGACCAAACACTGAGATCCGAATATTCATTG